AGCAGCAGTGGAAGCAGTGGTAGCAGCAGTGGAAGCAGCAGCAGTGGAAGCAGCAGCAGTGGAAGCAGCAGCAGTGGAAGCAGCAGCAGTGGCAGCAGTGGCAGCAGTGGCAGCAGTGGAAGCAGCAGCAGCGGGGCGACTCAGGTTCTTGTGAAACCGACCACCCTTGTCGTGGGCGGCACGACCTCGACCAAGGTCGTCACTGAGACCGTGACTATCGTTGAGACCATTACCACCGTCATTGGTGGCGTTACGGTCACGCAGTACCAGGCCGCTACCACCACCGGCCCGGCCTCTGTTGCTGCCATGGCCACCACGACGGTCAGCTTTACTGAGACGCATGTCTCCACCCTCACCATGACGGCAGGAGCCTCCGGGGTGGCTGCTGTTGGTACAAGCGTCAGCACTGTGACTGTCACTGCTGCAGGCACTGGCGCCGCCGGGGCCTCCGGGGTCGCTGCTGTTGGGACGAGCGTCAGCACTATGACCATCACCGCCGCAGAGTCCACCAGCACTAAGACTATCACTGCCGCAGAGTCTACTACGACCATCACCGCCGCAGAATCCACCAGCACCATGACCGTCACCGCCGCAGAATCCACCATGACCGTCACCGCTGCCGAAACCACCAGCACCATGACTGTGACTGCTGCGGAATCTACCAGTACCATGACCGTCACTGCTGCGGAGTCTACCAGCACCAGCACCTTGACAATTACCGCTGCGGAAACCACCAGCACCCTGACCGTCACTGCTGCAGAATCCACTAGCACCAGCACCTTGACAATCACCGCTGCAGAAGTCACTAGCACCAGCACCATGACTATTACTGCCGCGGAAGCCACCAGCACCGTGACCATCACTGCAGTGGCTAGCGATGCTGCCGGAGCCAGTGGGGTTGCTGCCGTGGGCAAGAATGCCAGCACCGTGACTGTGACGGCGTCGGGAGCAGCTAACACGGTGACCATCACCGCGGCAGAGGTCACCAGCACTATCACGCAGGTTGCCACCGCGACCGAGACTGAGACCGAAACCGTGACTGCCAAGGCGACTGCATGTGTTTAATTTAGTTAGTAGTTGACTGTTTGATTGTTGAAACCCTCCCTCCCCCTCCCCCGACTTATGATGGTTGATGGCTGTGCCTGTCTATTCTCTTTTTTTTTCTCTTCTTATCCCTGTCTTGACGACATACACTGTGTGTAACTTTTTCCAGAGAATAGAAAATTATCCTTCTATATCATATCTCTCTTCTGTATACCACCAGAGAAGTAGATACTAGTAGTATCTTGATTCTTTTGACTCTGGAGTCTGTTGCCTCTTGGTCTATGTAGTAGATACGGCATTATCGGTCCGAGTCCCCGTATTAGCCGAAGAAAAGCCGATGGACTGATGATGCCCCGCCATGAGAATAGATTTGAATACTAACTAGTTAGTTACTATTCACTGTTCTGAAAAATAGTTCATTTCACTGTTCTACTGGGTCTCTCTATGCAATGGCGGTCGATATTGATGAGATCCTCGCCCGCCTCACTTTGGAGGAGAAGGTCTCCCTCCTGGCAGCCAGGGATTGGTGGCGCACCCCCGTAATTAGGCGTGATGACATTTTTGTCCCTCATTTGAAGGTACGAGGAATCAGGAAGCGGGTATATTGATCATTGAGATTGATTTTTTTTTTTTTTCTCTCTTTCTCTCCAGACAACAGATGGCCCCAATGGAGCCCGTGGCGAAAGCTACGTGAGCGGCATCAAAGCGGCGTGTTTCCCCTGCGGATCGAGCATGGGCGCCTCCTTTGATCGTCGGCTCTTGTATGATGTTGGCAAAGCCATTGCGCGCGAGGCGCAGAGTAAAGCGGCGAATATCCTGTTGGCGCCGACGTTGAACGTCATCCGCTCGCCGTTGGGTCAGAAAGAGATCCTCTTCACCTGTTGTTGTGAACTGATCAGCATCCTGACACGCTTTGCTAGGGGGCCGCAATTACGAGACATACTCTGAGGATCCGGTAGTCTTGGGGGTTCTGGCTGCTGCTTTTGTGAATGGTATGGCCCGATATGGAGGTAGAAACTAATCTCTTGAAACGATACTGACAGATCACCCCATGACAGGCTGCCAATCCGTTGGCATCGCGGCGACGCCGAAACATTTCGTCGCCAATGATGCAGAGAATCTGCGCACAACACTGTCGACGGAGGTGGACGAGCAGACGCTGCGCGAGCTGTATCTGCTGCCCTTCCAGCTGATCATGAAGCTGGCGGACCCCTGGTGTTTCATGACGAGCTACAACCGCGTCAACGGGACGTACGTCTCGGACGACCCGCGGCTGGTGCAGGGCGTGCTGCGGCACGAATGGGGATTCCGCGGCTTGGTCGTCTCGGACTGGATGGGTACGTATTCCACAGCGGAGGGTATGAATGCGGGTGTCGATCTGGAGATGCCCGGGCCGCCCAAGTGGCGTGGCGAGCGTCTGCTCCAGGCCGTGGCCGAGGGGGCCGTCAGCCAGAAAACCATCGACGAGAGCGCGCGCCGGGTGCTGGACCTCGCGCGCCGGCTCCGCCGCTGGGAGGAGCACCCTGAGGAGGAACCGCCGGAGCGGGCATTGGAGGACCCTGAACGAGACGAATTCATCCGCGACGCCGCCGCGGAGGGTATCGTCCTGCTGCAGAACCGAGACGCCGTCTTACCCCTGACGTTAGCTGCCGGGGAGACTGTCGCGCTCATCGGACACCATGCGCGCATCGTCACGCTCGGCGGCGGGGGCAGTGCCCGCGTTGACGCCCTGCATGCAGTCAATCTGGTTGATGGGTTCGCGCAGCTCGGCGTCCAGACAACGGTGTCTCCGGGGGTCCCGGTGTTTGGCGCCGTGCCACATGCGGACGCTGGTCTGCTCTTCCAGACGGGCGGCGGACAGGGCGAGCAGCCGGTCAAGGTGGAGTGGTTCAACGGCAGTGTGGTCGGCGAGAACCTGGTTCACACGGAGACGAGGCCTGTGCCGGAGTACATGATCAAGGAGCAATGGCCGGCGTACCTCGCCCGCGAGTACTGCACACGCATGACGGTCGATCTGCAACCGGAAAGTAGTGGCGAGCACCTATTTTCCGTCGTGTCGACGGGACGGGCTGTGTGTTCGATCAACGGACGCGTGGTGTTCGAGCGAGCCCAGGAGACCGCCCTGAAGCCCGAGTCGTTCTACTTCTTCAAATCGAAGCTGGAGCGCCGCTTCACCTTCGCCATGCAGGCCGGAGTGCGGTACACTCTCACGCTTGAGTCGTGGGCGACCGACCCGGAGATCCTGGCCGCGAAGCCTCTGTTCGGGCGCATGTTTCAGGGCTCAGCACTGCGCTTCCACGAGGCGATCGACGTGCCAGGTGCGATCGAGGCGGCGGCTTCGACGGCGCGGGCCTGCGCCGCCGCTGTCGTCTGCGTAGGGACCACCAATGAGATCGAATCCGAAGGCTTCGATCGTGACACGATGGACCTCACGGACGAGCAGTACGCCCTCATCCGTGCCGTCGCGGCGCAGAACCCGCGCACCGTCGTGGTCAACTTCTCCGGCGCGCCCGTCGGCCTTACTCAGGTCCTTGACGTGGTGCCTGCAGTCGTGCAGGCCTGGTTCCCCGGCCAGGAGTGCGGCCATGCGGTGGCGCGCGTCTTGACAGGCGCCGTCAACCCCAGCGGTCGATTACCGCTGTCGTGGCCCCGACAGGTCGAGGATAACCCGTCGTTTGGGAACTTCCCAGCAGACGAGGAGACTCTCTTGATCAAGTATGAGGAAGGGTTGGATGTGGGATATCGGTTCTACGACCGCGAAGAGACCCCAACACCGCTTTTCCCCTTCGGATTCGGCCTCTCGTACACTTCGTTTGCTGTATCGAACGCCCGTGTGGTAGCTAGCGTACAGCAGCAGCAAGCTGTCTTGTCCAGTCGGTCAGACACGGTCGAGGTGAAGTGCGATGTACAGAACACGGGGAGTCGTACCGGCAAGGTGGTCGTGCAGTTCTACGTGGGGATGCCGGCCACGACGATCGGACGCAAGAGACCAATCAAGGAGCTCAAGGAGTTCGTCAAGGTGGAACTGGCTGCGGGCCAGAGCCAGACGATCTCTGTGGTTCTCGACCGGTACGCCGTGAGCCTGTACGACGCCGACAGGTCCTGCTGGCGGGCGAATCCTGGCCGTTACACGGTATATGTCGGTCAATCGTCGGTGGATCTGTCGAGCCAAACGGACTTTACTGTGTCGGAGCCACTGGAGTGGACCGGTATTTAACAGTTTGTGGGGGGGGGGGAAGCCAATAAGAAGTCGAATTAATTGCAGAACTGCAGTCTATGATAATCTTTTGCTCAGTGCTATCCCGTACTCCATTGTCGCTAACAGGCCGCCCAGGTTGATGAGAATGGAAGTTGTATGGATCCAGACGAAGCGACGATTCAGCGCAACCATGGCAGGCGAATGCGGCGGGGGATCGTAGCTCTTCCTCTTGTCGCGAATTTCTATCCTTGGATCAGCAATTTTGATATATCCCAGAGCTTACGCTGTATGTGTGCGAGGCAAAATCTCTCCCCTCCCCCTTACCTTGACGCTTCTTCTCTGTGATGACCTTGTAGGTCAACGGGCGGAACACGAGCAGGTTGAGCAATCCGGCCCCAAAGACGACAGCCATGCTCTTGGAAGACAGCAGTTGGCCCTTGTTGAAGCCCAGCGAGGTTGCAACCACGGCCAGGGGTAAGAAGGCCTGTAGAGAGAAATAGACCGGGAAGATGGCTGTCTGGAGAACAGAGAAATAGGGACGCGGTAGGGAATGGAAGGCCACAATGCCATTCACGCAGGTCTATGCAGATTAATATCACCATCCCACCAACCCTTGACGTGATGAGGACTCTACCTGAAAGACCTGGATGCCGAGTAAACTGCCATAGCTAGGCGGGGATCAGCACGCGTTCGCAGCAGCTGGGGACGTGCGCCAAACCTAAGCAGATGAGAGCATTGGAGGAGCATGGCAGGAAGTGGCGGCCGACTGTCGGCTCTGTCGGCGTCTAGGCACAAATAGCGGCCTTTCTGAGGCTGGAAACCGTCTCTAAAATGGTCTGCATAAGCGTGGAGGAGGAGGAGAAGATTCGTTTCGGTGGGAAAAACCAGTTTAGGATTTTATGCCTCAGGCAGGAGTCAGGCAGCTTCTGTCACTAATGCTAAGTCAGAACAGGCAAGGCGGCGGGACAGAAAGTACTTGGGACTCTAATTGCGGGTTTGCTTTCAACCGCCTGAATGGTCTAGTAGTATGATTCTTGCTTCGGGTCAACTGAAGTGCAAGAGGTCCTGGGTTCAATTCCCAGTTCAGGCCGATCTTCTTTTTTTTTTTTACACTTTTATTTTGACATGCTGTTTTGTTTTATTATTATCATCTGATTATTCTAGAAATGATTTAAAAGTATTGATTTACCCACTGAGGACTGCAAAGTAGTTGTATTATTTTCGTCGTTCGGGCCAACTGCTCCTATATATATTGTGCCATCCCCTACTACCCTCACTCTCACCCTCACCCTCACCCTTACTCCTTCTACTCCTTCTCCTCGATTTTCATCACATCATCCACACAAACCATCGTACCCCTCGAAATCGATAGGTTGGCTGCAATTCCGGTCAGAATCGACAGCGCTCCGTCCACATGTGATGCTGCCCGTCTCAACCGGTCGTCCTCTGTCGACTCGCCAAACAAATCGCGCAGCAGCTGGGGGTCTCCTCCGCCATGTCCACCGGTGGCTTCAGGGACCTCGATCTCCTGTGGCGGGCCAAACAACGGTCGCAGCAGGATCGAGTGCGAGGTGAGTGCCCCCTCGAGCGCTTGATCGCCGCCCGAGTTGACGTATGACTTCTCCACGACCTCGACCTCGAGTCGGCCCTTACTACCGTTGAAAACGACCCGGAAGCCCTCCCACGGCGAGTAGGCCGTCAGGCTGTATGTCATCACCGCGCCGGATCGGTACCGTACCAGCACGTTCATCGTGTCCTCGATGCTGATCCCGTCGCCGAACACGCTCTGGTCGCGGTGGTAGCCGTCTTCGGCCTCGGCGTCCAGATACATGGCTTTGAGTTGCGGCGTCTGCTCCAGATGGAGGGCGAACGGGTCGTCGGCGGCGTACGCGCTGCCGTGGGCGCGTGAATAGAACTTGGTCTCGCCGCGGCGTTCGGCGTTCTCGCGTCCATAGAATCGCAGGTCCCCCATGGCGGCGACGGTCTCTGGCCGGCTCTGCAGCCAGAAGTTGACCAGGTCGAAGTGGTGGGTCGCCTTGTGCACCAGCAGGCCGCCGCTGTTGCGCTTGTCGCGGTGCCACCGGCGGAAGTAGTCCGCTCCGTGCTGCGTGTTGAGCAGCCATTCAAAGTGCACCGAATGCACCTGCCCGATCTCCCCGGCCGCCAGCAGCTCGTATACCCGGGTGTTGTGCGGTGCGTACCGGTAGTTGAAGGTCACCCGCACGCGGCGGCCAGTCCGCTCGACGGCATCGAAGATCTCGCGGCAGCGCGGCGCGTCGATCGTCATCGGCTTCTCCGTCACCACGTTACAACCCAGCTCGAGCGCCCGCACAATGTACGTGTGGTGCGTACGGTCGATGGTCGTCACAATCACCTCGTCCGCCCCCGTCTCACGCACCATCCGCTCAAAGTCGCGGGCGAGGTATGTCGGCACCTCCGCATGGCCCAGCTCCCGCAGCCGCTCATTCGCATAGTTCATGCGCGTCTGGTTGATGTCGCAAAAGGCTACCAGCTGCGCCGTGCTGCGAAACTCGGTCGCCAGCGCCGTGTAGAAGAAGATGGCGCGGCCGCCAGTTCCAACCAGAGCGTATTTCTTCATAGATAACGCTATTTTAAAACGATGTACAGATCAACAAGGGGTTTGTATATTTTGTTATATGAAGAGAGTCGGTTTATATCCCACCTTCTCTTCTTCAGTCGGTGGTCAATACCCCGAACCAAACGCGGGGAAGCGGGGTAATTATACACAAATCAGATTACTCCGTGGATACTTAGAACGGGTATACTTGGTTGAACATGTAGTATTGTAGTTACTGACTTCAGATACTAGCAAAGGCATTCCTTGTACGCGGGAGGATGAAATCTAGGAGCATGGAGCATCATTTTCGGAGGTTGTTGTGGTTGTATATCTCAGGACAAGAGAAAGAGGGTTAAGGCAGCCATTCTCACATTAAACATGACTCCCTCTATGATCCTGGAATGGCTAGGTGGATTTACCAAGTTTGGAGTGAGTTCCCTTCCACCCGAGCAAAGAATCTCGTCTAGGTACCTGCTTGGTACCTGGTTAGTAGTTGGTTGTACTCTGTATTGATTTTAGTTGCAGCCTGAGGCAGACGAAAATGGAGATGACTTGAAATACAATAAAATCTGGTAAGCCGCTAGATACAGGACTAGGTACTAGGTACCAGGTAGGTACCTACCTTACCTGATCTACTACATAAGGTACCTAGGTAGTACCTTCCATCCATGGGTTCCCTGTCGGGTTGTTATAGCGCTAAGCGGATCGGGCCTAGTCCCGTCCAGTGCCCATCGCTCCTTCCCAGGTTGGATTTCCTCGTCTCTTTCCAAATCTGGTGGTTTTTCTCCTCTTCTCCTTCTCTCCTCCTCTCAACGACTTTCTCTCTCTCGTTTCATGACGTTCTTCTCTCATTCTGATCCTCATCGTCCTTTCCTCTCGGTAGAGTGACTTCAAGATCTCCAGCCCGCTCGTTCTGTTCTCTGGGCATGACCTATCATCTACGCATGATAACGGTTGGCTGTCTATGGAGTAAGCAGAAAAGCAGGATCTCACACCGTCTCTTCAGGATTCGCATCAGCAATGTGTATGCAGGTGTGATTGGACTGACCAATATACTTGGACCGTGCCTGCCGTCTATTACTTTATCAATGTACAATTCCTCATAGATCATCTAGGATGATGATGATTCAACACTCTCTTTCTCCTTCTTCTAATCATGCTCCAACAGCACGTCCTTTCCTCGATGATGATATTGAGCAAGACCGACTGGGCATGATTCACCACATGACGGATCTGATACGAAAAAACCGCAATTAGAAAGAAATTAGCACGTGGAATCTTTTACAGTTCCTTCAAGGCCTGGAAGCATGGCCCTTATCTGTGACCACCTCGGAGTACGGCTGGAGTGCCGACGAAGTACAGATCCAGGCAATGATGGCACGTAACGATGCCAATAATCGGAGCACCCACTCTTACTATGACATGTGAGCTATTATTCTTCTTTCTTCTCTTGTCAGTGTTTGACTCATTTGTCCTGCTAAGTATGTTGTCTATGGTCAGAAACCACCTATAGAGTGATGCGAAGATATATGAGGAAAATTCAGCCGGATGCCCACAATCTAACCGTTTGATACCCAAAGAGTCCTTTTACAAATCTCCTGCTCAAAGATGCCTATAGTGAGTAGTTGATCAACATCTTTGGAAGTTTTCTGTTGCGAGAGTTGCTCGGTGATCCAGGAGGAGATCAGGCACGGATCGAAGTATTCTGATAACTTGAGAGAAGATGTCTAGACCGTTGTCAATGCGGAGTTGTGTGTAGTTTAATTAACTTGTTGGACTCCTCCTGGATCTTCGTTTGCGGTGATATCTTCCGGTGACACGGGCCCACGGGCCACCACGCGGGCTTGTGCAACCCTTGATGACTCGTATGATGTCTGATTTGCTACAGAGAAGCAGAGAAGCAGAGAGTCAGTGGCTGAGATGTACCCCTCCGCTGTTACATCCCTGGGCCGATCCGAAGATCACGATGACATGACGATATTGTCTGTAAACTTTAACACCCATGCAATGGGTATCTACCTAATTATCGCAGGATGACTCGGTGATATCCAACAGGGGCCGTGATGTGATCCCTGGTGATCTGCATCTCCTTTCATTTTGATCTGCTAGAACCCCTCTTGTTGGAATGTGGTTGATCAGCCCTTGTTTCACGCTGACGTCGACTGCTCCTCGAGCATTCCTCTGATCTTGAAAGTGGATTTTCAAATCAACATCTTTGTTTACTGAGCTGGGCGATTCGCATAGAAGATACTGTTTGGCCTTTTTTTTTTTTTTTTTTTTTTTTTTTTGTCCGCCAGTGAGGTTTAGCTGACCCTCGCTTCCTGATCAGATAGCCCGTGGGAGGGTGTATCTTCCGACTTCCTCTCTCTTTTTTTTTTGTTGATGTCTCGCTTGGTGGTCGTCTCTTGCTCACGACACCACCATGCGAGTTGTATTCTTACAATTACATAATGAGTTATCAATGCCTTCATGGAGAACGATCTTGACTGCTGTTCTCATTGGAGCATGCTCCGTGGGTGCGATTGATCTGGATCTTGATGATCCGAGTATGTCCCCCCTTCCCACCTCGAGACCTGCCTCATATACTAATCCGGTCTATAGATTCGATCAAAGCGGCAGCCAAGATAGCCGCCACGGAGATGATGTCCTACTACACAGGTAACCATCTAGGTGATACACCGGGTAATCTGCCCACCCCGTACTACTGGTGGGAAGCGGGTGCTATGTTCGGCGCTCTGGTCGACTACTGGTTTTATACGGGCGACTCGACATGGAATGACATCACGATGCAAGGCATGCTGTGGCAGGCCGCGCCGACGGCGGACTTTATGCCTGCAAATCAGACCCGGACCGAAGGTAATGACGACCAAGGATTCTGGGCGGTGGCCGCCATGTCTGCGGCGGAGCGCAATTTCCCCAATCCACCAGCAGACCAGCCTCAATGGCTGCAGTTGGCGCAGGCCGTGTTCAACGAGCAGGCCACCCGTTGGGATATGGAGACTTGCGGTGGGGGGCTGCGATGGCAGATCTTCACCTGGAATAATGGGTACAATTACAAGAATACCATTTCAAACGGCTGCTTCTTCAACCTGGCGGCCCGGCTGGCCAAGTACACGAACAACCAGACATATGCGGACTGGGCGGTCAAGGTCTGGGATTGGACCACTGCCCTGGGCTTCATGTCGCCAGAGTACGAGTTCTGGGACGGGGCGGACGACACGCAGAACTGCACCGAGTTCAACCGCATTCAGTGGACATACAATGCCGGAGTATACCTCTTGGGCGCAGCCAACATGTTCAACTACGTAAGTCTTTTTTTTTCCATCCATTCAAAGAAAAGACATCTATCTCTATATATATGTATGTGCGTGTGGGCTGACGATGAAGACCAACGGCGATCCTCTCTGGCAAAACCGTACGCAGAGCATCTTGGACGCAGCGGGGGTCTTCTTTATAGACAATCCCAAGGATGTAATGTATGAACGAGCGTGTGAGACGGTCAACACATGCAAAGTGGACCAGCGCTCATTCAAAGCATACCTGTCGCGGTGGATGGCGGCGACGACGCAAATGGCGCCCTTTACGTACGACGCGGTGATCACGAAGCTGCGGGCGTCGGCACAGGCGGCCGCCCAGGCGTGCACAGGAGGCAGCCAGGGCACCTCCTGCGGTCTGAAGTGGACACAGGGATCCTGGGACGGGAGCCTGGGGGTTGGCGAGCAGATGAGCGCCATGGAAGTGTTCCAGGCGAATCTCATCGCTCGGGTTGTACCCCCGGTGACCAACAGCACAGGCGGTACTAGCCAGGGTGATCCGTCTGCTGGGTCGCAGCCAACTCCCACACAGCCCAGGACCGTCACCCGGACCATCACTGCGGGAGATCGCGCAGCAGCCGGCATCTTGACCGGGTTGATGATGATTGCCGTTGTGGGATCCACCGGGTGGATGATATGGGAGTGATCTAGACAAGACTCTCTTCGCTTTTTCTTTTTTTTTTTTTTAACATTTTGGCATAATTTTTTTTTCTTCTTCTTCTGGATAATATATTGAATTGTCTCCCAGATAAACAACTACTCAATCTAGTCTATATTCGATTTAACTGTCAAACTTGCTTGGTTCCACAATGGTGTTTCCTAAGTCAATGGATTCAGTATGTCTCTCTCTCTCTCTCTCTCTCTTGGTAAAATTTCATGGTATTGGCCAGGCCTGTGTTTACAACGTCCAAATAATCCATGCATTGATGGAGAGTCATTATGGCCAGATACTGCAATTTTTTTTTGGAAGATAGGAGAGTTGAAGTTTATATACAGGGTATCTTTTGAAATTGGTGAAGAATGGATGAATGAAGGCCGATGAGATTGCCCTTGCTCAGCGGAGACCACCGGCGAGCAGGACACTCTGGCCGGTCATGTAACCGGTGCGGCAGAACATGGTGACGACGTTTGCGCATTCCTGGGGGACACCAAGACGGCCAACGGGGATGTTGCGGACGTCACCGGGGGTGCCCTCGAGGAGCTTTGCGTCGGGGATCATGCCCGTGTCGCCGATCATGGCGGGGGCGACGTCGTTGACGGTGATGCCGTCAGCGGCCAGCTTCATGGCGAGGTTCTTCATCATACCGGTGAGACCGGCCTTGCTGGCGGCGTAGTGGCAGCCGTTGATGCCGCCGCCGATGGCAGCAATGGAGGAGACGAAGATGATGCGCCCCCATTTGGCGGCCTGCATGTGCGGGACGGCGAGCTTGGCGAGGATGAAGGAGGCGCGCAGGTTGACGGTGATGGTGAAGTCGAACTCGTCGACGGGGATGTCGTTGATGTGCGGGATGCGCTTGCCGTAGCCTGCGTTGGAGACGAGGATGTCCGGCCCCGCCTGGCCGTGGGCCTCGGCCAGCTCGACGAAGACGCGTTCAATCTGCTCGGCGCTGGCGACGTCAACCTGGTGGGCGGACAGGCGACGGGCCGGGTCCTGCGCGCGCAGCTCGGCGATCAGGGCGTCGACGGGGTCACGGCGCGAGGCGTACGTCAGGGCGAGGTGGGCGCCCTGAGCGAACAGATCGCGAGCACAGGCAGCGCCAATCCTGAAGGAAGGTCAGTCAATTCTATAAGAGGGGTTGAGGTTGAGGGTGAGGGGAAGTGTTTACCCGCCCGAAGCACCGGTGATGAGAGCCAGACGGCCACGAATCTCATTGTCAACCATTGTGGAGGAAGTGCTGATGAAATGCAGATAGAAATATATGAAGATAGAAATCTATTCAGTGAATGGTTTGAGAGAATTGCGGATCCAAGAGGGGGTAGAGAGGGGTTTTATGGTGGTTTCCTGCTGCCTGAGGCATACTCGGTGGAGCTCCGATCAATAGCCGATCGGATATTGAAGACGAGTAGACACATGGTTACTACATAATAAGTACTAGAGAATAAGTAAAGATTATCCATATAAAGGTCTAGGCATTGCTCATTAATGGATCTTCATAATTATGCTATGAGTGTGATAGTAGTTAATATATAGATATAATATTTATCTATGAGCCTAATACCCTCGCTTCGCGAGGGGGCTCAAAGAGGAGGCTATAATTATTATATCAATTATTATTATTATTTAAATCAAGATATTATAGAGTAGAGCTCTATAAATTAAGTCTGCTCTGGACCTACAGCCCTCCGCAATAACACTTATCTAGATACTCAGGTCTGACGTACTAGAAATCACCTAATTAACGCAGCAATCAGCGCAGGAATCGACGCAGGGATAAAATAGGAATTAGCCTAGGAATTAGTATATATACCTTGTTATTTAATGGTAAGTTAGATACTTCCCTAGATAATGAAAAGAAGAAAAGGGGGATAAAATAGAAAAAAGAATTATATAGGACTTAGATTGAATATAGACTGATCCTAAATAGGAATGGTCAATTGCAACATATTACAAGCGGGGCGCCAAGAAATTGATATTTCTGTATAACAGAGAGTAAGTAAAGTACTGTATAACAGAGAGTAGGTAAAGTAAAAAGTAATAATAAAGAGTAATACACATAGACATATAGATATATATATAGACATAGACATAGACATATAGACATATATATAGATAGATATATACTGACTATAGGATGAATAATAGTATTACTAACGCATGGCGGGGTATGTGGGGTATTCGAATGCTTGTTTCTCCTCGTACAGATCCATCATTTATCATACTTTATATTATACTTTTTGATATTTGATACTATCAATATGGCCTCTCTTCCCCCTGCTGTCTGCTGTACCGTTGGTGTAAGTTGATCAATCTCGTTTGTGCCATCTGCTAATCCAGCAGATTCGCCATGAAGGCACTCCCACCGGGAAAACCATCCAAGTCGCCGGTGTAGACGCCTACATCGCCGAACCGTCTGGGCGTGTTCATCGCGACGTGGCGATTCTCTATCTGCCTGATGTCCTTGGGATCTGGCAGAACTCGAAGCTGATGGCGGACCATTTCGCTGCCAACGGCTATTACACCCTGCTGCTTGATTTGATGAACGGGGATCCTGTTCCGATGAACAGAGGGCCAGTAAGTATTCATAGTCGAGAGAGTGGGTTATATATTAATATTCCAGGACTTCGATATGCAAGGATGGCGCGCCCACGGGTCCAACGGAACAACCCCCCACACGCTGGAAGCCGTCGAGCCGTTGGTGACCAGGGCGATCGCCTACCTGCGCGACACGCTGGGCATCAAGAAGATCGGAAGTGTAGGCTACTGCTTCGGCGCGAAATACGTCATCCGCTCCCTGGCAGAGGGCAAGGGCGTGGATGTCGGGTTCATCGCTCACCCGTCGTCGACCGAGGAGGCCGAGCTGGCGGCCATCAAGGGGCCGTTGTCCATTGCCGCGGCGGAGACGGATCGAGTGTTCCCCCCCGAGCTGCGCTGGAAGAGCGAGGATATCCTCGTGGCGGCGGGGTTTCCGTGGCAGATGAATCTGTTTGGAGGCGTCAAGCATGGGTTCGCCGTCCGGGGGGATATGTCTGTGGCGAAGGAACGGTATGCCAAGGAGCAGGCCTTTTTCCAGGCGGTTGTCTGGTTTGATGCTCATCTCGCGCTGGAGGAGTGAGGTAGATAGTGATAGTTCTAGTCCAGAATTTGCTTCTTATGGACTCATATAGTTATTGTCATGGATTGAAATGTAGTTATTCTATCAAGTTAAAGAGTGTAGGTACACCTACACCCTCCTACACTCTTTTTTTAGTCAACTCTTGTGGTCAAAAAAAGACCCACTTGCAATTCTAGATCGACTGGCCCAGTGGTTAAGGCGTCCGCTTTACACGCGGAAAATCGCAGGTTCGATCCCTGCGTCGATCATTCTTTTTTATTTTTTTATTTTTTTTATGATCCATCTATATATAAATGGTTTGATGAGTTTCTGATCTGATCGTTTACCCCAAATCGATATTAGCCAGTTGATGGTGGTGGTCGCCAGTTGGCTTTTGATCATCCAAGTGCTGAAACCAAAACCTCCTTCTCTCCTCCCTACTCTCTTTCACCTCTCCTTCCTACTCTCTTTGCTACTCTCTTTATTACTCTCTTATTCATCCATACCATTACCTAGGCATCATCTACTATCCTCATCTAAGCATCTATCCCCCCTTCATCTATCTTCGCCACCTGTTTGTACAGTTCCTACGGCAACTCACGCGTCTGGATAGTCTGCGGCCAACCAAGAGAAACGTCGAGGTAAGACGGTACCTATCAAGCCATTATGATTGACGTTCCTCTGATATATACCCGGGATATACAACATATAGTATGCCCTCGATACTCCGCACTCCCATCTGCAATGTCTAGATTCCGAGGTTCGACGCAAGGGATGCAGCCTGCAACACCTTGCACATACCGTCCACACCGTGGGACACCCACGGGCCAGCAGATTGTCCGGTGCAAATGAAAAGACCACTGCCCTCTGTCTCTAATCTGTCTGTCTACCGACATGCTCATCTTCCTCTCGCTGCTCCTCACCGTGCTGGCCTCCCCTCCCAGCGCCGCCGACGCCCCCATCGTCGACCTGGGCTATGCCGCATACCAGGGCGTCGGTCTCCCCGCCGGTGTCACCCAGTTTCTGGGCTTGAGATACGCTGCGCCGCCGCTGGGTGAGCGACGGTTCCGTGCACCAGCCGATCCGCCGCGTTCCTCGACCATCCAGGATGCTTCTAGGGTGAGTAAACAAATGGAGAACCACCCCCCCTCCACAATATATATACATATATCTATATACAACCATGGTTAAACAAAACCAACGGGTAGTTCCGCCCCATTTGCGTCGGGGTCAGCCAGACCGTCTCCGACTCGCAGGCCGAGGACTGCCTCTTCATCAACGTCTTCACCCCCTCCAATGCCACCTCCAAGTCCAGGCTGCCCGTCTGGCTTTACATTCAGGGCGGCGGGTACGCAGCCGACGCCAACGCCAACTTCAACGGCACTGCTGTCATCCAGCAGGCTGGCTTCGAGATGGTCTTTGTCAACTTCAACTACCGCACGGGAGCTCTCGGATTTCTTGCTAGCGAGCAGGTGCGGCAGCATGGCGACTTGAATGTCGGCTTGTTGGATCAACGGAAGGCGTTGCGCTGGGTACAGCAGTACATCAAAATGGTAAGATAACCCTGGTTTTCTAATATCATTTCTGGCTACTCTTCTTCATATGACTGACTGGATAATAGTTTGGCGGCGACCCATCCCATGTGGTTATCCACGGCGCCTCCGCAGGCGCAGGATCGGTGGCGCATCACCTCGTTGCATACGGCGGACGAGACGACGGTCTCTTCGTCGGGGCTGTCGCGCAGTCGCCGTTCTGGCCGACGCAGCGTACCGTCGCGGAGATGCAGTTCCAGTACGATCGTTTCGTGAATGATACAGGGTGTGCCATTGGAGAAAAAGTGAAAGAAGACGATGATAAGAAGACGCTGGAATGTCTCCGTGGCCTCGATATAGCAACCATTCAAGCCGCCAACGTGCCGTCCCCCTTTCCCGGTGCCCGTTCGACCACCTCTTCCCCACTACCGACCTGGTACTTTCTTCCCGTCATCGACGGCGATTTGATTCCTGACGACCTGTACCGCCTCTTCGATACAGGGCGGTTCCTCTCCGTGCCCCTGATGGTCGGCAGCGACACAGACGAAGGGTCGACCTTTGCGTCTGATGCCTCGACGCCAGACGAGGTCTCTTCCTTCCTCCAAACAAACTATCCGCACCTGACGGACCCGCAGCTCAAGGAGATCAACACTGCGTACCCGCTGCTTCTCCCCGCCCTACCAGCCCACCGCGCCTACTTCCCTTCTCTCTCCGCCGCATACGGCGACGCAACCTTTACCTGTCCCGCTCTCGAGATAGCCACCGCCCTTGCCGCAAGACAGACATCCCCCGTCTGGACATATCGCTATAACGTCCTGTCGCCGCTCAACCAGGCCGCCGGCCTCGGCGTCCCGCACATGTTCGAAACAGCCGCCATCTTCGGGCCCGGGTTCGCCGGCCCGGCAGATCCCTCCTACTCAACTCTCAACAGCGCCATTGTCCCCGTCACAATGGCCTACTGGGTTAGTTTCATCTTGACGCTCGACCCCAACCCGCTACGATCCGCGGGGGCGCCCGTGTGGCCTCGCTCGGAGCGGAATCTTACCTCTAGACTGCGTCTGCAGACAAACGCCTCTGTCATGGAGGCCGTCCCGAACCAGTTGACCGAGAAATGTACCATGTGGAGGCGGATGGCGGGGGTCATGGAGGTATAGACTGTATAGTTGGTATTATTGTTTAATAGATGTCTGACGTCATAGTCTGGGGGTGGAATATGCGGGGTAGACAGCACAGGAGTTGAATTCAGTATCGCTATTCCATATTATATACATCATATTAAACAATCAATGTGCTTGTGCATTACTCTGGTTACCCTACTTAATCAAGTCGTGTTATCAAGTCGTGTTTCATCCTTATAGCTTGATACATCAATGCTGGATGATTAGTATATCCGGATTATCATTGGAGGAGTCTTCATCTACTTGAGTTACCACTACTACATCTACTTACGCTAGCTACTATATACTTGTATGATATATCTTTTCACGTGACACCCCCTCTTTGAAGTCTGACAAAACCGAGGATAACTTTCTGCACGTATTTGAATCTCTGGATGCTTGGATTCCTTGCATAGAGTATCTATCATGTCGCTGAATACACTGCCACCGGAGCTACTGGAGCAGATAGCTCTGTTTACAGGGACACCCGAGCTGTTCGCGTTGCGACTTACCTGCCGGGACACCCAGCAGAGAACCTTGTACACGTTCAGCGCGCGCTTCTTCTCCAGTCTGGGCTGCGATCTGTCGACGAGCAGCGTGGCGCGGCTCGATGCGATCGCGAGCCACGGTCACCTGCGTGAGAACGTCCGCTCGATCTGTTTCGCGCGACGGGCTGGTGTCTCCCTGGGTGAGGGCTTCGTCTGGGAGAGGTACCCGTGGGGTACCATCAAGGAGGAACCCGCCATTCGTAACACCGAAAGGCTGAGGCGAAGTCTGCTTCGGTTTCCTCATTGCGACTCCTTTGCCGTTTACGCGGGGTACCCTGAAACCAGCACTGCAAAGCTCACCACCTCCGACGTGCTGGGCGTTGTGCTGGATCTCCTGAACACGACGCAGCTTCCCGTCCGCTCGTTCCAGCTTGTCTACCGCTCCGGGTCGATCGACATGCGCCGGCTACCAAAGACAAGGCGGTTCAGTAGTGCATCCATGTTGCCTAATGGTTGGTCGGCGCTGCGCACGATGCAGCTCCACCAGTTGGTCACGGTCCAGACGTTGCCCTTCCTGCTTGGGATGGCCGTGCATGCGCCGCAACTCACCAGCCTCTCACTGCGACTCGCTCCTGCAGATCTGGCGGGCGAGTTTGTGTACGAGCTCGCACGCGTGGAGAGACTCGCGCCTATCACTGAGCTGGCGATCGAGCATACCGCCTGTCGTGCCGAGGATCTGCGGCTGTTTCTCTCCCGGCTGGGCAGGTCGCTGTCATCGCTTGTGCTGCATAATGTCTGTCTGTTATCCTCTGATTCCTCTATTTCATTTTCCACTGCTGCTTCTGTTGCTGTTCCAATCGACTTGGCGACCTGGGCGACGGTTTTTCATGCGCTCGCCCAGGACTGTCCCCGGCTGCAAGCTGTCGCCTTCCAGGAACTCAGCTTGAGTCCCTCGGCGAGGGAAAGGAGTCCCGTCTCATTCCGACTGGACGAGAGAGAGAACAAGACGCAGTGCATCTGTTTGCAGGAGCGTCCTCCTGGACAGGTCCTCGGCGTCTCGTATACCGGCCCGGAAATGACTAGGGCGTTGACGATGCTGGAGAGTGCAGTAGTATAGTGTGAAGAGTAACAGAATATGATACCCAGCGAACAAGTTTGAAACGCAAGGCTTGGTCAAAGTAGATATGGAGATAGTCTCTGTATAAGCCGTGATAAGCCCGACTTACAGAGTCGGCGCAGCAGTCGTCGTCATAGGAACTACTAACCTCTCCAAGCGGTACTACATAGCAGTAGTATCCATCCCTTTGACGTGTCTTGAGCCTGAGTCGGCTGCAGCCATTCATTCAGGGGTACACTGCAGTCTTTCCGCAGGAATCCTCTTACCGTGATGATTGAGAAGGTTATATCTTCAGATCCGGCTAAAACAGAATGGCATAAGAGGAAGAACAGTCTATCGAACATGATACAGGAAGGAAGTTGTCAAATGCTAAAGACAGAAGAAGAACAAGAAGAAGGAGGAAAAGAAAAAAAAGGCGGTGTGACACGGCTAAAAATAGGTCCTTCGCGCCTTCCTAATTTGGCCAACTCGACGAGTCACTTCATTTTCACTTCATCCCACAAGAACAGCCAGTAACACTGCAGCAGACAGTGCTAGAGCTGTGGATTTGAGCGGACGCACAACAGCCGGACTTTCACCCGATGTTACCTGAGATGTCGACGTGTTGGCAGCAGCAGTTTCGTTGTCCAGCAGCCGCGAGAATCTCATCTCGTTATTGCCAAAGTCGAAGACGGCGACCACGTTCTTCAGAAGCGGAACACCGATGATATTGAGGACTACACCCTCGTATGCTACGCTTTCAGAGCTGGTCAGACTCGTGATACAGATGTCGCCGAGTTGATAAATGAGATCGGAGCCGTTGTGGAAAAAGGTCTGGTTGCCGATCTGGAGGCCGAAGGTGGGTGCGGTGGCGGCGCAGTCGACGACCCACGCGCTCAGCGAGGCATCATATGTCGCTGGTGGGGAGAACATCTTGTTGATGGGGTCAACAATGGCGGCTGGGAGGAAGGAGACGTAGTTTCCGCTGTCGACAAAGGCCTGGAACGAGGTGGAGTTGGTGGTTAGCGACGACGACGAGGAGGAGTCGTCGGAGTCGGAGCCATTCGATGCCGGGCCGTAGGTGGCCCCGGAGATTGAGATGCTCCAGTATGAGCGGACACGTTTGCCGGAGGTGAAGTTGAGAGGGATATTTTCGGTGACCTCGACGGGGACAACGGAGAAGTTGGGACTGTGGGCCACAGGTGGCAGCTCCCCGAGGGAAAGATAGCCGCCGAACCCGGACGAGCTGTTTTGGGGCGTGCGCGCCAGGGTGATACTGAAGTATGGATCGACGAGGCCTCGTTCATACATGGTGTTGAACAGGGGGCTATACACGGCGCGGTCATAAAAATAGGATGTGTTGGAGATGTTTGTGCCCGGGTGGGCAGAAGTCAGGGCCGGATACGCCAGGCCGATGAGCCCGCTGTTGACCCCGTCGCCCATGGGAGTGGACCGCTCTCCAATGCCGATCTTCTGTCCCTTGACGGTAATGCCGCCGAGGGTGATGTCCTCGTACGCCATGGCACCGCCCACAATCCCATCCCCATACTGCACGCCGAAGGTCTCGTTGGCGATCTGCCGGTACGTGTCTGAGATGTTGTATAGATGGGACGAGTATTCACACTCTTCCTCGGGCAGCTCCAGATTCGACGTCTGGTTGATGCAAATGAAGCCGGTTTTCGCTACCCACAGGTCACTGCTGCCCGTGTCGACCTGCAACTGGAAGGTCTGGTTTCCCACCGTCACATCCACATCGAAAATGGTCCCGTACTCCGTCGCCAGCATCCCGGCTGTGTGGTTGCTCAGAGAGACACTTGTATTGCGTGTCTTTAGAGCCATTGTGTTGCCGCTGCCTCCGAGCTGCTGTATCGCCTGGCTTCCAACAAATAATGACAAAAATCGCTGCATTGTGAGGGTATCTGAAATGATGGATGAATGAATAATGAGACTTGATATTTTCGATAATTTGATTTCTCAGTCAATAACCGATCCCTTGCGATATTTATGTGATTATCGCTTCCCAAAGATAGCACTCTCAAGCAACCTGTAAATAGAAACACATCCCAAAACAATGCTGCCTAGGTACACTGTACAGCCCAGCAAAACCTTTAGGCCGTACAGGATCTGCAGCGAACCGCCTGAATCAAGATCTTGCGTCACTACGGAGTAGCTAGTTAATTAATAGTCAGTCAGTGAACCTCGGTATGTAGTATATAGTATGTAGTAGGTATGGAGTGAGGATCAAGAGGCCGTTTATTCGGCCACTAAAAGTTGTCATGACAATCAACCAGTAGCGTTATAGGGCATTTATCCCTGCTACATTATGTAAAAGATAGTAGGTGATTAGTGACTAGTTGACTGCTAGATACTCTGTAAAAAGTACTGGTAAAAGTACCAGGAATTCGGTTGTTATATTATTGTTGTCGGCATCCGAAGAATTATAAAGAGAGCTGGAGCTGGCTATTATGCCTGATATCTTCGGCTCACGTCTTCCGATCATTCTATTAGCTTGGCTATTACTATTTACTGTATAATGGGAGTGATTTTCTCTGATGATTTCTCTCTTTAGTCCTCTAGTTCTCTAGTCCTTCAGTTCCTCTGTTTTTTGTTGTGTTTCTTCTCCCACTTTTCTATTCCCCCACTTGACACGAAGAGCGACTGTCACTCCCGACTGCACGTTGCACTCGACGGAGTAGCTGACGTCTACCTCCTAGGAGTCTTCCTAGATAATAATGAGTCCTGCGAGATTGACCGCTTGAGAATGCCTGTTCTATAGTGGGACCTCTTTTCGCCACTCGGTCAACGTGGTGTCCCGGGACTCGCTGGTTGCACGAAAACGAGATCGGTAAGGGAGCTCAGCGGGTGGCCTACGATGGTGTCAAGGAGTTAATCCGACGATATGGAGTGAAGAGAAGGAGAAAAGATAAGACACAGTCTCTTCTCCCCTCCATAACCCGGTCGTGATGGTTTGGGGGAGCCCTGCGAGTCGGTCTGTTCTCTCCCCCTCCCCCCTCTTCTAACCTGCGGCAACCGCGCGAATTCTCGCAGAATATACTGAACGGTGATGCCTAGATGGAGTGGATTACATGTGCATCACTGGCGGAGAATGCGGAATGAAAGAACGAACCCGTCAGACCGGCCAGATTCCCTAGCCACGAGGTTGCGCGTCGTCGGTCGCTGGAGGCAGTGCGGAAAAGCTGGTCTCCCCGACCGAGTGCATAATTCGCGCTTCGATACTACAAAGAACAAGGTCGATATTTGGAACGAAATTTCGCCGTACGGAGGCGATGGACTACGTCGTCTCGTTTCGGACCCTGGTCGGTATGAACAACAAGACGCTTCCGCGGGTACGGTGTATCTGGGCTTCAGAAGTGGGATAACGGGATTCCCCAAAGCTGCAAGCAGCTAGCCGAGGCTATTTTTCATGACCGAATCGTTTGCTGATGACGTTGGGTCGGAGAGGTGATGCTAAATCATCACAATGGATTCGCAGAGGGCTTCCGTCCCTCCGCAGTAAGAGGTTACGACTCTTTTCTTTGTTTCTTCTCAATCCCTGCTGACGAGTCAGTTCGTTGCATTAGATCCGACTACGCCAGAGGTAGAGGTACACTGGAAACCGAGGTTTCGAGAACAGGCAGCAGCCTATGCGATTTTGAGATGCACAAGACAGGTCGAATTATGCCATCCAACAGACCCTGTGTGATAGGTAACAAAGAAGCTAGAGAGGAGCCGATCAGCATAAAGAGAAGTACTCTGTACTCTGTATAATGAGAAGTGTCGCTTTGAATGGGGGTTTTACCCTTTAGTAGCTAATAATAGGTGAATGCCTCTAGAATTTTCAAGATACTGATTGCTTTTACGAAAAAAACAAGTGATATTCGTCGATAAATTTTAATTGAAACAACTCAGATCTCCTAACTATAAACTAACTACCCGTGGTGATGGCTACTAGAGGGCTTTCGTCCCTCCTTCTGCAACAGCCCGACCATATATTTATACTCATCCGACATGATCCGCGGGATCACACCCAAAGGCTTGCGGATCACGTTTCGGTATTGGCTCATGGGAACCGAGTTCTCTTCCTGCCAGCGCAAGACTGCGTCGAAATCCCGGCATTGCCGATTGATACTGAAGTCCGGGTATGGCTCGTCACCCACATCCACCCAGTAGTGGATGAAGGGATCCGTGCTGGCAGAACACATGAGGCTCTGCAGAAGACTGTACACGCAGTGCGAGATGTGCACGCGGTGGTCTTCCGGTGCGCCGCCCTCGGACTTGGGCCACTCGGGATAGTAGTGCTCGTAGTGAGCCTCGCGGCGCAGCAGGTCGAGACAGTGCAGCTCGTGGAACACGTCGAGGCGTCCGACAAACGCTCCGGGTCCGAAACCGTACTCTGCCGGCCATTCGGCTACAATACTCGGGTCGTAGCCGTTGCGGCGGACTTCGTCGGCGTTCATGGCGATCGGGTTGATATTCGCAATTCGATGCCATGCGGCGTCTACCTCGGGGCTGGGGTCTTGTCGGTAGATGCTGGGCGGGTTGTTAGGAAGAAGAGAGCCGTTCCGACGCACAGTCGAGACGGGAATGTGCATTTGATTTAGGATGGGGGCTGGCCATCCATCGTCAGCACTTTCAACTACAAAATTCTTTGATCAACTCTATCAGAGATAGCATCCTACATGGCTGAGAGGTCTTCTTGAGCAGACCATTGTGATGCTTGTCACCATACCGCAAGACCAGGTCCGACCAGCCAGCTGCAACCACACAGATGACTGCAACGAGAAAGACCACATTCAAGATCAATGAAAGCCGATACCGAGTTCTTGACAGGCTGCTAGAATATCCGGGGATTTCGTTGACAGTGCTTGATGAATCCTCGGACAGGAGTCTCTCGTCGGCATCCTTCTCGTCCCGGTATGCAGGAACAGAGATATACGTCTTCCTGGCGGAGGAGAAAATCCGGGAGAGCTTTTCGTATGGCATTTTTTTTTTCTTTGGAAGGTGAGGAAGCCACCGAGTAGTAGGTTCTTCCTAGCCATGCACTGGCTCATTGCCAACTTTTATATTCGTCTCTGGGCACTAAAGACTGTCACGCAATGACTGCGGAATCCCTATCAATCACCTATTACCTCGGGTATTCACCAACCTGACCATCACTGAATACGAGTGACACAGCATGATAAGACCCTGAGATGCGGGCCAGATCCTGCTCTTCAAGCCATCGTTACATTGGAGACTTGAAATCTCACCTCAGATCATGCAAGAACCCCTCATGCTTTCCCTGATCCTAACGGTCACTTTCCCCTAGCGTCTCTTCTCCCATCGTTGAATGGATAGGAGAGCCGTGGAAGGATCCCGGAGACCGCTTCGCCGCCGTGTCAAGATATCAATCAGGTCCATTAGGAATATGGGAGCGACCTATTAGCGTCATAATGGCGAAGAGGGCATTGCAATGGGTGAAATCTAGATGAGGGATTTTTTTTCCTTCATTGAACGGGTTGGTCACAAGAATTTCTTCTCTGAACATGATACCTATATAAGGGCATTCCCTGCTTGATAGTTATTTGACACCACACCTCTATCCTCTATATACCCTATAATATACCACTCACCCCCCCAATATGCGGATTTCCTTCATCTTTGCCGCCGCAGCGACTCTCGGGCTGGCTTATGCCGCGCCAGTTCCGGCTGCTGGAGGTGAGTCTACTCATATACATCATTTCTTCTGCATTGAGGCCATGAACTGAACCCAATAGCTTTGACGGCTCGTGAAGAGGGCATCTACGATTATTACGATATCGATGCGAAGGCTACCAAGCACAAGCGTGAGGAGGGGATTTACGATTACTACGACATTGGCGCGAAGGCCTCTCGCAAGGATAAGCGGGAAGAAGGCATCTACGATTACTACGACATTGATGCAAAAGCTACTAAGCACAAGCGGGAAGAGGGGATTTACGACTATTACGACATCGATGCCAAGGCTACCAAGAGCAAGCGTGAGGAAGGTATTTATGACTACTACGACATTGATGCGAAGGCTACCAAGAGCAAGCGGGAGGAAGGTATTTATGACTACTACGACATTGATGCGAAGGCTACCAAACACAAGCGGGAGGAAGGGATCTACGACTACTACGATATCGACTCCAAAACTACCAAGCACAAGCGGGAAGAAGGGATCTACGACTACTACGACATTGGGGCCAAAGCCAGCAAGAACAAGCGAGAAGAGGGGATTTACGACTACTACGACATCGACTCCAAGGCTACCAAGGCTAAACGCGAGGAAGGCATCTACGACTACTACGACATTGGGGCAAAGGCAGAGAAGCGGACCCCTCAGGATTTCGCCGATGAAGCTCCTCACGGGCATTGAGCCGTGTTCAAATCAATGGCTTGGAAATAGCACCCAGTTTGGTAGCCAACATAACTGTTAATCAAATCAATTGGCCTGCCAGACATGCACGGCAGCCACCATTCCGTTTGCCATTTTCTAGCTCGGTCCTCACCCTTCGGACTCCGATGTACCCTGCAGAACCAAATCCTGTATCTTCCCCCAATCCCCTCCCTCGCAGAGCAAATAAGAGTGTGCAGGATCAATGTGGAGGAGACCATCTGCTGCAGATAAGAAATAAGAAGCAAGAAGCTTTGACAATCCGGGCTCTAGTTGGCTGGTCTGCAGATAAGTCTAGAGCAGTCTACACTGCCTCATGTATTACTGCCTGAATCATGATAGAGTATTACTCCGCCACCAATGAGAATACCAGCCTTCTTTTTTAGGTCTTTATTGTTCTTCAGGGTGTCTGCTTAGCCCGTCCACTAATCTTACACAACCCCGCTCTATTGACCCTGTACGGAGTATAGGCCGGGAAGACGATCCTTTCTCCATTCACGAGAGACGAATAAGTATGCAGTACCACAGTACATACCTTTGGGGAAGATATGGCGAGACATCTGAAAGATGAGTCGTCAGATATAGTCTGCAGAAAAAAGGTGCAAGCGAGTATTCCAGAAGACCTGTTGTTCATTGCTTGGTAATTATTTAGAAGAACATCTATCAAAGAGAGTATTATAAATGTCAAATGATACACCAGTACACAGTATTTCATTTACTGAGATGTGTATTTTCAACTCCCAGGCCGTCTTTCCATATTAGGCATATATTATGCTGGAATAGGCTTAGTGAGAAAACCGGAGACTGACGTCACGTTTCTGCCATATGCCACCGCTCTGGCCAGCCCTAATTTTTTCACTGGTGAGGATTCATGATGTTTATCGTTGAGTTGTTGGTTACTATAATTACTCGTAGTACGTAGATACCTTGATATATTATCGCTAGAATTGAGATATCTTTCCTTGAGATTACTGTTGTTGATAGAAAGCCCTGAATGTCGCAACTTCCGCATCCGATTCGGGTCACCGTCTCGGAGCCCCGAGGAAAACAGTCCGAGAGACACCACCGACAACCACCAGCCCTCGGATTTAAAACCATCCACTTCCTCAATTATCCTCCATCACCACCATCATCACCATCATCATTGCAATGTCGCATGTTCTGATCATCGGAGGAGGCCTCGGAGGCCTCTGTCTGGCGCAGGCCCTCAAGAAACACGGCATCCCTTTTAAACTCTTTGAGAAAGACGAGCGAAAGGACTTTCGCGCCCAGGGATACCGGCTGCGCGTCTCGGACGAAGGGGTTGACGCGCTTGAGTATGCCCTGCCGCCTGAGCTATACGAGCTGTTCAAAGACACCTGTGCGGGGAAGCAAACCTTTGGTGTCCGCTTGGACGCCGACGGTGCTGATCTGAGCAACCAACAGTCTGGAGGACCTCCTCCGCTCAAAGGAGACAAGTCCTACGTTGTCGACCGCACCACCTTCCGCGAGGTGCTGCTGCGGGGACTCGAGGACTCCGTGTTCTTCGGCAAAGCGCTGGACCGTTATATCCTGCATGAAGACCATGTCACGGCTTATTTCACGGACGGATCGGCCATCGACGGCGGGTTGATTGTTGGTGCGGACGGCGTACACTCGCGTGTACGCAGACAACTGGTTCCGGGCTTCAGGGCGATCGACACTGGCCTACGCATTATCTACGGCAAGACGCCCCTAACGCTTGATTTCGAGGCAAGCTTTCCAGAGGAATACCGACGGGGTGTCTCGCTTGTACAGGAGAAGATTCAGAGAGAAAATGACGACGGCTCGTTTCAGCACACCCTTTTTTATGAACCTATCCGGTTCCCCTGCGCAAACACCGTCGCCGACCCCAGATTGCCGGCCCCGTATATCTACTGGGTGCTGTGCAGCACAGCGATGCCCCTGCCAGACGAGGAACTCCTCCATCTCACCCACGACGAATCCGCGCAATTAAGTCTCCGTCTCACACAGCATTGGACCCCGGTTCTGCGCGTCCTGCTCGAGATGCAGGATGTGTCGCAGACATCGACGCTGCGGGTTGCTTCTGCCCCGCCCGACCTGCCTGCGTGGGAGGTCTCTCGTCGCGTCACCCTTTTGGGAGACGCCATTCATCCCATGCCCCCGACTGGCGCCATGGGAGTGGTCACGGCACTCCGGGATGTAGAGGACCTCGCGCGCAGGATTGTCGCCGCGGGGGGTGTCGCGGCGATGGAGGAGGCGAGGATTGCAGAGTACGAAGAGAGCTTGCGACAGTTTGCGCGGAATGCTATCGCCCTGAGTTGGAGGGGGGGAAACAGAGGTTTTGGCTTGAAAAAGGTTGAAGAGCGTCTAGACTGTCTGATTGATATGTGATCTCCAGAGATGAAGCTCTTTGATTCCTTGTGTATTCTAATTCTCTACATATATGTATTCTATGGCAAACATTTCTCAACTCTAGCGCATTGGCATATCTGTGAAATAAGCGAGGAACGATGTAATATCGATCCTTTTCGGGATCATGGCGAATTGCCATTAGTGAATCGACTCCAGCTGCGGATCTTTTTTCCATAGATATAGAACAAGATGGGAACAGGGAACAAGGCGGTAGTCAAGCATCCCAGCAATGTCATTGCCCAGTTTACGCCGAGATTATGGAACTATATTGCAGCTGTCAGCTCATGGCATGGTCTCGTAAATGGAGAGGAGGACCGACCATGCCAATTCCAAACATGGGAAACCCTGCGCCCAGCAGGGATCGGAATAGCGTGTTGGCTGCAAGGGCAGAGTTTGAATGGCCAACATAGACGTCAATGATGTAATTGAGGCCCTGAGGATCAATCAGTCAATTAGAATCTTGAACAGCAGGCTTCGTCTCAGACTGACCTGCAAGAAGATTAGTAGGATGCCCGCGCCGAGCAACACCGCCGAGAGAACCTGCGGTACCCAGTTGATATGCGGGTCTGAGGTCCATGCAAACCAGAACATGCCGGCGGGGAGCAAGAAACCCCCAATCATCATAGGCACCAGCCGTTCCTCCGGTACGGAGCCTCCGTTTTGGTTCATCTTGCGCCGGTAGCGAGTCTTGGTTAGCACGATGATAATGGCGCAGCCCATAAAGACTCCACAAGTGATAGCCAGAAAGGGCAATGAGGCAATGCCCAGTTTCCAGCCGCGGCGCTCGTGGAAGGCGATCTCGAAAGACTGAAGACTGAGGTAGAGAAAACCATACACAAATCCCATATACAAGGTGATGAGAAGCAGAATGGGCTCTAGTACCAGCATTAAGAATGGCCGGAAGAGGTACTTGTGCACCAGATGCTCCAGGTCGGTTTCTTGTTCATCCACGCTGGCATGGATGGCCCAGTCCCGGGTCTGGTAGCGCAGCTTCTTCGCACGTTGCGAGAGGAGAACAGGGGCGTAGGTCTCTGGGAGCAGAAAAAGGCCCATAGCGCCAAACAGAAAAGCCATGATAGTAGTGATGTACTCGGTCCACCGCCAGCCTAGCTTGGAAGTCGTGATGAAGCTTCCGACAACAGGGCCTGCTACAGGCCCAATAAACGTTGCTCCAGCAAAGGCGGCCATGGCAACGCCTCTGTCAACAGGGTTAAATATGTCTGCCAGCGCTCCACCAGCCTATTTCGATTTACATTCAATACAAGTCAGTGATGGGGAGCATATCTCAATGGTATGGAAGACCCGGCAAACGTACAATCGCCAGTGGCGCGCTGCCAAAGAGACCCCCAAAGAATCGACAGAGGAAGATAGTCTGGAGATTTTGAGCAACCGCGACGGGGATTTGGAATATGGCAAAAATGAAATAGCCTATCAGCAGAGGGTTTCGACGCCCGTAGAGTTCAGACAGAGGTCCAAAGAATAGGGGCCCGAAGGAGAAGCCAAGCACAAAAAGACTGACTCCCAATACCATGACCTCCGGAGAGACGTGAAAATGCCTTGATGTAGCTCTGGTGGCTGAACTGAAGACGGAGGAGGCAAATGTTACGCAGAACGTCATTGCTGCGAGCATCATGGTGATTCTCCATTTCTTGCGGACGGAAAAGTTCATTGGGTTGTCCTGCGGTAGCAGAAAGATTCGGTCAATTGCTTGGAATGACAGACCTGACTTTTCCAAGGCACTTACTCGATCATCTGGGCCATCCCATTGTATTGGGGTGGAGGACTTTGGGCCGTTGGATTCTGCTTCGGGTCGATTGATTGCCTGTCTCTCATCTTCTTCGAGGCGACTGCTCCCCTCTTGTTCCTGGTCTGTTGTGAGACTGGCAGACTCATGCCCGGAGGACTCCTCAGTGTCGGCCAGGTTAGCCGAGGAGTCTTCTGTGGATCTTGTGGACGACTGTTTCTTAGCGCTACTATCTGGAGAGAGTGACTCCCCACCAGCTCCCTCGTAGCGCTCCCTCTCCATCGCCCCGGTGCACTGTGAGGTTATTTTAGGCAGATCCTAGATTTGGGTGAAATATACGCATTCTAGCATTGTTAATGTCGGATTAATTACGTACCTGTTGCGCTGCCCTTCCGCTGAAGACGTCATTGACACGATGCATGGCACGGCCGAACTCCGGAGGATCAAGAAGTCTTGGGAAACAAAAAGCAGATGTAAAGGAAACTTTCCTTAATGGTGATATGTAAAAGCATGAACCATTGTTATATATTAATAGTGTTGACATGACAGGATGATTTGGTTCTCAATGTGATCCAGGATCAACATATTCCGAAAGCAGGTTATCAGAAACCGATTCCAAAACAATATATCGTCCATGAATGGCGCCTTACTTCTGGACAGACGCCAACATGGCTTTTCCATCCCCCAGAACCTGTTCCCAGCCCCGTGCCTTTAGCCACTCCTCAAACGATTGAGTCGGGACCTTGACCTTTAGCTGGGCTGGCTCTATGAAGCCATCCACGCCGGCCATGTAACTGAACTCGTTGAGAAAATTCGGGGCTTCCAGTACTTCCAGTGGAACTCCAAACTGTGTGTGAATAAATTCGGTAGTGACTTCCACCAGTTCGACTGGCTGCCCGATGACCCGCGACCAGATCCGAGCAACTTCCTCCATTGTCGGATAACTGTTGTAGGCCAACAGCTTTGTTCCAGCATTCTCCTGTTCTACCAAGGCCTGGACAAACAAACCAGTTGATCCACGGGTATCAATTATGGGCATCTTGATATCAGCCTTGATCGGTGACACCAGCTTGTACGCCCCCGTTGTCGGATCAGGCCTTGGCATGAGCAGAGCATTGGTGGCATACGCCCCCAGATAGATGAGCGACGTCTTCTTCCACAGCTCCGGTTGTTCATTCTCAATGTATTTGACAATCGTAGCCTTTGACTCCCAGTGAAAGGATTGCGTGTATTTCCCCTTGGACGCCTTCCTCATCGGCCCCAGCGCCGAGTAGACGAACCGCTCAAGTGTCGGCACCGCTGCCGCCGCGATAGCAGCGTTCTTGCCGTGCAGGACCTCTCGATCATACGACTCTTTGCTCTTTGTTTCATCATCCTCGCTGCACTTCCGGTACGCCCACCAGAAATCTGTGTTGACAAAGATGGTGTGGGCGCCGGCGAACGCAGCAGACAACGAGTCGAGATCGGACAGGTCAGCCTGGATGAGGCTGGCACCAAGACCTCCTAGTTCCTGGGATGCGGGCGAAGACACATTGCGCGTCACACAGCGTACATGCCAGCCAGGCAGATTCGCAAAGGTGCGTACCACCGAGGAGCCCTGGTTGCCCGTGGCGCCCACAACGACGATAGTTTTGGCTTCGGAAGTCATGGTGTTGATAGCAATGGGGGTTTTAAACGGGATTAGGGAGATATATTGGATATTAGACAGTGGAAGAGTGATGAATAAACAAGTGATGAAGCAGAGAAGTTGAGGGGGTTCTTGCTTTTATAACTCGAGACTCACCCATTGCCAGATTGGGATATATGCCTCAGGCATCAATGGCTTACGGCGACAGGCGATCTGATTGGCCAGTCACGCGTAAGCCACCTGATGAGTCAGCACACTGCCTCTTGGGCTTAACAGCCGCTTAACTCCGAGTCTCTGGCAAAGAAGACGAGGACAACATTGAGTGGACAAAAAACCGTTGGACATGGCCTGAGAAGACGGAGAAGCAGAGAGGAATATGTCAGAAGCCAGTCGATTGCCCCCAGAGACTGGCTTACGGCCGAAGCGGGTCATCACCGCCGCGCGGAAAGAGCAGAACAGGATCTCGCAGCGAGCGTACCGTGAGTTGGGAGCAAAGAACGTGGACCAGACGGCTAACAATCTCCTTTAGGCCAGCGAAAAAAGGACCAATTGGTCAGTCAGCGGATGCTCAAGGGTGGGCAACCGGTTGCTCAATACCTGGAGATTCAGCCATCGCCAGTTCGGGGCTGGACGCCGAGAGATGAAGGGAAACTATCCAACGCGGCACCTCTTAGAGAGGGTATCTCGAACGAGGTGGAGACTCAACAGACTGAATTGATAAATGATTTGACGACTGGAAGCTCAGATTCATCTGGCAACGACTTGGTAAACGTTGGTTGGAACGACGCAGGCGACTCCCACTCTCTCGACATGCTTTTCTGTTCGTTTCCAACGACATCTAGTTCCAGCTCGGATGACATGTTGAGACTGTTACCACCAGAGACAACCGTTGATCCACTGGCGGTTTTCACTCTGAGCCCCACGGTATCCGGACCGACAGAGTGCTATTCCACAATCCCTGAGACAGACAATAGCCAGAAGACTAAGACTACCACAGTACTGGCAGACCCGTACCTGAATACTCTGCAATCCTCGCAGACATCCTTCAATCTAGCGTGCCTTCACAACGCCCGCAGCCTGGGAATCTCCATCGAGGAGTTCTACACGTTCAAGTGTCTCACGCTCTGCTCGCCGTTCTACCGACGGGCGTCCCCATCCGACGACCCAAAAACCCTACTCGCCTCTGTCTCGGACCCAGGGGCGCCCGTCCACCTCCAGCCGACACTCGCACAGGTCCTCTTCCCTCATCACCCGATGTTCGACCTGATCCCCCTGCCCGTCCTGCGGGAGCGCGCCATCACGCTGGCCGCCACGTCGCCGGGCCTGTTCGATCCTCTCGATCTGAAAAAGGATATTCTCCGCGGCGGCCTGGTCTGCTGGGGAGGCTCCGGAGGACTCGGTCAGCCCTGGGACATGCGCAGCTGGGAGGCCGCGCCCTGGTTTCTGCATAAATGGCGGCTGCTCGTTAACGGGCCGGAAGGCGATCTCTGGCAGCAGAGTTTGTGGTGGCAGAGCATGAGACAGCAGAATCCTGCTATTATGAATTAGATACACATATACATATACATATAAATATACATATCCATATACACCCCATTTATTTATGAGACCATGTAGTATTGTTATGTTGTATTCTCACAATTCCCAATCACCAATCGGACGTTGTATAATGTCCCTGAGATCGGCACTCATCCCTGTAGAGTAAATCAATCAATTACCCGATAGACCATCTAACATACTGTAATAGTATTTTTTTTTTCCTTCTTAAAGTCATCAACTCATGCTATACCGACTACATTGTACTCCGAACTAGAGTCGAAAGATATCAAACTCCCTCGATATGCTCTGTCTTGGAAACGCCGCCCTCCTTCTCGTCAAAGACGGTAAGAGCCTCGCCATGAGCAAAATCACGCTCGAAGATGGCGCCCACGCGAGTTGCCTCGCGGTCGCGGAAGACCCAGCTGGTCCGCTGCTTGGAGAAAAGAAAGTCGATTTCCTCGAGGGATTTCCCCGCGGTTTCCTACAGTCAGTTTAGTTTGTGAAACGTTTTCTTTCTTTCTTTCTTTTTTCCCTTTCTAGTAGACGTACCGGGTAAAACAGATAGATGATGATTGACATGAAGTAGCAGAGGGCCATGAAGATCATGTACAGCTCCCACCTAGGATGTGAGTAGTTGAGCATTAAAGAAATCATGTTTATCATGCCAGGTATGAGAAAAGAGCTTACGAAATCTTCTCCATGGCGGTTGGAACGTAGAGACCGAACCAGAAGTTCTGTCATGTCAGTACTACAATGCAAATCGCAGCCAAAGTACTCACCACAAACCAGTTGGTGGCAGAGGTCATGGACGTGCCGCGGCCACGCATGTTCATGCTAAACAGCTCAGGCGGATAGACCCAGGCAACGCAGGCCCAGGTGAGGGCAAACACCATGACATAAATGTAGACAAATGCGATGGCCGCGTTGGAGGCCATTTTGTCCTTGAAGGTGAAGTCGGTCTTTTGCGTCAGGGCGTCATAGACGGGGTTGCCTTGAACAGTCAGCTTTAATTTCTTTATATAAACTGTTGTAAGGGCTAGACAGAAGGCCAGACCCTTTGTTTTCATGATGACTCCGATCAACATCATCGAAATGCCCATGCCAACGCCGCCGATCACCATCGGGGTGCGCCGGCCCCAGGAATCCATAAAGTACATGTCTGGAAGAGTGAAGATGTTAAGCACAACGCCCTCGAGGCCGTTTGCCAGGAGCGAGGACTTGGTCGAGGAGATCCCGGCCTGCTCGAAGAGGAAAACGGCATAGTACATGATTCTATCTGCTTTAGTATATCAAAAAGCACTTATGCATGAATTCGAGGATAGCTTACACGTTGATACCGGTAACTTGTTGGAAGAATTGCTAGGCTCGTCAGATAACACCCCTCCAGCGCAATATTGATTTCAGTACTTACCACTCCGATACCCAGCCAGGTCCGCCGGCGCTCCTTGCCAAACAACATCTCGCGATAGGAGGGGGCTGGATGCTGACGCTCCCACTGGATCTTGGATTCAATCTCGGCCAGCTCGGCCTGCACATATGGGTCATTAATGTCGCCGTTGGAGTGCATCTGCGCAAGAGCCTTCAGCGCCTTTTCGTGCTCGTCACGTTGGACGAGCCATCGTGGGGACTCCGGCAGGAAGTACATGGTGATATGCAACGTGATAGTAGGCTAAAGCATCAACGTTCAGTAGGTCTCGAATTGGTAACTTTTTCTTCCCCCAGTGAATGATTCTTACGATCATCTGAAGGCCCACAGGCAGACGCCAGGCGGCCTGCCCGTCAATGAAAGTCGTTCCGTACTGGATCCAAAACGCCACAAGGATACCCAAGTTGATAAAGCATTGCTGGAAGGAGATGATACGACCACGGATCCTATTCCCGTCAGCGGTGATTAATGAATACTTACAACACTCAAAAAAAAAGGTATTGGAACAAATACTCACTCTGGCGGCGAGATCTCACTCTGGTAGAGAGGAACCTGTACCCGTCAACCAGTTCCTCCATCAGTGTTGACTGAATATATATATTTTCCTCGCTTACCATCATGGCCAGACAGCCGTTGCTAATGCCATTGATGACGCGCCCGGCGACGAGACAGACGACCCCGTTAGCAGCACAGGAAATGGCGACACCGATGGTGAAAAGCAACGAGCCCAGAAAAATGGTCTTCTTACGACCCAGTCGGTCCGCCAAAAAGGCTCCTGTCAGCAGGGAACCTGCAAAGGAGCCAGCTTGTAGCGAGGCGGTTATGCCGCCCTGGAGGAAGGAGTCCGGATGGTTCATGTAGTCGAGGAACTGCGACATGGCTAGAATGCCACTCAGGGATCCTGTATCCTGGAGAAAAAGAGGGAGAGATAACTGTCAGCAAGGGATCTTTCTGAATAGTCCTCTTAATTGTCTTCTGGGAGCAACCTACATATCCATAGGCTAGGCCGCCGGTACACGGCGCCAGGCCGTACAGGTACACTTTCTAAGCCTGTCAGAAAGACGTCGTAATAGACAGAGAAGGCATGAAGCCTCGTAAATACTCACCCAGGAGACTCCCATATCTGCAACAGCTTGAGATCTTGGTTGGGGATCAGCCCACAACAACAAGCGGGGAAGTTGGCCCTATTAATATTAACTGGTAGGGTAGATAAAAGTTGGGGATGTTTCGTCTCCGCATCGCTGATCCTTGCGAGAAAAGCAAGAAATAGACCGACCAAAGGGCCGATCTGCAAGAATACCGCCGAATGAGCCGATCGTACATGGGTATGAGATGCCAGAGGGGAAGTTGTCAAGATGATGTTTTTCTCTGATCTGGATGGCGGTGGTGGAATATAAACAACCCTAACCTGCTTAGGCTACAGTGTTGAATTTTCAATACGAGTTATTCTATAATAGAGTAAGCAAATTACTTATCTAGCTAGGTTAGGTAGTAGGCAAGGTCATATTTCCAGAAAGGTTTCTAATGCAGCAACTGTCTAGAGAGTAGCTATATAATTGATATCATTGATATTCATGATGTAGTGTATTATTAGAGTGATAGAAAGCTAGACGCTGTCTTACTGCTGGCTAAGATTTTAGATTATCTGGTATAAAATGCCGATTCTGTTGAAACTTAAATACTGTCTGAACAGATCCAATATGGCCATTAGTTATCTATTTTTCTCTAATATACGGGGTTCAATATATTCCAGCTTGCAGCCGCTATCCAGATCTGCACTACTGGTAGCCAAGCTTTATTACTATAGCAATAGAATTCAAGTAACTATACTGTAGTTTATTAGATCAAAGCTTTCCTATCTCCATGATTTTGTGCTTTTCTATATGTGCTATTCAGCTGCGTACAACAATATAATAATACGAGGTGACTCTTTAAAACGAGTCAGATGAGTCACTTATGGAGATTAATGTTTTTACCATGCAATCTGCAGAACCCTTCACAGAATATAATATCTAGTAGGTATTCCATAGAATCCTGGTAGAGATAATAAAAGTAATAAAAGTACCCAGTGGGAGTGAGAGTCCACTGTCTGTGCCATTTACATCCAAGGCTGTACCGTTTTTATTTATTTCATTTTATTTCCAATGGACCACGATAGTACTATTCGCGACGAGATCGCCCATGAGCTCACCGCAACCCCCTTTGCCTGTTCATCGCTCATCAAATTGAGTGGTGGAACAGCCAATTTCGTCTATCGTGGTGTTCTGGCCGAGCAACCGGATAAGAGCGTGGTGGTCAAGCATACCAAGGACTACGCTGCCTCGAACACCGCGCTTCGACTGGACGCGGCACGATGCGTGAGCTTTACTTTTACTAGAAAGGTACTTTGATAATCATGAAGGATAGACTGACACGGTTTTTGTAGAAATTCGAAGCAGCCATCATCGAAAGCTTGCACGAGCTACCGCCGCTCTCTCTCGCCGGCCTCACCGTGCACACCCCGCGTCTCCTCCACTTCAGCACGACTACACTCACGCAAATCGTCGAGGATCTACCGCACGCAGTCGATCTGAAGAGTTACCTGCTCTCCGAGCAGGGCAGGACGCTGTCTCAACCCATTGCACACGCCCTGGGTCGCGTGCTGGGCGCTTGGCTGCGGTCGTTCCACACATGGGGGAAGGACGACGCGCCCGATGTGGCGGCGAGAATGCAGCAGAACATGACGATGAAGAAGCTCAAGCACCACGTTAACTACGGTTTCCTGCTGGAGACGATCAACAACTTCCCGCACCTGCTTGAAGGGTCTCGTAACGTGTTCACCCAGGTGACGGACATGGCGGCGGCGGAGCTGGATATCCACGAGGGGGAGATGTACGGGTTGATCCACGGGGACTTTTGGACAGGAAAGTGAGTTGAATCTATTCCCCCCCCTACCCGGCCTTGAATAACCCAAGGAAAGCTCTATTTTCTAACTCAATTTCTAAAAGCATTCTCGTATCGACACCTCTCACCCGTCTCTTTGTCGTCGACTGGGAACTGGTACACGTCGGCCATCGCGCCCTGGACCTAGGCCAGATGATCGCCGAGCTTTACGAGACCACACTATTCAAGGATGTGACAGCTGGAGAATGGATCGTCCAGGGCTTTGCTGAGGGTTACGGGCCTCTGAGCGACGCGATGGCGTTTCGGACGGCCCTCCACGTCGGCACCCATCTGGTCTGCTGGGGCAGCCGTGTGCCGGGATGGGGCACGCCGAAGCAGATCGAACAGGTTGTCGAACGAGGGAGAGATTTCATTCTTCGAGGGTGGGAGAAGGACCGCGCCTGGTTCAAGACCGGGGCACTTGGTTGCTTGTTCACGGAGTAGAGGTGAATCAGTAGATGGTCTTCTCAATAACGAAAGTATCATCTTGGAAAATATCCTGCAAAGGTTCTCTGGTAGACTCCTGTAGACTCTGGGCTTATTGATGGTTCCTTCCCAAGTCGAAGTCAACAAAGAGTGGCAGCACGTGGTCTCCAGAAACAGAAATTAGGGCATGGAATTAGGGCATCCCCCGTCATTTTGTCCTCAACTGTTTTTCCCCCTCCCTCAATGCAAGGAATTCTCAACAATGAGACCGACTCACATCCATCGATTTGGCAAGTTTCTTTCATTGATGATGGCATCTGAGAGTCATCTATCCACTGCCATCACATAAACATCGATAATAGTGGGAAACAGTTTGAACAGACGGTGAGTTGAGAGCCAGGGGTAACAGAACAAACAGACGAAGAGAGAGAGGAGAGACATTAAAATCATCAAGTATATCATCTAATTATACTAACCTAGTCTTTATTTCCATCTTGAAGCTATTACCACAACGAAATTCGGTCATGCCATACTTCCTCCCTGCTTGATACCATCATCATACAACCTTCCACCTCCCCTTGACCTTTTCCGTCAGGCCGGCTCGAGCGACCACCTCACGACTCCTGCGCTGTGCTTCTTGAACAATCTCCTGCTCATTCATAGTGAGCAACTGTCCTTTCTCGACGACCATCTGTCCGTCGACGACGACGACGTCAACATCTCGGCCGGTGGCCGTGTACACGACCGCGCTCACAGCGTTGAACCACGGCTGCGAGTGGATGCCTCGAACGTCGATCGCGACAAAGTCTGCCTTCTTGCCAACCTCTAGGCTGCCGATGCGGTCCTCTAACCCCAGCGCCTTAGCCCCGTTGATCGTCGCCATCTCCAACACCGTCTCGGCTGGTACCGCCGTCGGGTCGTACGAAACGCTCTTGTGGATGATGGCTGCCAGCTTCATCTCTTGCAGCAGATCACAGGTGTTGTTGCATGGCGCACCGTCCGTTCCTAGTCCGACATTCACGCCGGCTTTCTGCAGGTCGGGAACGCGACAGATCCCTGACGCCAGCTTGGCATTCGAGGTTGGACAGTGTGCGACGTGAGTGCCCGAGGCTGCCAAACGGTCGATGTCCGAGTCGTCCAGATGTACCATGTGCACCAGCACGGTCGACGGAGATAGCAGGCCTACTGAGTCACAGTATGACATGGGCGTATGTGAGACCGAAGCGAAGAAGTCGCGGTCGGCACGCACTTCGGCGCAGTGCATCGTGATGGGGATGCCTTTCGATCGCGAGAGGGCCGTCATTTCCTTGTACAGTCCGTCCGACACCCTATTCGATAAGAGTAAGCGTTGAGTTGAATCCATAATATAACACCGTTCTTCAAGCACATACCCGCCTGGTGTCCGGGCCCCGAACCACACACGAATGCGGTCATTGGCCTTGCCATTCCACTTCTCCCACATCTGCAGCGTGCCTAGCAGAGATGTCTCACGGTCTTCCACAAGCCCCGGATGCATCGCCCAAGCGTCATCTTGTGCATACCGAGCAATGTCCATGACGATCTTGCCCAGACAGCCACGAATGCCGCTTTCTTCGACGGCCCGACAGAGTCCATCAAAGCCATAGCGGTCGGCGAACTAAGTATAACATAAGCATGAGGGATAGGAAAAACCAAACGATATATGCATGGATGGCAGTGCTGCTAACCAATACTACCTACCATACTCTCCAAGAAACATGTCGTTCCTGTCTTCAACATCTCGCCAATACTCAACCGCGCAGCTGCATACCCATCCTCCGCCGTGAAGTTGCCCTGAAGCACCCAGATCCGCTCACAAAGCCACGAGACCAGCTCTAGGTCGTCTGCCGTGCCCCGCAGCAGCGTCTGCGCGGTATGCATATGCGTCGAGATCAAACCCGGGATCACTATCCGCCCGGATAGATCATACTCTTGTTCATCAGGGTATTGTGCTTTCAAGGCGTCGGTCTTGCCGATGTCCGCGATGCGGTCGCCATCGACGCGGAGGGCACCATCGTCAATGATCCGGCGGGAACCGTCGACAGTAATGATGGTGGCGTGTGTGTAGAGCATCGTGTTCCGATGGCCATCAATCATCATTGTCGACCCTCTCCCCATCTTTTGTTTTCTTTATGCCTGGGGGAGGCGGTCCGGAGAGCGCCGATGTGCGGAGAGAGTGCGATAAGATAAATGCGGCGTATCACCCCCCGGTGGCGATTAGATGGATGTTACACATTTCAATTGCTCGATCGGAAATGCCCTACACGGAGGTCGACGACCATCCTTCGGTCACTTCCTTAGGATGTCGCGGGTATCCGGCTTCACATGTGCCATTATCATCATCGTGACAGTGCCCAACAGGCTGCCTGATGCAAGCCACACGAAGCGGGTTTTTTTTCACTCTTTTTTGATGTCTCGCTCAATTGATCATTCTTTCATCATACATGCGACTAGGGTCCAATTGTTGGACGGGGAGAGGCGCTTATCTTATCTCCTAGATGGGCTGCAGCGCTATCTATGTCTGCCCCCAGTCAATGCAATTATGTGATCGAGGCCTTCCAAGGATCGTCTGCTCGCTAGACGAGTATATAGGGCACAAGCTCGCTGATCGATCACAGCTGAGAGGGGGGGGGGGGAAAGTCAGACTTGTTTGTTGCCTTTCCTTTGACCACCATGGACAACTCGATACATTCTACCGATGGCCCGGACACCATCGTGCCCGGTTCCAACCCGCGACAGACGCTGCGACAGCGCTGGCAACGGGCGCGACATGCTCTCACCACGAAGGAAGGTCTCATCGGGGACTACGATTATGCGTATCTGTTCCGACCAGAGATTCCCTTCCTGAAGCGGCCGATGCGCGCGCAACCGTTCTTCGCCCTCAACGACCGCATACCCATCTTGCTAGCCCTGCTGCTGGGCTTGCAGCATGCCCTGGCCATGCTGGGTGGCATCGTAGCCCCGCCCATTATCATGGCTGCGGCCGTCAACCTGACCACCGAGTACACCGAGTACCTGGTCTCGACCTCGCTGATCGTCTGTGGCCTGCTGTCGCTCATTCAGATCACCCGCTTCCACATTCACAAGACGCCGTACGAAGCTGCTCTTCTATATCATATGAATTCCGTCTGACTTATTTTTTTTTTTTTTGCTAGGTACTATATCGGCACCGGTGTGCTCTCGGTGGTGGGTGTTTCCTTCTCCATCATCACGGTCGCCACAGGCGCCTTTACACAGATGTATGAGAATGGGTTCTGCCCTGTGGACGAGGACGGCACGAAGCTGCCATGTCCCGACGCGTACGGCGCGCTGATTGGCACCTCTGCGGTCTGCGCGTTGATCGAAATCCTCATCTCCTTCATGCCGCCCAAGACCATCCAGAAGATCTTCCCGCCGATCGTGACGGGTCCGACAGTCATGCTGATCGGTGTGTCGCTGGTCCAGAGCGGCTTCGAGGAGTGGGCGGGCAGCTCCGGCGACTGTATGTCCCGTCCCTCGACCGGTATCTACCGCTTGTGTCCTGAGGTGGGCGCGCCGCATGCTCTGCCGTGGGGCAGCCCGGAGTTCATCGGGCTGGGCTTCTCTGTGTTTGTGACTATTCTCCTCTGTGAACGGTTTGGATCCCCGATCATGAAGTCGTGTTCGGTCGTCCTCGGACTGCTGGTTGGGTGTATCATCGCTGCGGCGTGCGGATACTTTGATCCTGCGACTGTCAATGAGGTAAGTCATGTTTTCATCTTTCATCAAGGGCATGGATATATATACTGACGTGTGTGTGTGTGTTTTCTTCTTTAGGCGCCCGTGATTTCGTTTATCTGGGTCCACACATTCAAACTACAAGTGTACGGTCCACTCGTGCTTCCACTGCTGGCAGTGTTTATTCTGTGTGCCTGCGAGGCGATCGGCGATGTAACGGCGACATGCGACGTCTCGCAGCTCGAAGTGGACGGCCCGGTGTTCGACTCGCGAATCCAGGGGGGCATTCTCTCCGATGGAATCGGCGGGCTGCTGGCCGCCCTGATGACCATTTCGCCCATGACCACCTTTGCGCAGAACAATGGAGTCATCGCCCTGACGCGCTGCGCAAACCGGAAAGCCGGCTACTGCTGTTGCTTTTTTCTTATTGTGGCCGGCATCTTCTCCAAATTTGCCGCGGCCATCGTCGCCATTCCTGACGCTGTGCTCGGCGGCATGACAACTTTCCTTTTCGCCTCGGTGACGGTCAGCGGGCTGGCCATTGTCGGCAAGGTGCCCATGAACCGGCGCAACCGCTTCATCCTGACTGCCGCACTGTCTCTAGGGTAAGCCTTTCTTTCTTTTCTCCCCGCTTTCTTATAGTGGTATCACGCTAATTCTCTAGATATGGCGCCACGCTCGTCCCTACATGGTTCTCATACGTTTTCGGGTCGACGAGTAATAAGAACCTGCAGGGGTTCCTGGATGCGATTGAGCTCGTCCTGGAGACGGGCTTCGCGGTGACTGCTTTGTAAGTTTCCCCTTCTCTCTTGATTTCCTCATTCCCGACGATTTCTAACCTCTTAGTGTCTCTATGATCCTCAACTTGATCATGCCCGAGGAGATCGAAGCCATTAGCACCCAGGATGTGGATGTTGTGCCGACGAGCAGTGCCGAGCCGAGCCAGGTAGACTACTCGTCCAAGGAGGTCAAATGAACTTGGAAAAATTGAGCTTTTGTCTTTTCTCTATCTCAATTCATCGGAGATACATGTATGTCTTATACCTAGGAGTTTTTTTAAAGAATCTCAAATATACGTCCTCAAATACTCTCCCAGAGCCATGATAGCCATGGCCTGCCCATACGGCATCGCCGTCAGGGGGATCTTCTTGTAGAAATCGAGATCGTGGCCCATGGGTGTGCCGAAGCTGGTACCCTGCAGTTCGCCGTGCTCGTCCACGAAGCCCAACACAGCCAGGACAGCCTTCTCGGCCACAGGGCGAAAGCGGGCATCGAGATAGCGCCTGCGCACTGCCTTGAGGATACCGTATGCGAAGCCTGCCGTGGCCGAGGCCTCGAGGTACGAATCGGTATGGTCGAGGAGCGTATGCCACGCGCCCGAATCAGCCTGGAGGCGCTGCAGGGCCTCACACTGCGCGTTCAACGTGTCGACCAGATGGACACGGAACGCAGCATGGCCATCCAGATCCAGCAAGTCGAGCATCTCGGGGATCGCAATCGTGATCCAGCTGTTGCCGCGGGCCCAGCGCGCACCGGCAAAGTTATGCCCGCCCTCCTCGAACGTCCAGCCATGGTACCATAACCCCGTCCGACTATCAAACAGATACTTTATGTGTACTAGAAACTGGCGCTTCGCTTCCTCGACATACTCCCCTCTATGCAGGAGGAGGCCGATCTTGGCCAGCGGGAGGACCGTCATGACCAGCGTGTCGTCCCATAACTGCTCGACGTTCTCGTCATGGTACGTTAGATGCTGCATGCCGCCGTATTTTGTGCGTGGGAGGTCGTGCATCGCCCAGTCGGCCCAGCTCTCCAGCCAGGGTCGGTAGATTGGGTTCCGCGTCTCTTCGTACACGTACGCGAGCGTCAGAAACGCAGCCATCGTGTTGATGTTTTTGGTGGTCCCGCCCTCGGCGAACCGGGCGGCAAACCACTCTTCTATAATCGACAGGAGCTCCTTCTTCCCCGTGAGCTCGTAGTACTTCCATAGTCCGTAGAGTCCGATGCCGTGCGTCCACTCCCAGCTGGCCCAGCTTTTGGTGTCGATGATCCGTCCGTCTGCCGTGGGGGCAAGGAACTCGCCTGATTCATCGCGGATATTCACTAGGTTGTTGATTAGCTGGTCGATAGTGCTGTGGATGGTCTTGCTGGGCGGAGTCATGGCGTAGAATGGTGTGTCTGTGTCTGTGTTGTGATAGTTAAGGGAGGTGGAGGTGGAAGAGATAAATGGAAGTGGAGATATTGAGGCTAAAAGGATCATATTAGTAAGAAATAGTCTACTGTTGGCTGAATAAATTATTCTCTACTGAATAAATGACCAGAGTGCTCTGATTTTGAAGGTATCATGTATAGATAAATGAACCCTCGAGTATAACTAAAATTCCCTAAACGTCCAAACCATACTCCTCAATCATCACGTCCGCACACGTCATCCCCGTCACGTACGCCGTGCTCTGCGTGTGGTTATTAGGCAGAATAGGCACGACGCTCATATCCGCGACTCGCAGGGCCTCCAGGCCCAACACACGGAAGTGCGAGTCAACGCCCGCCTTGGGATCGCCCGCGGCGCCCATCACGACCGTACCCGTCATATGCCACACAGAGGTGGCCGTGGCTCGACAGAACTCGAGGATATCTGCCTCCGAGTCGGAGGCGGGGCCGACGAGGGTCGAGAGGGTATCCTTGGCGATCGCTTCGTGGCGGACCAGAGCCAGTAGCTCGCGGACCATATCGACGCAGCCTTTGCGGTCGTACGGGTGCTCAAGGAAGTGCGGGTCGAAGAGCAGCGGCACGTTCGGGTCCGACGATTGCAGGCGCACCTCCCCGACGGACTGCTCGTTCATAAAGATAGCCAGCAGGGTGACGGAGCCGAAATCCGTGATTAGGCCCGGGGCGAACTGAGGCAAAGGCGCGTTCGCGATCAGCTCCCAGTGTGGCACTGTGGGCCGTTGCAGGAACTCCTGCACGTCAGCTGGGAGGGATGCGAATTCGCTCGATCCCAATAGGCGGTCGTCCATCTTGAGGAATCCCATTACGAGCTGGCATGAATGGCGTGCCCAGGGGCCTGTCCTATCCATGTCCCACTGCTCCTGCGCCTCCGCCATAGCATCCGGGTTCTTGAAGAATGCATTGCGGTCGTTGGTGCCGGCTTTGCGCTCTAAAGTTATCGCAAACGCAGGGTGGTCGCGCAGACCCTTGCCAACAGCCGGCAGATCGTGTCGAACGGGGATTCGAAACCTAGCGAGCTCGTCCCGGGGACCGATGCCCGAGTGCATGAGGATCCGTGGGTTGTCGAGAGTACCGGCGCAGAGGACGACTTCTTTCGCAGCGTAGTCTGGAAAATGACTTTGCGTCAGCACATTGTTATTTGTTTATTTATTCGTTTCCGATATCCACTTACACCGATGTTCTCCTGATTCCACTCCGATTACCTTCTTCCCCTCGAGGATGACTCGCTGCACGGCCGCCTGGGCAAGAACCGTCAGGTTATCCGGGGCGTCCAACAACAGATCCGCTGCTGTGGATCGACGCCCTTGATAGGCCGTGTTGCTTGCCAGTCCAATCCCAAGCGGATTGCCCGAATTGAGATCCAGGTTTCTCTCCAGACCGGCCGCGATCAGCCCGTCCATAATGAGGGGAAGGTCATTCTCCCACTCACGTGCGTACCCGACATGCAGGGGCCCATGACTACCATGGTCTGACGGCGATGGTGAGGCATACTTGTAGTATTCTTCGTGTTGAAACTCGCCGTGGAAGGATTCTAGCCGCTTGAAACGCTGCAGCATCTGCTCCCATCGGAACGTCTCGTCGCCTACCTTCTCAGCCCAGCGGTCATAGTCTTCACGAGGGCCGCGAGTATAGGCGCTGAAGTTGATAGCACTGCTGCCTCCCAGCATCCGGCCGCGGTGGTATTCAAGCTCGCGGTTGTTGCAGTGCTGCTGCGGAACAGTCTTGTACCCCCAGTTAAGCTCCGGGTTGTGGAAAGTCGTCCATCGCTGACCATCGACACGTAGGCTATCCTCCTGATTTCGGCCACCGGCTTCGAGGAGCAGTACCTTCGGCTTCTTTGATGTATGAGCTAGTCCAGCAGCCACTGCACAGCCAGCCGGTCCGCCTGAGACGTATCATTAGTATGGAATAAATGGTAGTCATGGGTGATGAAGCACGAACTTCCGACAATGATAAAGTCCCACTGGGAGCTCATAATGTACCCAAGGGATGAATCCGTTGGATGAAGGGTTTGCGGTAAGATAGAGACGGTGAATACGACAGGAACTTTCAGGGAGGAGTCTCGCGTTTAAAAAGGCCTCAGGAACTCACAACTGGACGCCTAATGGCGATCATAGATCTGCAAGCCTGCCTAACCTCACCACTGCTAGAGGTTGAGATAACGCACCAAGTCGATCAGAATCCATCGAGCACACTGCTGCTGCATGGGAGACAATCTCCCCGTATCTGATATTTTCGTAAGACGGATGATATATATGCATTCCAAGCATGCTTCATGTCAATCTCGTATTGGTCAGCATCAATTGAAAAAGCAGGCAGAGAAACCTGTCAGAAGGTCCCGGTCAAGTGATCTCAATCCATATTCTTCTGGACACGCTTTTATCCCTGTTTTATCTGACAAGTCCAAAGTTAAACTGAACCCGCTTCCAACGGCAACGATGTAGCCTATGGTAATCAACCGAGGGCGTACAATGCAGCTTCTGCTTCAGGCGTCAGTGAGAACGAGTCTGCCTAATGTAAGAATGCAGGTATCGTTCGTGGAGCCATCTCATCCACTTGATGTGGAAAAAGGAGGAGGTCTTCCCAAAGCTCAGACGACAAGAGGAGCAACTGGTTGCTGTATACTGGCAGCATGCGTAAGAGTGGAAGAGAAGAGACGCGTGAAGCTAAGCTGAAGCTGACGGTGACTTACGGACTAGACATTATAAGGCAACCAGACTGCAGCTTGAAGCATACAGGTCATCCCATTCCATCTCATTCTTCGTAGTGTTTTGTGGATCCAAAATACATCCAGGGCATCGAATGGCGTGCCAAAGACGTACGCAATAGTCATATCGGTTGTCAAGAAGTGTAGTCCATTGCTAAGAGGTACAGAGGGAGAGTGATGAGAAGGAGAGAAGTGGAAAGGAGGGGAGGAGAGGGAGAGTGAGTCTGGACTGGTCATGTGATATATGAGGGATTTATTCAGACTTCAGACCTTCTTTCTACGCGTCACTTCTGCTTATAAAACGTGGTTTCATTCGGTTTATTGATATCTTCCAGGATCCCATCTATAGCCAGAGGTGAGTACTTGCCAGCTACCTAGTTCTTATAATGAACAGGACGTCCCTCTTCCGTGGTAACACGCAGACTGAGCAGGTCCGGACGAGAATAGTGACCGACGAGATCGAGATTATGCTTCGCACGCGCCTTATCCGCCAGATCGACATCAGCGTACAGGATGACTTCCTGTCCTGCATCCGGTTTCTCAACCAGGGGCGTCCCGTCAGGTCCGTAGATCATGGAGAAGCCGCCACTACCCCCCGTGGCATACTCAAAGCCCTGCAGCCGGCACTTCTCGCGGTTCTTCTCAGTCAGGACCTGCGTGCAGACCAACACGAAACAAGCCCCCTCGAACGCCATGACTTGCGACAGGCCCGCGTTCAACCCAGGCGTGATCTGGTACGTCCATGGTATTTGTTTTTCAGGCGCAGGCTGATCCCAGATCAACGGCCAGCTCGCTACATGGATATCCACGTCCTGCGCGTACTCGTAGTACCGAAGTAGGGGCTGTGTATGTTCCCAGCAGTTCAGGCCGCCGATGTTCCCGAACGGCGACGAGACCACCGTCTTCAGGGAGTCGGCCTGCCCGTCGCCCCAGTATGCGCGTTCGACGTGGGTCGGTTTGATCTTGCGGCGGTGGTGGACGATCGTTCCGGTAGGATCGATGAAGGACTGTCTCATTTAAAATACAACGCAATGATATTTCGTAAGCATCAAGGGCTTACCTGCGAGATAAAAAGAGTCCCCCTGTACCGCTCGCTATATCCTAACACGACAAACATGCCTGCCTCTCGAACAGCAGCGCAGATCCGTTCCATCTGCTCGGAGTCCTTGACCAGCGAGTTGCGGTAGTATTCGTCCATGAACGTGGCGTTGTCAACCGGTGAGTTGGCCCAGATGCTCCTATTCAGTTAGCCAAATTCCATGAAATTCAAGTCCATTACTCAAGAGAAATTTACCAAGGATAGCCTGGGATAAAGACTTCAGGGAAGCCCAGGACGTTGGCTCCGTTGGATGCTGCATCTTCGATGTAGGCGATGGTTTTGTTGACGCCAGCCTCGAGGTTGTTCCATTCAGGCTCGGCCTGTACAGCTGCAACTTTGATAGACATGGAGAGGGTGTGTATGTGTGTTTGTGTGTGTGAGTAAGTAGAGAAGGAAGAGTGATTGAAGAGGAAGTGTATAGTGAATTGAGAATATTAAATAAGGTATTCTTATCAAGACATCAACTGTTGGTCTATCTGGATATCAAATATCCTATCCGGGTCATACTATACGGATACATATATCTAGATTATATGGCTGAAATCTATCCGGATGATAGTGATACGGATATAACAGTATATTAAACACATATCTGGCTAACTATTACCCGGATAACTATCATGTTTATACATTTGTGAGTACCTTATACATACTATACAAACCCCAGAGAATCAAAAAATAATTCATCACTAGTGGCAATAGAACACTCTTCCCCCACATACCGCTCATACTGACGACGACTCTCCTCATCGATATCCCGTTCCAAATCAAGAACAAAAAGATCAACCTCCCACTGGGCGGCGAGAGACCGGATCGCCCGGATCGACCTGTTGGCCCAGTCCCAATTGATATTCATGCCGTACAGGGCTTTCATACAGATACACAGAGAGTGCATGGTTTCTTTTTCTTTCTTGATCTTCAGGTCGAGGAGGAGGATAATGGCTGCAGTGAAGGTGGGATGGACTGCTGAGATGGGAAAGTATCTCTAGATAGTATAAGCATAAGAGGAGAGTATTAAGATGAGTATCGGTATACCTTTGTGAAATTGTTCATGTAGATCCGGAGAATCTGGGAGGTCTTCATGGCAGCCGCCTTGCAAGATCTTGAATGGATATCCTTGCCGTCAGGGTCATATTCGATAGACTGGCTGGAGGGGGAGAAGGGATTGAGAAATGGCCGGTGGAGGAGAATCACCGAATGGTGGTATTGTAGACTAGCTGGTTAGCAAAAATTCGGACCAGATGACAACCCAGTAGATAGATGCAAGTAGTAACTATATGTATGTATGCTTACTGCAGCTGGTACACGTATGGCCTTGACGGCTGCAGACTCGAGTCGGAGATTCTGAGGCTTTTAGGTAGTCGGTCGTGGAATCTTGTCGCTCGCAGCTGTGTCTCCATCACCCGGTCCTCTCTTTCTCGGTCTGTCCATTCCGAGCGCTGGGCATACCTAGTTTATCAGTTGATGAATGATGAATAAACGAATGATAAAGCTTACAGTTGATCGATGACTTCTGAGGTGATGATGAGAAGCTCGCAGGTGGCAACGGCGTTCTCGGTGATGTGAGATGTCGGAAAAGGAGTGGAAAGGACTGTCTGCTCGTCCGAGAGTGGGAGAAGGGGATAATTCTCTGCTGTCGGCTTGGCGGTTGTGATGTTATATTCCTGGATGCTAGCCGGGCGGCCCATTCCAAGACAATATAGTCTACAGTATCAGCAAGGAACTGAATCATGAACACAAGGAAGATAAAAAAGAGTTGAAAAGCTCACTTGTCAAGGAGATAGACCCCCCAGAAAACGATGTTGCGTTCCTCGACGTCTTGTCTTGAGACCAGGTTCCTCGAAACGGAGTGTGAGCAGTCCGAATGCAGCCCCAGATTCATCGCCATGCGGGAGGCCATGCCAATATACATGAAACCCAACCCTTCGTTATCGATCGACGCCCAATAGAGACCTAGCAGAGCGGTTGCCTGCACAGTAGTCGTGGTGGGGGCTTCATACTCGTAGTCCAGCATGGTCTTGGCCTGACTGGCAAAGGCGGCGCCGGCGGTGTTGGCATCCCCGATGTCTCTCCTCACCTCTGGGCGGGATGAATATCGCGAGGCGAGGGCGAGAATGGCCATGAGCAGGAGCGGGGTGCAGTATCGCCCGCTGTGGTCGACGTAGAGATCGCGGAGGAACAGCTCGCGCGGCACGAGGTACTGCCAGGAGTTCTGCCAGCGCCAGAACAAGCCGAGCAGATGATCGCGCAGCTCGGCGGGGGGGTCGAAGTACCCGGGCGTCTGTCTTGCGGCGGCGAGGCCTCGAAGGCGGGCTTCGGTCGACGAGGCGACTTTGAGCGAGTGGTTCTGGATGAGACTGAAGTTGCTGGAGGCCCCGAAGAATCGCAGCTCCCCAGCATCCCCCAGTGTGAAACACCCAAACGCTTCTGTCAAGTCGTCCATCTTTGGTTCCTGAGCAGCTCTTTGCCCGGAGTCGGAATTTGTCTTCCCCCTGCCCTCTGAAGCTGCCAGTCGTCGTTCCAGACACTCCACACGGGCTTCCAAGGCAGATATATATGCATTACTAGGTCGTCTAGAGACTTAGAGAGAGAGAGATAGAGAGAGAGAGAAAGAGAGATACGCACTTCCGCTTGCTCTCTGAATCGGTGTATTGACATTCCTCCTCGCGATAACTGCACCCCCCACACCTTGGCTGTCTTCCATCGCACTAGAGAGCGAAGAAACATCAGTAAAGACAACGTCTTCTGCAAGTTCAGACTGACCTTGGTTCGTTTTGCCCGGCATCCATTGCATGCCAGGATGATTCGTTTGCGAGGCTTGGGGGGGCTGTGGGCGAGCATATTGGCTCAGGCCAATTTTGATTAACGATTATGGATTTTCAGGTATTTTTAATTGGATCGAATTGGAATTTATTGAATCAGAAGTAGTAGTAGTAGAGTACCTATAGTAGTACGGAGTACGGAGGAGTAGAGAAGGTAGTTCTTATCAGTTATTGCTGATAAGGTGATTTCTGGATAGCAGGTATCCGGATATCAGGAAAGGTATAACTACCTAGTTACTATGTAGAATGAAACACCTAAGATTGTTTATTCGCTATATGGTAGCTATATAAGTAAACTAAGTTATTATATACTAATTACAATTCTATAAAAATGATAATTTCATAAAATTGTAATTGATATAAAGGGTAAGACTGATAATGACTGGCAGGTTGTACAAGACTTTCTTGCTATACACGAGTAATAATGTTTTAAGAGAGAATATCAATAACTAACCATAATAATCAAAGATAGTCGACTTGAATAGTATGTAGTATTCCAAGCTCATCCCGAGCATCTTGGCATAATTGTGCAGAGTGTTATTAACTACGGAGTAACAATAGGAAGACGAGAGCCTTATTAATCAATTACTAAGCAGACTGTGGCACAGTGACAGCCACGTGAGGAGCACGCGACAGTCGGCAGCCCAGCCACAGATGAAAGTGGCGTCACTGGCGCGGCCCATCGGACGCTAAACCAGGAACAGGACTAGCACCGTGGGTGCCACATGCGGCAGGAGCAGAAACAGGAAGGCGCAAGAGGCAAAAAAACCGGCTCAATTTTCCCTCGCCTCGTGTTTTCTTCAGGGGGACAACAGAAGGAACAGCACCAGCAGTGAGTGTCGGATTCCAGCGCCTTCCATTGATGCTCCAGCAGTCATACTGACAGGGTTATTACAGAGCACTACAGAGGAGGCACAGATCGCTTCCTCGGGTCACAAAAGTACGGTTCCGCAGCGTTGGGTCGAGGACTCCAATTGCGTCTCGGCCCTGAGCCTGCACGAGTCGCCCCTCCGCCACACAAAATCTCTGTGCCTCGGTGGGTAGTCGGCAGTGGGCACTGGGAAGTGGCACATATCAGGGCCCAGGGGAGAGAGTGTGGAGAGGGGAAATAATATTCCCACAATCTCTTACTGCTTGGATTATGCGTGCTGGTGCTCTCGATGAGCTGAATCCAAGGTCAACAGGAGGGGAGACAGGAGACAGAGTCGAAGGAGACAAGAGATAAAGGGAAAAAAAAAAAGAAAAGACGGGAAGAAAGAAAGAAAGAAAGAAAATACAATGACGAATTCGCTTTCCACCGAGCCCAAGGGCCTGTCCGACGGCTTGGGGATGGGCCCCGAGAAGCTGGCCGTGACGGTGCTGTTCGCGATTGCCCTGTACAACAGTATCGAACTGGTGATTCTGGTCTTTGTCACCTTCACCCGCTACACCGGCTTGTACTTCTGGAGTTTGTTGCTGTCCGCCGTGCTCGGGGTGATCCCCCACGCCCTGGGTTACATGCTCAACTTTTTCCGACTGGCCCCGGACGGCCTCGCCATCACCATGTCCACCATCGGCTACTGGTTCATGGTCCCCGGTCAGTCGGTCGTGCTGTACTCCCGCCTGCACCTCGTCGTGCAGGACCCCCAGGTGTTGCGCCGGATGCGCCTGCTGATCATCGTCGGCTCGATCGTCTTCATCATCCCCACCACGGTCACGACGTACGGGACCGTCTTTACTGATAATGAGGACATCATCCGCGCCTACAACGTGATCGAGCGCATGCAGCTGACCTGGTTCTGCATCCAGGAATTCATCCTGGCCGGCATCTACATCTACCAGACGGTCCGCCTGCTGCGCCTCAACCCCGATAAGACCGCCCGCCGCAGGAAAATCATGTACGAACTGCTGGCCATCAACGTGGTGATCATCCTCATGGACATCTCGCTGCTGGTCATCGAGTACCTCGGCCTCTACGTGATTCAGGTCACTCTCAAATCCGCCGTCTACAGCATCAAACTCAAGCTCGAGTTTGCCGTCCTGGGTAAGCTGGTCTCGCTCGTCAACCTGCACGCCGCGTCGGCGCCCACCTCGGCCGAGACGGGCGACTTTCCGACCTTTGTCGACCCTTCCCAGATCCACGGCGATATCACTCACGCAACTGCCACCACCCCCACCGGCCGGGGGCGATCCCCGCGCTCGCCCTGGCACACCAGGACCATCTCTCTGGAGAGTCTACCGGCCTCGGTGACGAGAGCTCGTTCAGCCTTGTCAGACCTTCGTACGCGGAATGCCGTTCCATGATCGCCCGTTATTTATCTGCGATTTATATCTATTTCCAATACCTATATATCTTGACCTCATCTTGACGAATTTCGATGTCATTGGTCATGTGATGATATATATTAGGTAGTAGGTACTAGCAAGGCCACCTTACCCTTTTTCCTTCTTCACAGTCTCATGGCCCAACGCTCGGTGTATATCCACCAGGGCAGTGCGGACGCCATCCCAGGTGATGCATCCAGCGGCCTCCTCTTCCTCCGAGATTTCTTCCCGGCCATCGACTCACTGTCCGGTGCGCCACATCCGATCGTGGCGTTCTTGGATCCGCAGGCCTGCTTCATTACCAACAGCAACCCGCCCGTGATGGCGCAGCCGGCCATCGCCATGCTGGAGCTGCGCGGGAAACACGTCGATCGCTTCCATCATGAGCTACATATGGCGTGGGACATCGATCATACGCCTGGGGATACCGATCATGATCATGATCATCAGCAGCAGCAGCGGCAGCAAAATAGTCCCACCGACGACACCAAGGCAAGCGCCACACGCACCGTCATGTACGATTCCACGACGGGAACCATCCTCCAACCTGATCCCGAGAAGTTTGAGATCCGCACGAGCGAGTTCAACATCATTACCCTGCGCGCGGACCCAACCGGGCCCCATGGCCTGCGGGCGGTGGAGTTGCGTACCTTTCTGGACGCCCGGCCAATCCAACAGCGAGCGGGCGTGTTGCAGGAGCAATTTGCCCAAGGGGCGGCTTGAAAACAACCCACTGACGTTGTTCAGTACCACACCACAGTGAAGTTCCCAACCCACTGACGTTGTCTCGCACCGTACCACAAGGGCAGTGATGCTCTTGCAGGGCGTTCCTTGGACAGCCTCAAGTTGGACTATGACGTCAGCTGACAAAGACTTGACTGGCCAAGGCGCTAGGCCGTTTTCGGGCTCGCTTGACTCTCTCTGGTCTTATAGAAGAAATAAAATACTAGTAGAATCATGAATAGAATAGAGTACAATTGACTAGATAGAATACAGTTACCGATACTCTCTTGACACTGACAGCTCATCGTTTCTTTTGTTTGGTGGTGGTTAAACTGAAGCTCCTTCTCCTGCTCTCCTCTTAAGTTCTTATCCTGGTAGCGATTCCTTGCTCTCCTCCACATCCCCACCTTAACTTTTCCCTCGTCGACAGACCAGACGCTTTCCCGGGTGAAGAAGGTATCGTCGTTCCTTCGACTGCTCTGCATGCTCTGCCTGTCATCAGATCAAGCGTGTTGATTTTTCCCATCCGTCTCTAACCCTTCGCTGTTCTCTAGGCCTTGCGTTCGTCGTCGTCGTGGGAGTGGGACCTCCGCCGTCCACTGAGGGGTTACGATACCGTCAGAATCCTCTCGGGAGAAAGGAGAGAGAGAGAGAGGAGAGAGAGGGAGGGGGCGAACTCTCCATACTGAGAAGGCAGATATAAGAAAGAACTGTCCAGGAATGATTGTTTGATAAGACACCCGATTCGAAAAACTATGGCTGCTGATTCGGAGCCTCCTCCTGGCTCTTCCCAAGGGAATAATATGTCTTCGAATGCTCCTCCGGATATTCCTCTGTCTCCAGGAGAACCCTCACAAGGACAATCACCCGCCTCGCCTCTCGATTTTGCCGGTCCGGACCGCGTGTATCCCATCCGCTCTATTATATCGGTCGATCGCCCTCAAGGGCTGAGCGGCGTGACGGGCCCAAGGCCCGTCTCGCCTGCCAGGGAAGGCGCCCGGGCGTACTCTATCATTGATGAAGAGACATGGAACCAGCTTCAGGAGCAGCCAGTGGCTGAGGGAGGAGGGGGAGGAGGGGGAGGAGGGGATACGATAGAAGATTCCCAGGAGATGGATGGGGGGATACCAAAGGAGCCAGAGCCAGAGCCAGAGGCAGAGGCAGAGCCAGAGCCAGAGCCAGAGCCAGAGACATCAGAGGCGCTGTCGCCAGAATTACCAAAGACGCTGGATCCGGTTGAGGGGAACACCTCAGGGTTGCTACGGAAGATGTCGCTGTCAATCACCCAGACGATGTTCCAGGCCAATACCCTCCCCAGCAAGGAGGAACAAGAACGGGAGCCGCAGGCGCTGGTGACGGCACGCTTCCAGCACGTTGAAATCGAGGGTGGCCACGCCGTCATCACAGGACGAGGCGGCGAGTCGTTCCAGTTCTGCGAGGACGAGCCGATCCATATCCCCGGCGCGGTGCAGAGCTTCGGCGTGCTGGTCGCCCTGCAGGAGGACCCGGCCAGCAAAGGGCTGCTCGTGCGCGTTGTGAGCGAGAACTCCAAGGCTTTCCTCGGCTACTCGCCCAACGAATTGTTCGCCCTCGAAAGTTTTACGGATATCCTCAGTGACGAACAGGCGGATAATTTCCTCGACCATGTCGACTTCGTTAGGGACGAGGCCTGCGATCCTAGCATCGACGGGCCTGAGGTGTTCGTCATGTCCATCACCATTCCTGGTGGTCGTTGCCGTCGCTTCTGGTGCGCCGTCCACATCCACGAAGCGAACCACGGTCTCGTCATCTGCGAGCTCGAGCTCGAGGACGATCCAACCCACCCTCTTAACGTCTCCGGCGAGACGACCCCGATGCTGCCGTCGGACACGCTCGGTATCGAACCCACGCCTGAGGAACTGGCCGCCAGCACCATCAACATCAGCCAGCCGCTGCGGATCCTGCGCAACGCTCGCCGCCGCCGCGGCGAGGCTGCCGCCATGGAGGTGTTTAGCATCCTCTCGCAGATCCAGGAGCAGCTCGCCCGCGCGCAGACGCTCGATGCCCTGCTCAACACCGCCACGGGTCTTGTCAAAGAGCTGACGGGCTTTCACCGCGTCATGATCTACCAGTTCGACAGCAGCTGGAACGGCATCGTCATCGCCGAGCTTGTCGACCCGCGAGCCACTAAAGACCTGTACAAGGGTCTACGTTTTCCTGCCTCCGACATCCCCAAGCAAGCCCGCGATCTCTACAAGATCAACAAGGTCCGCTTGCTGTACGACCGTGACCTGGTCACTGCTCGTCTCGTCTGTCGCACGCTGCAGGACCTGGAAACCCCTCTCGACCTGACACATGCCTACTTGCGCGCCATGTCACCAATCCATGTCAAGTATCTGGCCAATATGGCTGTACGGTCGTCCATGTCTATCAGCATCAACGCCTTCAATGAGCTCTGGGGGCTTATTTCCTGCCATTCGTACGGAAACACGGGCATGCGCGTCTCGTTCCCCATCCGCAAAATGTGCCGGCTGATCGGCGACACCGTCTCGCGCAACATTGAGCGCCTCTCGTACGCCTCGCGCCTGCAGGCCCGCAAGCTCATCAACACCGTCCCCACAGAGGCCAACCCGTCAGGGTACATTATCGCTTCCTCGGACGATCTGCTCAACCTCTTCGGCGCCGACTACGGCGCCCTCTCCATCCGTGACGAGACCAAGATTCTCGGCAAGCTGACTCACTCCCAGGAAGTCCTGGCCCTGCTGGAATACCTCAAGATGCGGCAGATCAATTCCGTGCTGGCCTCGCAGGATGTCCGCAAGGATTTCCCCGACCTGCGCTACCCGCCGGGCTTCAAACACATCTCGGGCTTGCTCTACGTACCCTTGTCGTCCGGCGGCAGCGACTTCATCGTCTTCTTCCGCCGCGGCCAGCTCATGGAGATCAAGTGGGCCGGGAACCCGTACGAGAAGCAGTACAAGAAGGGCACAACTGCGTACCTTGAACCGCGCAAGAGCTTCCAGACCTGGCGGGAGACGGTCATGAACCAGTCGCGCGAGTGGTCCGAGTCGGACGTCGAGACCGCCGCTGTTTTATGTCTGGTGTACGGCAAGTTCATCAAGGTCTGGCGCCAGAAGGAGGCCGCCATGGAGAGCTCCCAGCTCACCCGGTTATTGTTGGCGAACTCGGCGCACGAGGTGCGCACCCCGCTCAACGCCATCATCAACTACCTCGAGATCGCGCTCGAGGGGCCGCTAGACCACGAGACGCGCGACAATCTTGCCAAGTCGCACTCGGCCTCCAAGTCGCTCATCTACGTCATCAACGACCTCCTCGACCTGACAAATACCGAAAAGGGCCAGGAGCTCATCAAGGACGAGTCCTTCGACCTCTGCCATACCATCCGCGAGGCGACCGACATGTTCGAGCCAGAGGCCAAGCGCAAGGGTATCGGCTACTCCGTCACCGTACATCCAGGCCTGCCCACGGCCGTCCTGGGAGATCAGCGCCGCGTGCGCCAGGTTGTCATGAACCTCATCTCCAATGCTATCCAGCACACGCTCACCGGCTCCGTCGCGGTCGATATCTGGCGCTCGCCCGTGCCGCCTGAATCGTCTCGCCACGTCCCCATCGAAATCACCGTCTTGGACACGGGCACGGGTATGTCGCAAAGCACGCTGGAGACTCTCTTCCACGACCTGGAACAAGTGTCCATGGAAGATGATAGCTATTTGTACGAAGGCGACTCGCAAGAAAGGCAGCAGCACGAGCAGGAGCAGCAGAGCATCCGCGCCATTGAGGACGCTATGAGCTTGGGAGAAGCAAACAGCCAACGCCGAGTACTTGGGCTGGGTCTAGCCTTGGTGTCGCGCATCGTGCGCAACATGCACGGCCAGATGAGCGTCAAGTCCGAGGAAGGAAACGGCAGCCGGTTCAAGATCCTGCTCCAGTTCGCCGTGCCGGACTCTGCGGACGCGACACCAGCAACCACCGGGGCGCCCAAGACGATATCCTCGACCCCGGGGCTTGCCACCGAGGGTCCCGCCACGCCCCCGACGACCGAGGGCGACTTCATGCTGGTGAACCGCGGCAGTGGGCATCGCAGCGGGATCGGCGGGCGGCGGTACAGCGGTGACAGCGGACACAGCGAGGGCAGCTTCCGCAGCTCACGGTCTTCGCGCAGCGGCAAAAGCGAGGCTGACCGGCTCATCAGCGCGATGCAGGAACCTCCGCTCATCAACCGCACGACCAGTGAAGGCTCCGATATCCGCAGGCTGCATAACAATACCAACAATAATACACGTCCAGGTAGTCCGACTGTGGTACGGAATACCCCTGCCTCGCCGGCGTCTGCGTCAGGGGCCCTCCCTGTCCCTACCATCGGTTTAACTCCTACATCACCACCAACCTCTTCTAATAATAATACAACAACAACAACAACCACTTTTACTACTGCTTTTAATGACCGCTTTCGACGAGCTTCATATGAATCCCTATCCACGACGTTTCGCAGCCTGGTACCTCTCACAACACCCCCTGCCCCAGGCCAAGAACCCATCACCGACTCGGGCGTGCCACTGAGCGCGCTCCGCATTGAACCGCAAGACATCCAACGCCCTCCATCCCCCCCCACGCCAGCATTCCCGTCCACCTCGCTCGCTTCACCGCGGTCTGCGTCTGCGTCTACGCCCACGCAGTCGGACCTGCTCCGTATTCTCGTCGCGGAGGACGATCCCATCAATAGCAAGATCGTGCATAAACGGCTGAGTAATTGCGGGCACGGTGTTCGTCTGACTATCAATGGGGAGGAGTGTGCTGCGGCGTTTGAAGAGAGCCCATCTAGTTACGATGCTGTACTGATGGACATTCAAGTAAGTTTTTTTTCTCTTCGTCATGTATGATTCATAATATTGATGGCTTGCAGATGCCTATTGTGGATGGAATGGCAGCCACACGCCGGATCCGTGAACACGAAGCCTCCACCCCGGCAGAAGACCGGGTCCCCGTATTCGCCGTGTCGGCCTCCCTTGTGGAGCGAGATATGCAAAAGTATATTGACTGCGGGTTCGACGGGTGGATCATGAAGCCGATCGACTTCCACCGGCTGAACATCATCCTGGACGGAGTGCAGGCGGCGGCTGCGCGCGCCGAAACCGTCTATCAACCTGGTCGATGGGAGCATGGCGGGTGGTTCACTCCTTTACCTCTGATCGGTTCGACCAACCCATGATTATGGACACGATCCTGATTTCAGAGACGATCCCGATACCGACGCAACGAATACATTGAATGATAGATACCCATTGGTTTGGACGTTTTCATTTGGTCACAAAAGAATTTGCATGTTTGGGAAACACACGGGCTCAAAAAGACTCAACTTTTCATCATCTTCCGGCATATACCCCGCTCGAGAATCGAGACCTGGAAGCTATACCGATCTTCCACTCCCCCCATATTCAAATCCAAACTTCTTGTTCAGGCTGTACACGAGTTGCCTGACACTCACTTGTTTTTTTTTTTTTTTTTTTTTTCACATATTACTACAGATACCCGCACAAAACGATTGATCCCGGGATTTCCTTTTCGGTCTTGAGGCGACTGGTCAATGGCCGGCTACCCTGTATGATAATAGATATACATATACGTATGGCGTTGGATTTGTGTTGTATAGTAGCCATGACAGTGATCTGGGAGTAGGTAGTTACATGAATACAGCCTGAGGCATCAATATGCCTGAGGCAGACTACAGCCTGAGGCATGCGTCTAACCTGATTGGTATAGCTATTCACCACAAAGTATTATGATTAGTAGAGGTTCAGGTATTATTTATTCTTCTTTATTTACAATGATTATTTATTCTTCTCTATTTATAAGGATTATCTATCCTTCTCTATATTATTAATAGATTTACTGCTTGATCTCTGCCTAAGCAGGTACTGAAGCTCACCGCCAAGCTTGCAGTGCCACCGCAGCGTCACCGATTCCTGTCACTCCATCACCGCTCAAGGATTCAGCAATGCTCTAGCACCATGGTGTCTCTCTGGCCCTGGAGGGTACGTCAAGATGAAGATAGACTCCTATCCACTGACCCTCATGGTTCTAACTCCCGCAGGGCCAAGATAACTCCCCGGCGTCTTTCGAGAAGACGCTGTCCGCTCTCTCGACCAAAATCACCCACACGCTCGCCCGGCAAGATACGCTGCGCCAGCAGTCCCGTCGTTTCAAGGCCCTCTGGACCCTCTACACTTCCTTTGCCTACCTTCTCTACTCCATCATCCTGGGCTTGGTCCTCGGCTGGCAGAACTGGGGGATTCTCGAATACGCCGCCGTCATCGGCGGGCCTCTCCTGTACTTCCAACTCCTTGCTTCACTGTCTTCTTTTTGTTTTTTATTCAGGATTGCTCATTTTTTTAAAGCATCTATACAGTTCGGATCACTGGCAGTAAATACTTTGAATACCGCATCAGCAAGACCCAACGCTCCCTCGACGATCTCCAGACCCAACGCGACGCCACCATCGAGAAACTCAAGATCGCTACCAAATACAACTCCACGCAGCAGCTGCTGGAAAAGTATGGCGGGGCCGAGAGTTCTCCAAAGGGAGACTCTGAGAAACGCAGGGAGGCCAAGTCGCAGCAGAAAGGCCAGAAGCAGCCGCAGCCGCAGCAGCAGCAGATAGCCAGGACGGGGCTGCCTCCCCCTCCGACTGCGAATATCCGACAGAACCATTCACCGGGTGGACTGAGATCCCCGGGTTCGCCGGCCGCGAAATCCCCCTCTCAAGTCCCCACGGATCACTACGTTGACGAACCGGGGTTTGCCCCTAATGCGTTCTCCACGTCGTCCATCCCTGCCGCGACCCCAACCACACCACCTCAATACATCGAACATCCAAACCACTGGTACGACCGCCTGCTCGACGTGCTCCTCGGCGAAGACGAAACCCAGCCCAAGAACCGCATCGTGCTCATCTGCACGTCCTGCCGGCTTGTTAACGGGCAAGCCCCGCCCGGGGTCAAGGATCTGGCGGAGCTAGGCCGATGGCGCTGTGCGAGCTGCGGCGCGTGGAACGGGGAGGAAAAGGTGTGGCCGGCTGATCTCAGTGCTTCTGGAGCACTTTCTGCAGGAGCACTTTCTTCAGCTGATGAGGGAACCCCTTCATCTTCTTCTTCAGAGGAGGAGGAGGTAATTGCTTCCCCTAGTGAGAGTAGTGAAGTGGTTGTATCGGAGAAAGAAGAGAAAGAAGAAGAGGAAAAGGAAGAGAAAGCGGCGCCTCGACGATCGAAGCGCGGCAAGGCCAGGCAAAGGTGATATTGAACATTCTCTAGCTCATCTCATATCTTCATATTTTCATATTTTACATCGGTCATCTCCATTATGTTATTCAGTATTCACATCAATCATAAGTCATGAAATATATATTGTTAGAAAGAAGCCATGGCGAGGTTAGCAGCCCTGACTTCCGCCTCTTCACTACTCCCACACCCGTCCACGAAGACAACCTGTTCCCCCCCAAGCAAGACACGACATGTATACGTGGCTGCGACGACGGTTCCGGCCTTCCTCTCCACCCGCTGGACAAGATACTGCACCGATTGACTCTTGGCGAGCTTCTGGACGATAGCGCGCGGGTGTATGACGCCCACGGGATCTGCCGCATTTAAAATCCTAGCCAGATAATCGAGGAGGCCTAGCCGGGCGATAAACGCTTCACACACTGCCAGGTCACCCTCCGAATCCACGAAGATGGCCCCGATCATGCTCTCGATCAGGTCGGAGAAGAACTTGTCGGCGTTGAGGCGCGCAAGGGGTTCCCATGGGTACATGTTTCCGGAGTGCAGGGCGGCCAGGATGGAGGCCCGTAGCTCGGCGTGGCGGAGGAGACAGGCGTCGCGGGAGACTCTTAGATCTGTGCCCTGGCTGCGCATGAAGCGCCAGAGAGATATTGTCTCGGTAGTAGTCGTGGAAGCTGCATTTGCAGGGGTAGGGCCGCGAGCAAACTCCATGCAGAAGAAAGCGAGCAAATTCGCATTGACGAGAGCATGTTTGATGGTCGTCATCTCGTGTGGGGAATAGGCACCCCCATGTCGAGCCAACACACCCGCGACGACCATGTCCAGCACGGCGTCGCCTAGGAACTCGAGCCGTTGGTACGACTGAGTGGTCTCGTCGTATTCGCACGAGGGATGCGTCAGGGCTTCGAGGAGGAGAGACTCGTCGCGAAAGGTGTACCCGATGTGCTCCTTCAGCTCGGGGGTGAGCAGGTGGTTCCTCGGCATGGGCGTCATCGTCGTATTGGAGCCCTTCTTGTTTCGATGCCGGCTGAAATCGGCGCGCGTGGTCGGTACCTCGGGGAGAAAGGTGTGGATGCAGAGGCGGGCCATGTCGTGGCCGCCTTCGAAGTAGGCCGCCCCGATGAGGGCCTCGACGACGTCGGCGAGGACTTTGGCCGACATGGAGCGTTTACTAGGAGGCACCGCCACCGCGTCATTGTCGGGAGGGTTAATGCATCGGCTGATGAGTGGCGCCCGCCACTTTCTCGGGGTAAACGCCTTGGTGATGATGAAGGCGTCGAGGCCCGTCCGTAGAGCAACGCGCGTCAGCCTGTTGTTCTTGACGATTGCGTCCCGTCCTTCGGACAGGTACCCCTCGTGCCAGGTCGGCTGGCGGACGAACAGATGGGACGAGACCGCGAACTTGAGGACCGAGTCGCCGAAGAACTCGTAGCGCTGGTAGTGCGTGCGCGTCTGTGCGGAGGGCGCGGTGATGGCGGTGAGGATGTGGCGGTTCGTCGCAAAGGGGATGTCGCGAAGGACCGTCCTGCGTAACCGAGTTGCCAGCAGGGCGGCCTCCAGCTGGTCGAGCACGGCGGGGATGAACAGGCCGATCAGCGCCTGGTCGGCGGGGAGTCGATCGACGGTGCATGTCTTTGCAGAGAAGAGGTAAGTGCGTTTGTCTTGAACTGCCTCCTCAGTAGCCTCGTTAGCTTCGGCTGCCTCGGTAGAGACATCTTCCACATCTGGAGAAGACGAAGACGAGGAAGACGGAGGAGGCGAAGACGACGATCTGGGAGAAGAAGGGGGGAGAGGCGAAAAAGGAGGCAGCGGGTGCAAGAGGTTCCGCCGTGGAGACAGCTTATAGCATTCCACCTCAAGGGATGCATCGTCCATGTCTACGTGCCACTGTTTGAAGACATGCGGCGCGTCGTAGCGCACCTTGTCGCGTACAAGACCCATACTCTGCGGGTGCAACGATAGACGATACGCCTCCACGGCAGGACGCCTCCCCTGGACCGAGTGCAGCCAGGCGGGCAACTGGTCGGTCGGCATCTGCGGGTGAAAAAGCGCGACAAAGTCATTTTCCGTGTACGGCGGGTTCGAGTGCGGCGCGTGGATGTAGACGGCCGTGATCTCGCGGAGAGTTGTCACCTCGTCGGCGGAGAGCATGCTGCCACCCACCGCTGGAGCTGCTACTGGTGGCTCTTGCTGGGCGTCTGTCTCGATGCTCACCTCGAAGGTGCTCTCGGCATCCCAGTAGAGCGTTAAGGGTTCCACGCTCGGCATTGCCAGTGGGGTGGTAAGTATCAAGGACATGTCTTCCGTTGCAGGCCCATCGATGACCGGCTTCTTCCGGATCGTTACCAGGCTGCGATGGATGTCCGGTGCGGACCAGGCGTGCGCAAGTCCAACCCAGGGATCTAGCTGGCCGGAAACCTCCAGCGTGGAGGGCAGACTCTCCTCGTGTGAATCATGGTCGGTAGTATCGTCGTCGTCACCCCCACCACCGCCACCACTACTGCGAAGCTCCCGTTTCTTTGTCAAGGGTAGGAGATGTTCGTTAACCAAGCCCGCAATGTAGAGCGCTTTGTATGCCTGGAAAGCGGCGTCTTTCATGGCAGCACGCTCTGTCCGCCACCAACCGGAGCCCGTCGCCCTCCGGATGGCCGGGTCGACGCAGTTTGGCAGGATGACGGTGCCATTCAATAGAGCGGTCTCATCATCAGCCATGCCCATGGCGGCGGTGAAGGAGAAGACTGGCCGAGTGTCGGCGTAGGGCTCGTGCGGCAAGACGGCGCAGAAGTGATGTAGGTGAGCGATGGCCGTGTCGGCAGTCAAGAGGGCCCCCGTCGACTCGACTCGAAGCCGGAGGGTATCAGGCATTGCTTCATCCAGCGCCTCGATGCCGCGGGCCTCCTCTAGCCGGCGCTGGTCATCCTGGTAGGTCTGGATCATGATGCGCTCGAGGTCCGTGAAGCGGCGCAGCTCCGGGGAAGGGTCGTCGATCTCCGTCATGAGGACGAACGTCGAGCGCTGCTGGCGGGCACGGCCGCGTCGCTGGACAAAGGACTTGAGGTTGGCCGGTTTGTCGTAGCAGATGACCAGGCTACAGGCGCTGACGTCGATTCCTTCCTCGAGCACGCTGGTCGCCACGAGCAGATTCTTACGCCCCGCGCGGAAATCGGCCAGAGTATCGCGCTGGGTCTGGATATCCAGCAGCTCGTCTAGCAGGGAATCCTTTTTGCCACCGGTACTACCAGTACTGGCCCATCCGACGCAGGGGGCGCAGCGGAACCGGTCACGCGTCCGGGGGTCCAGAGCCAGAATCGTGGCCATGACAGCCACGGTGGCCCGGCGGGTGACGAAGATAAGGCCGGAGAAGTCGGGTGTATAGGAATGGTTGAGGAAGGCGATCAGCGACTCCATCTTGGAGCAGACGGGGAGCAAATCCTGCTCCACACTGAGGTCGAGAATAGAAGGAGAAGAAGAAGAAGAAGAAGAAGAAGAAGAAGGGATCCTGGAGAGAAAGGTAGCGATGGAGGTTGCCTCATCGTCTGGACTGCCGTCTTGTGACATACAGGCATCACGAAACCGGGCGCGGAACTGTGCGATGGAAGACTGAATGAAATACTCGGCCGCCCAGTCGCCGAGCTCGTCAAAGACGTGTCGGCTGCGGTCGACGAAGCGTTTCAGCTCGTCGAACCCTTTCATCTGCTTGACGGAGGGATCGTATCCCTCCTCCAGCGTTTCCCACGCGTGCAGCAGGGCTCTGAGCGTCTCGTTGGCCTGTGTCAGATCGGAGTCTTCCGTCCGCTTGAACCAAACTCGATGCAGACGTGGACGATGCGTATACCTGGCCAACTCGGCACGGTGCATGCGCGGGGTCCTACATACCGCATGAAGGTTTGACTCGATGATACTGATATATATATATATATATTAGCGAAATATGCACATGGGAGATATCAGTATTGATATGGAACTATTACCGCAAGTCCGCCGGGTTCGAGCGCAAGACAGGACTGGCACTGAGACCCAGAATGCGTGGGACAGCATCCGACCCGTATTTCAGACGGGCTGGATGGTAAAAATCCTGCATTATCTTGTTGGCAGGACTACGCTTCGTGCAATGGTGTGCTAGCCAAGTCAGTTTTCTCTTTAAAGAATGTACCCCCGAACATACCCTCGTCAAAGATCAGCAACGCAAGCTGCCCTGTCTTCACGAAGCCATGGCCCATGGCATCTGTGAGGACAGCAAAGGTCGAGACAACGACCCTCACGCCGTCCAGCACCGCGTCCCAGACGGCCTGCTCTGTCCAGCGGTCGACGTTGTCGGCGCCGGTGAGCAGGCGGATCTTGACGGGGAGATGGGCGGCGAGAACATCATGTTGCTGGTTACAAAGGGCGACGGTGGGGGCGAGGAACCAGATCATCTCGAACCATTAGTTCTTTTTTCTTTTTTCTGATTGTTGGGAAGTACCCTGTCTGGAAGCGATCTCTCCAACTCGGCGAGAATGCGCAACACAGCCCTGTTCCGATCAGTATTTTCGAGGGACCGCTTTGGCCATGACATAGACCATCACACAAATTATAAAAATGATGAATCTTGAGTCTTAATATTGATGGTGGTGGTGATGATGATGATGATGTTTCCACGGGCTGAAACTGACGTACACATGCGTCTTTCCACTCCCCGTCTCCATCTAGAACGAACGGTCAGCAGAGGTCAACAGAGAGAGGGTTCAGATAGAGTCTATGAAGGGATCCATACCGCCACGATGATGTTCTCCTTGAGACTCGCCTCGAGCATCTCGAGCTGGTAATCTCGAGGCCGGTAGGAGAGCATTTCGAAGGACTGCAAGCGAAAGAAGCACACAATGGTGAAAGAACCAAGAACAATACAAAACGAGAGACAAAAGACGTCAAAAAGAAAACAGATAGGGACTGCCTGCAATACGATCACATTGGAAGACAGAGGGAGGAGAGAAGGTGAGGGCGAAAGAGGGAGGAAGTGAAGAGAGAAAATGGTGGGGTTGATTGTTGATTAGTTCAGCCCAGGGAACAAATACTACAAAAATATACAGAGTACAAGGATCATCAGAATAATATTGAGAGGACTACTAGATGTAAGTAAGACTACTGAGGAAAAAAGACAAGAAGAAAAAAAAAAAAAAACTAAGATGCTAAGATACAGCTCAGCTGGAGAGGAACGGAGAACAAACACCACCAAGCGCCAACACCAAAGAGAAGAAAGAAGAGGAACAGCTGATTCCCCGGTTGTAACCCTGATAAAAGGAAAGGAGATTCGAGATGACAGCCTCCGGCATCTTATGTCACAATGGGCAGCCCGTGGGGAGGCTCCTGCTTGGCCTCCGCATCGCCGGGATGCTCCTCGCTGCGCAGCCTCTTGGTGAAGCCGTTGCCCAGGTACGCCTCGTCGTGCGGGTGCTTGCGCATGCCCAGGCCGGCGACGGCGATACGGTTGAGCGAATGCAGATCCTCGCCAGCCGCGGAGGCCGAGGCAGCAGCCCCAGCAGCAGCCTGCCCGGGGGAGCCCGCCGAGGCGGCCGTCTGGGCGGCAGCTCCTCCCTGGGCAGTGGTCGCGGGCTGGGCATCCTGGCGCGGCTGGCTCAGGTCGATGTTGGAAGGCAGCTCGGGCACTTCGCCCTGCGAGTCGAGAAGGCGGGACTGCAGGTTGATGATGTACTCGCGCAGCTGGTAGTTCTCGGCCTGCAACGCCTTGTTGCTCTCGTTGATCCGTTCAAACTCCTTGCACTGTTCTTCCAGCTTGCGGATGTACGTTTCTTTGCGTTGCCGGAAGGCTCTCTACTTCATCAGCATTTTTTTTTCCTCCATTTTTTTTTAATTTCTTCTCCCTACCTGAGCAGCTCTGTTCTGCGCGGCCCGCTTCGAAGTCGAGAGCGGCCGTTTCCCGTACGTCTTGGGGTCCTGCCCCCCGTCCGGCTCGACCGACTGGGGCGCGCTCATGATGGCCGTCCCCGCGATGGCCGGATCGATGTTATTGTTCGCCGGGTCGCGCGAGGGCGCTGCCGGCTGCAGATGCTGCGGTGGCGGCTGGCCCTGCCCACGCGCGGGCGCGTGGGCGGCCAAATGCTGCTGAGCTGCCAGCAGCTGGTCGTGAAGGACTAGGGACGGTTAGAAAGGGGGGGCGTTCAGAAGCAGGCGCTTGGGGGGGGGGTATCTGTCTCCGGGCTCGATTCGTCACTCACCCTGGTCGGCATGGTCCTGATCATGATGAGAATGGGTTTTGTCAAAGCGAACGAACAGAGTTCCTGGTCTTGGAGAAAGAGGATGACAAAGGGCTTACCTGAGCAGAGGATTGCATACTGGGATGCGGCGCGGGGGCCAGAGCGGGCTGCATAGAACCACGCGGCGGGGGAGCTGGGGAAAAGGAAAAGTATATAGAGAAGCAGAAAGGCGTGGGCTCTCCAGAGTCACAGACAGACACACCCTCTCAATAGCTATTCGCGCTGTCGCGGTCGAAACGGTAGGCCTGGAAGTCCAGGATGCGAGGGCATATGAGGTAAGCTGGTGACTAAAGGACGAGGGGAAGTGATCGCGTAAGCAGCGCGTGCCGGTCTTTATATGTTATGTTGTGTATTTTACCGTATGTGGTACGGGGAGGTAGTATGTAGTAGTTACCTTACCTTACCTAGGTGCCTCTTTACTGAGTATACGAGTACCATGTCTATTGGCAGGTAATAGGTACATTATTTTGTGCTAACAGCTGTATTTCTTATTTATAGACTCATACTATATTCATAGAAGGCAGCAAGGTACTAGAATATCTTCTGTGCGTTGACCAGGTATTGACTGTTACCGTATTGAAAGGGCGATTTGTCATTAATGACTCATCAGACGTCATTGCCACTTGGCCGTTTGCGGAAACTCCGTCGGTCACTCAAGAGGGTAATTAACTCCGATGACTAATCCTGAGCAAGCGAACTTATGCATGGTTATATGCATCGTTATGGCTTATGCACAGTCAGACGACAGCGTTCTATTTCTCCTTCTTGGCTTCCTGCACCCCCTGCGCCATGATGCGAGCCCCGATCTGCGCGCTCTCCCGCCATCCGCGCTGGTGCGTCCAGAACTTCTCCGTCGGGTCGGTGTCGTGGAGGGATGCGTCGCGTGCGTCGGCCTCGAGGGAGGCTGGGGTGATCTGGTCCTCGAGACCTTCGGTACTCGTCTCCCCCGGAGGAGTGTCGGGGTTGCTGTTCAGCGAGGACTCGATGAGTCGCTTGCGCATGACGTACCGCGCGGCCCGCTCCCGACGGGCATTCGGCGGCTCGAACTTGTCCATCGCGGCCCGCACGGCGTACCGCACAGCCAGGTAGAGATGTTCGGAGCAGAACAGAGTCAAAAGCAGGGCCCAGCCGGAGATGTCCTCGATTCCCTTGTTGTTGTTGTTAAGACCCTTGGGGGAGATATCGGGAGGCGTCCCGGCCACGACGCCATTCCGGAAGAGATGGACGAGTGCCGCGCTGCTCAGACTGCCCACCCACGCCAGAAAGCCGAGACTGTCCAGCCAGGGCCCGATGGTGTCGCACCGTTGCGGTACAGGACGGCGGCACTCGATGCAGATCTTGAAAAAGTCCGACCGCAGCTCGACCCAGTTGTTGATCAGGAACGAGACCGGGACGAGCGGCCACGTCGGCGAGAACAGCGCCAGATACCCGAACTGGATGCACATCTCGCGGAAGTCGTCCGTGACCTCATACGCGGGGAGGTCGGCCTCGTTGCGCACGCGCGTGAGGAACTGCACCTCCTCGGCGGGGTCGTCGTATGCAACTGTCTTCTCGCTCGAGTCGCCATTCCCGTTACTTTGGTTGTTCTTGCGGTACGCCTTGTATTCCCGCAGCAGGTGCTGCTTGACGTACGGAACGATGGTCTCCATGGCAAACCCCACAATCTGCGCCGTGACGGTGAAGTAGATCACCTGGTTGCGCAGGCGCGCCGGGTCGATGCTAAAGTCGGCGCGCGCGGCGCTCGCGTGCTCCTTAGAAACAAACGGTCGCACGGTCAGCCGGAAGACGTCGAGGTACGGCACGATCCGGTCGGCATACGGCACGTAGACAAACGCCGTCAGGCAGATGGGCAGGTACGAAGTGATGAAGTTGATGACGAAGATCTTCTGCGTCAGCGCGGTGTGGTACGCGTCTTGCGTTTCGTAGTTTTCGTACTCGTTCAGCCGGGTTGCCACGGTCAGCAGCACCGCACTCATTGTGGGGACCAGCGAGGAGAGCAGAATAGTGGGGATGAAGACCTATCATGAATCAGCAATGCAACAGAGAGAGAGAGAGAGAGAGAGAGAGAGTACCAGGTAGGTTTTCAACGGCCCGTTATAGACTTCGGAAATGAAAATCTCAATGGCAAAGCAGGTGGCGATGATGATGCCCAGACCGACGGCAGCCACCAGGGCAAACGGGATCTGCAGTAGCTGGCGATAGATACGTTTCGAGGCCGGGAACACGCCGCACAGTTCGCCCGTGTGCTCATCTCGGACCTGACTCTCTGGACGAAACTCGCGTCGCGTCATCCGCACAGCTGAGACCCCCCTGGTTTGCCAGCGGTAGCCGAGATCGACCTCGGAACGCTTCCAGTACTCGATGAAGACGATGCCCCACAGACAGTTGATGGCCGTGTAGATGACGGAATAGGACCCCAGCAGCATCCAGCAGGCAAAGCCGAACAGGGCGGGAAACACCAGGAAGCGGAAATAGGACTGCAGGAAGGCAAAGTAGAATCCCACATCCTCGCCGAACTTGTTCCGGATCTGGTCCAGGTCTTCGGGCGAGAGAAACGTCTTCTGCGACCACTCCTTGATCCATTTCTTGTTCACCGCCTCGTCGTGCAAGGGGAACAGGGCCACCACGTCCTTCCACTCACCGTGGTCCGGCGTGATCCCAGCGCCTCCCTCGTCGCGGGGGAGAATCAGCATGTGGTGGATGACGCGCAGACGCTCCGCCTCGCTGAGGACCTCATTGTCGCCCGTCGGGTCGGGTTCGGAGTTGCGGACCCCATACAGCCAGTCGCGAACACTACTTTGTTAGCAATTCTCTCTTTCTTTTCTTTTCGTTTTGTTTTGAATGATCTTCTTTCCCACCGAGATTGATATACCGCCCGGCGGAGGCTCTGGTCCGTCGCCCGCACAAAAACCAGCAGCGTCGACTCATCACCCTGACGGACCTGGGTCTGTAGCCCGGTCTTTGCTAGCGTCCGGAGGAGGGTTTCCAGTTTGCCAACGGATTCTGTAGAGTTGCCTTGTCTGTCAGTCTGTCTTACGGAGAACTATATGAGAAGAACAGGCGGATGCTGTGTTACCTCCATAGCGATAGCGGATGACGTAGTCAACGTGGAAGTTGTCCTTCAACGTATTGGCGGCCATGTCCGCTGAAGAACCAGAGCTAGACAGGAGACAGCAGCTGGGTATGAACAAGAGAGGAGATTATCAGAATATCTGTTGGATAGAGAACTTGTGCCTTCCTTGTTGCTTGTTGAGCTGAGCTGATGACGACGCAGGGCTAGCCCTATTTGTGAAATTGTGATGTCATGAGTCATGTGATGTCTCATCATGTGATATCACATGATATATCACATGACTATTCTACATCACATGACATCACATGACATGACATGACATCACATGACATCACATGACATGACATGACATCACATGACTATCCTCATCAACCATCCGTAACTTCCTTCTATCACCACTTCTCTTCTCTCTCTCTCTCTCTATCTCTCTTCTCTCTCTCTCTCTACTCTCTTCTCTCTACTCTCTGTCTTGCCAACCTCTCCAAGGCATCTCCCTCAACCACCATCCCCACCCACTCCTCCAACCGTTTCGCCCCCACCCTCTCGCTCTCATAGAACGCCAGCCCCGACCGACTCGCCCGCAGAACACTCCATTCAAGACGCACCCCTCGCACGGCCATAACCTGTCCCGCAAGGAACTCCAGAAGACGCAGACCGTACCCGCTCCGTCGGGCAGAGGGCTGGATATACAGATCTTCAAGGTATATGCCTGGAGGCGGAGCGCCAGGTGGAGTAACTGTAGAAGTACAGGGCCATCCCGACGGGGACGGTTTCATTGACGGGCGTGATGAGCGCGGTGTAGATGTTCTTGTGGCTGTTTGTAGAAGTAGGAGATGTAGGAGATGTATCGAATGAAAGGGTTTCGAGAAGGGATTTCTCCGTAGCGATGACTTCCTCGAGGGCGTCTTCGTACTCGGCTAGTCCACGGATGAACTCGAGGATGATAGGGACATCTGCTATAAGTAGAAAGTAGAGTATTGGGACAGCAACGACTTACCTTCTGCTCTGGCGAGACGGATGGACATTGGAAGTTCGATTATGATATGATTTATGATTGCTCCATGCTTCGTCAATAGGTAGGTATATATATGCAGTATACTAAGCAACACTAACCCGAATCTGACCCCGATGGAATTACTACTGGTAGAAGTAGATAGTAAGTATAGGTAGGGACTCGATGGAATTACTCTACTGGTATAAATATGGGAGGTAGTAGGTACAGTATTTACATATAATACATGCGTTACTTGGTGATTGCCGCCATCCACTTTTGCTCATCCGTTCTAGTAGAGAGTTAGTATAGAGTTATAGCAGTGCTACATGTAGATGGATAGACTTACCGATCAAAATGCAGCAGCATGGCCAACACGGGAATCAGCTGCTTCTGGTGGTTCTTATCCTTCTGCTCGAGAAACTGCAGCAGCACGTTCTTCAGGTAGATATAGTCGATTCCCCCTGCCGTAGTAGGGGTGGCTGGCCTTTCCCTCGGCACAGGGGAGGCAGTTCTCGTTCGATCGAGCGAGGAACGGCTGGCGGTCTTGGAGCCCGAGAGCGACGCCGAGACAGACCGCGAGTGGTTCTCCGTGAGGGTCTTGTTCGCCTTGCGCAGCTTGTCGACCCGCGCGCTGGTCTCCTCGAGGGCGCGACGGAGCTCCGCGCGCTCGCCGTCCAGCGTGCGCACCTGGGCCTCGCTGGCGTCGAGGCTTTCACGCAGCTGCGCCAGGGCGGCGCGAACCTCGCGCTGCTCCGTGGCCGTCTGTTCGGCTTGGGCTTGGAGCTCGTCGCGTCGCCGCTTCCACTCCTGCTGGGCTTGCGCCAGCTCGTCGCGGTCCTCCTCTGCCGAGCGGAGGGCACGCGCCGACTCCCGCACCTGCGCCTTTAACTCTTCCAGCTCGCGGGCTCGGCGTCTTCCTGCACTGCTGGCCTCGTCCTCGGCGCGATCGCGCTCCTCGATCGCCGCCTCCATGCGTTCGCGGAACTCGCGCGCCTTGGCCTCCGCGCGACCCTCGACCTCACTCAGCAGCCGGCGCATGGTCTCCGCCTCGCGCGTCCGCTCGGTGAGGAGTCGGTGGGCGTCGGCCAGCTCCTCGTCGAGACTGGCGCACCGCTCGCGCGCCTCGCGCGTCTGCGTCGCCATTTCCGCCGTCTGGTCGCGCAGGCTGCTCATCAGACTCTGCGCGCTCGCGTGCTGCGCCGTCTTCAGGCTGATCTCCTCGCGCAGATTGTCCGTCTCGCGCTGCACCTGCGCCGCCCGGGCTTCCTGCTCGCGCACCGTCGCCCGGGCGGCCTTCAGCTCCTCCTGCGCCCGCGCCAGGCTCGCTGCCGCCGTCTCACGCGCCTCCACGGCCTCCTGCTTCTTGCCCTCGCTGAACCGCAGGTCCGACTGCGCCACCGTCAGCGCCTCTTCGATCTGCAGCCGCCGCTCCGTCTCCTGCCGGATCTTCGCGTTTAGCGTCTTGACCTCGCTCATCCGGTCGGCCAGTGCGGTCTGCGCCCGCTGCAGGGCCGCGCGCACCTCGTCATGCTTCGCCTCGAGGCTCTTGAGCTGCGTCGTCTGCGCCGCCAGCGTCTCCTTGCTTGTCTTCAGCGCCGCCGAGTCGCTGCGCAGCGTCCGCAGCTCGGGCTGCAGCCGCTGCATCGTCTCCCGCAGCTCCGTCAGGTCCTTGAACCGCATCGCCGCCAGCTGCTGCGCTGCTGACAGGTCGGTCTCGAGCGTTGCTGCCTGCGTCTGCAGCGTCTCAAACTCCGCCCGCAGGTCGCGGTGCAGCTTCTCCGAGTCGGCCGTGCTCGTCGCGGACCGCGTCCGCACCTCCGCCAGCTCGTGCTCCAGCTTCGCCACCGTTTCGTCCAGGGCCGTCTTCTGCGCCTGCAGCTCCTTGATCCGGTCCTTGCCCTCGACGGTTTCTTGACCCAGATGCAGCACTTCATCGCGCAGTGACTCGATCTCCTCCTTCAGATCCTCTTCACCCTTTAGCTTCGCGCTCAGCCGATCGATCGCCGCCTCTTTCTCCTGGACTTGCGTCGTCAGGGCCTCGATCTGCTGCTCAAGCTCCGTCACGCGCTGCAAGACAGCCGGATCGCTATTGTTCTCCGTCTTGACCGGCTCCTCCGAAGCTGCCACGCTTGCCGCTTGGCTGGTCTCCTCGGCAGGCTTGCCGCCCTGGTTCTTCTTCTTCTTGTTCTTCTTCTTGTTTTTGCCGCCACCGCCTGTTCCACCAGCTGATGTAGTATTTTTCGGAGCCTGAGTGGCAGGCTCTTGCGCAGCTTCGGTGGTGGTCTCTTTCTGGGCGACCTCCGGCACCACCACCAAGCTGTTGCGGATGGCTTCAAAGTCAGCCGTCTCCCCGTTGGCCAGCTTCTCCTTGGCGGACGACCAGGCAGGGTTCTCCTGGAGATGAGTGTCGACGAAATCCACGATGCCCTGCACCGTTCCGAGCTGGGCCGTCTTTTCACCAACCTGGGACTGCAGGTCGGTGACGACGGACTGGGTATCGGTGACCTGGGCACGCAGGGTGGTCACCAGGTTCTGGAGGACCTGCAGACGCTTCTCGCCCGTCTCCTTTGCCGAGCGTGCCTCTTCGAGCTGCTTTTGAAGGTCCTCCCCCGCGGTCTGCTCCGTCTCCCTCGCCTTCAACCGCTCAATCTCGGCCGTCTTCTCGTTGAGCCGGGCCTGGAGCTGTGCCATTTCAGATTCGGTCTTGGCTACAGCGGCCTGGGCGTCTGCAAGTTTGGACTGCAGGCCCTCGATTTCTGCCGAGGTCCGGTCCTTGGCGTCTCGCAGCTCGACCAGTTCGCGTGTGGCGGACTCGAGGTTCTGGACCATGCCTTCGGTTGATTCACGGGCGACGGAGAGATCGCGCCGGAAGGTGTCGACCTGAGCTTTCAGCGTGAGGACTTCCTCTTGCCGCTCCTTCAGCTCGGCCTCAAGACGAGGGATTTCGCTGTCAAAGGAGAAGAACTCCTCGCTGGCCCCGGTTTCCGGGTCCGGGGATTTGGCTTGGGTCTGTTTCGCGGCGAAGATGCCCGCGAGTCTGCTGGCTGTCGTCGATCCCGGGGGCGGTGATTTCACAGACACTTCGGGAGAGACGGGGCGGCTGATAACCGCTTTCTCGGCGTCGAGGGCGGAGGACTTCTTGGTATCGATGCTGGTGGGAGCGGCGGCCTCGTCATCGGCTGTCCTTTGCCGTTTGAGATTGGCGACCTCGTCCCAGGCTTCCTTGGCGGAGCTGCGGGCCTCCTCCAGCTTCTTCTTGCAGTCGTCGCGGTCGGTGGTGACGCGTTTGAGTTCATCAAGGACCAAGTCTCCCTTGAGAGAGATCTGGTTGAGGTATTCGGTCAGCGCCTTGGGGTCGGCGATGGAGGTCAACGGGGTGTTTTCGCGCAGGGCAGCTTCAAAGGGTTCAATGGAGAGAACACGGGCATGGGCGACTCGATAGGCACGGAGGAGCTCTAAAAAAAAAAAAAAAATTAGTAGAGCGTCATACACATCATAGAACCTACAACACACACCGTTGTATTTCGACTCCATTCGCTCCAACTTGCGTAGTTTCGCTTTGATCTCCACGGGCATGTCGGGCTGTCTCGGCGTCTCTGGCTTGGCCTCTGACTGCTTCGTATCTATCGGATCAGGAGTCGTCGCCGTCGACTCCTTGTCAGGGGCTGAATCCCCGGTCGACGGGTTCTCATCTGCGTCATCTGTTGTTGTGGTCTCTTCCGTCACCTCCGAACCATTATCACCAGCACTCGCACCACCAGCCAGCTCTAGACGAGGAGTTACCGAGCGAATAGACGTATCATCATCGCCGATGGCAAACTCCGCCTCGAAGTCATTAGGATCCGGCCCTCGTACGGGGGCGGTGGTAGCAGGATTTCTTTGCGACAGGCGGCGACCGGGGGAAGACGCGGCGGCAGCACCGGTCGGTCTGCGGGCGGAGTTGGAACGGGCGAGATTATCCTGGACGGATTTCTGACGGGCCTGTTCCTCTGCGATCCGAGAGTCGATGGCCTCACGGAGGCGCTGGAGTGATTAATTAGTAACGTAGTACGTAGTACGTAGCTTAACCGAGTACTCGAGAGGACAGCAAAGCAGAGATGGAGAGAACAGATCAGTCAGGCGTACCTGAAACATGGCCACGAATGGAAAGACGAAAAGAAAAAGAGCAAGAGAGATGAAGGAAAGAGAGAAATGAATGAGGTGGTGTAGGAAGAAGAGAAGGGAGAGGAGGAGGTCGAGCGAGAGGAAGATCATCGGAGGTTGGGAGAGTTCGGATAAGGAGAAGTACAACAAAGAAAGAGAATAGATTGAAGAATAGAGAATAATTCTTTTACCAGGTATATATTGAAGATTTTATTATAATAATTATTTAAATCAAAAAGAAGAAATCAGACGATTGCACAATCACACAATGTCTTAATAGTAGTCGTATTCAATAGCTTCATATTTTGTCTGTCTAGGCTGCAATAGAAGTAATAGAAGTAATAGAAGAGTAACAATAATAGAGACTGCTAAGAATGACTAGTATTGGGTAGCCATACTGACCGCTAGTGAAGCATTATGTAGTCTATGAGCATAGGTTTGCCTATTAAATAGTATAGAGGCAGTTATTCCAGTACAGGAGCAGAGAGAAGAAATCCTGTAACTAATCCACCAAAATACTACCGAAAGGATATGGGAAACTTATAATATCCTCTCGAGGTAAAACCCACCATATAACTTCCTTCCCTGGGTCCTCTGCACGTGTTGCTCTGTTTGGCCTCAGCTTTCCTTCCCCTCACCTCCTCTTGTTTTCTCCCCCTCACCTCTTCCTATCCTCTTCCTATCCTCTTCCCATCATCCTCGCCCTGCCCATTCTGCCCTCAATTCCATCAAACCTTCTTCCTTTTCATCATCTCCCATCTCATTGCACTCTCCGTCTTCGCTTCTATTTCCTTCTCGATCTCTACACGAGCCATGTTTGCCAGAAGCCCGCCGACGACCCCCTCAAGAGCTCCCCGCTGAGCTGTCCGCCCCTGTTTGCCTCTCGACAAACCACCGCCGTCTTTCCCTCCCTTTGATCAAATACCATAAATAAATATAATTGATTCATTACGAGTCACCATGCCCAGTCTCGGAGGGCTCTTTGCCCTGCTGTTTCACACCATTCCGAGCTTCTTGTATCGCCTGGTCACCTTCGTCACCATCACCCTGCCTACATGGCTCTTTACCCTCTTCTCCATGAGCCTGACCGTCACTATGAACTTTACCACTCTGTATGACTCGTCTTCTTCTTCTTCTTCTTCTTCTCTTAAGAAATAGCTAATGATTAGTCTCCTCATCCTCCTCGCTATCATCTCAACCGTCATATGGTTCGTTCGCTACCGCTACCTCAATGTCTACAGCCGCCTGCCTCCCGAGCCCCAGCGCAAGGAACCACAGCTCGACCTCTTCCCGGACGCCCAGGATGGTGATTCCAAACCGGGCCTTGCCAACTACCTCGACGAGTTCCTCTCCGCCATCAAGGTCTTCGGATATCTCGAGCGGCCCGTCTTCCATGAGTTGACCCGCACCATGCAGACCCGCAAGCTGATCGCCGGCGAGACCCTGCAGCTGGAGGAGGAGCAAGGCTTTTGTCTCGTTGTCGATGGTCTCGTCCAGATCTTCGTTCAGTCCTTCCGAGAGGGCAACGGCAACGGCAACCACCACCGATCGGACGATCCCCCCGTCGATGATGACTCTGCCTCCTCTTCCTCCGAGAGCTTCCCCTCCGCCGATGGCAAACAGGGCTACCAGCTGCTCACCGAGGTCAAGAACGGCGCCTCCATGTCCTCCCTCTTCTCCATCCTCTCCCTTTTCACAGAGGATCTCCCTCTCGCGGCTCCGGGCCCGACCTCCACCACCACCAAGGATGGTGACGCTGAGAGCGCTCCTGCCACCCCCGGTCTGTCCATCGACCACAGCTCGCCCTTTGGCCGCAGAGACCGGAGCCACTCGGCCATCCATCTCGATAGCCGCGGTGAATTGCTGCCCGTCGTGCCCCCACTGCATCTAGGCGATAGCCACGCCATACCCGCCGCCGCCGAGCAACACCGTCAAAGCACCCCCATCAAACATCGGCGCAAGACGTCGGTTCATCATCCCGATGTTGTCGCCCGCGCCGTGGTCGACACCACCATCGCCATCATCCCCGCCAGCGCCTTTCGCCGACTGACCCGACTGTACCCGCGGGCCACCGCCCATATCGTTCAGGTCATCTTGACCCGCCTCCACCGCGTCACTTTTGCAACCGCCCACTCCTACCTGGGCCTTGCCACCGAAGTTCTCAATATTGAGCGCCAGATGAACCGCTTCACCACCTTCGACCTGCCGAACGATCTGCGGGGTGGCGCCCTAGACCGCCTCAAGGATAAGTTCCTCAAGGAACGGGACCGTCTCGGCTCGGACGAGGTCACCAAGGGCATCGCTCTCCACAACCCTTTCCCCGCCCGTCACCGCCGTCACCGCCGGTCCAGCAGCTCCCTCCGCAAGGATGCCGCCCTCCACGCCAAGCTGGCGGCAACCCGCCGCCCTGCTTCTTCCGTCATACTACCGGAACAGACAGTGGCGCCGACGCCGCCCCCCGCCGCGCGCGCGAGAAGCCCCATGAGTCCAGACACCGACCGCATCAGTCCCGGAGATCTGCTGTCCACCATCCAGATGTCCCGTTTCGGGCGCCTGCAGAGCCCCTTGCTCGAGCGCGAACAGCCCCGCTTTCACCCCAGCACCATCGGGGCCTCCGCTTCCCTACGACTCCATCCATCCTCTCACCCGGCCGGCCGGGTGGACGCCGGCGACGAGGATGCTCTCTTCCGCCAGTCCATTCTAGATTGCATCCTGCAGGGGCTCGGTCTCACGGAGAGTACTCGCGATGCCCTGCGCAAGTCCCTACAGCAATCCGGTGACGCCTCCCCCAAGCTGGTCTCCTACGACGCCCGTCGCCAAAAGGCCGTCTTCACCAACGCCTTTGGACTCATCGACCCCGAAGATAGTGGCCTTGCCAATGGTGGTGGTGGTGGTGGTGGTGGTGGTGGTGGTGGTCCGGCATCCATAGTCGACGGGGATTCCGAGTCCATTCTCTCCTCCTCCATCTCCGTCACTAGCGCCGGCGGCACCTCACCCGTCGCCAACCTTCGCGACGAGCTGCTTCACGACGTCGAAATCGTCTACTTCCCGCAAGGCTCCGTCCTGGTCGAGCAGGGGGAACGTCACCCGGGCCTCTACTACGTCATCGATGGCTTTCTGGACGTCGGGGTGCCCGTAACGGACAAGTCCGACAATAAGGATCTCGTCTCTTCCTCGCACCTGCATCATCCAACGGTGTCCAAGGAGAAAGAGGAGGAGAAGGACCCCTTCCCAAACCTGCGGAGGACCGCCACGAGCACCTCACGCGTCTCCTCCAGCAGGGCTACTACGGGAGCCAGCACCGATCATACGCGCCGCAAGCGGCCGCAGGCCCGCCGCTCCATTTACATGATCAAGCCAGGCGGTCTGCAGGGCTACATTGGGTCCATCGCCTCGTATCGCTCCCAGACGGACGTTGTTGCCCAGACAGACGTCTACGTCGGCTTTCTGCCGCGTGCATCCTTGGAGCGCATCGCCGAGCGCTACCCGATCGCTCTTCTGACGCTGGCCAAGCGGATGACAAGCCTCCTGCCTCGCCTGTTGCTACACATCGATTTTGCTCTGGAATGGGTCCAGGTGAACGCCGGTCAGGTCATCCATCACCAGGGCGACGAGAGTGACGCCATCTATCTCGTCCTCAACGGTCGCCTGCGTGCCGTCCGCGAGGGCCCCAGCGGCAAGATGACTGTCACCGGCGAGTACGGCCAGGGCGAGAGCGTCGGCGAGCTCGAGGTCATGACTGAGTCCACCCGCCCGGCCACCCTGCACGCCATCCGCGACACCGAACTGGCGCGGTTTCCCCGCTCGCTCTTCAACAGTCTCGCTCAAGAACATCCCGGTATCACCATTCAGATTTCCAAACTCATCGCCCAGCGGATGCGCGATCTGGTCGACCTCCCGCGCGCAGATCCTGGCGGCGCCGAGCCGGGGCCCGGCGGGACCGTCAAGACGGCCACGTCGACGGTTAACAATCTACGCACCGTCGCCGTCCTGCCCGTGACCGCGGGCGTCCCCGTGGTTGAATTCGGTCACCGGCTGCTGCATGCCTTGCACCAAATCGGCGTGCACAACGGCGTCACCTCGCTCCATCAGGCAGCCATCCTCAACCACCTAGGCCGCCACGCCTTCAGCAAGATGGGCAAGCTCAAGCTGTCTCAGTATCTAGCCGACCTTGAGGAGAAGTACGGCATGGTCGTCTACATCGCCGACACCCCCGTCAACGCCCCCTGGACCCAAACCTGTATCACCCAGGCCGATTGTATCCTTCTGGTCGCCCTGGCCGAGGCGCCCCCAACCGTGGGCGAGTACGAACGCTTCCTGCTCGGCATGAAGACCACCGCCCGCAAGGAGCTCGTCCTGCTGCATGCAGACCGGTACTGCGCGCCGGGGGTCTCGCGCCGCTGGCTGAAGAATCGGGTCTGGATCAACGGCGGCCACCATCACATCCAGATGGCCTTCCGTCTGACGGCGGAGCCCGCCCATCCGCAGACGAAGAGGTTCGGCACCGCCCTGAAGCAGCGTGTGCAGGTCCTGCAGGCGGAGATCCAAAAGTACACCTCGCGTCGCATCCGACAGGCCCCGCTGTATGCGGCACACACACCGTTCAAGGGCGACTTCCATCGTCTTGCGCGGCGTCTGTGCGGGCGGTCGGTCGGTCTGGTGCTCGGCGGCGGCGGGGCGCGGGGCATCGCCCACGTCGGAGTCATCAAGGCGCTGGAGGAGGCCGGCATCCCGATCGATCTGGTCGGCGGCACGTCCATCGGCGCCTTCATCGGGGCGCTGTACGCGCGCGACGCCGACGTCGTGCCGTTGTATGGGCGGGCCAAGAAGTTTGCGGGCCGCATGGGCAGCATCTGGCGCTTCGCGCTCGACCTGACCTACCCGACCATCTCCTACACCACTGGCCACGAGTTCAACCGCGGCATCTTCAAGACTTTCGGTGACGGACAGATCGAGGACTTTTGGCTCGAGTTCTACTGCAACACGACCAACATCAGCCGCTCGCGCGCCGAGTTCCACTCGTCCGGCTACGTGTGGCGCTACGTGCGGGCCTCCATGTCGCTGGCGGGCCTGCTCCCGCCCATCTGCGACGAAGGCAGCATGCTGGTCGACGGCGGCTACATCGACAACCTGACCGTCGCGCACATGAAGGGGCTCGGCGCCGACGTCATCTTCGCCGTCGATGTCGGCTCCATCGACGACAACACCCCACAGGGTTACGGCGACTCGCTCTCGGGCTTCTGGGCCGTGCTCAACCGCTGGAACCCCTTTTCCACCTGTCCCAACCCGCCCACCCTCTCCGAAATTCAGGCGCGGCTCGCCTACGTCTCGTCGATCGATAACCTCGAGCGCGCCAAAAACACCCCCGGCTGCCTGTATCTGCGCCCGCCCATCGACCGGTACGGCACCCTGGATTTCGGCCGTTTCGATGAGATCTACCAGGTCGGATATGCATATGGCAAGCAGTACCTCGACCGCCTGAAACACGAAGGCGGGCTGCCCATTCCCGAAGAGACGGAGGAGAAGAAGAAGCTCCAGCGGACGATGGCGCCGCGCAGAGCCAGCATTTAGATAATGACATTGATCAATAGTTAGAATAATAGAACACGCCAAGCACTTGTATATAGTTGCCGTACTTGTATATAGTTTCAATCTATAGATATATGTATACATCTAGACATGCTTTTGCTAGCGTAATAATATTATATATATTGATGAAGAATACAACTGAATTAGTACAACGGGATTCAAGTTATTAAGCATTAATACTAGATAATAATAACAGGCAAGAAGAGTGTGTCTGGGGTATTTCATCGTCAATATATGCGTATGCAGTAAGTCATAACCCGTGCCGTATATGTAACCATATAAGCGAACGATCCGGCAATTACCCATTACCCATACCATGTAGCTACCTAGACCGTATCGGCCGGGGCATCAAGCGGAGCACGCTCCGTAGCCGGGGGATTCTTCTCGTGAACGGGGGCGGCGTTTTCCTGGCGGTAGGTCCAGAGGGAGAGGACCTCCAGGACGAGGCCGACCAGGGTGAAGAAGAAGGCGAGGAAGATGAACGCCTCGTTGGCCTTCTTCAAGGAGCACTTGACGCCTGGGGGGGAGTCCGCACTGCAGATGTTCTGGTTGTAGTCTTGGGCGGCGAAGATGAAGGCCGTCAACCACCTGGAGAATAGATTAGATTAGTATTTCAAACATATTCACACTATCATGTTGTGTTGTGGATTACATACAGATAGGAGAAGACTAGGTCGATGGCTAGCACGAACTTGCTGAGCATCTTGGGCATGAAGGGGGAGACAAAGGCCGGCAGGAAGAAGACCACAGAGATAGTAGCCTGACAATCATCATTAGTCCGTGGCATTCGCGTACTGGTGATTTAATAACGTACAATGATTTCCCAGTAGGTGGTGTGTTGACCGCGAGGGCCCTTTTTGATGAAATAGGAGGTGATGCCCATGACAATGACGGCACTGCTCCACTGCAAAGCTCGAGTGACGAGCAGCAGCGGGCGAGTGAGAGCCGAAGACACCATTCTGGGCTGTTTCTCCTTAGGTGCTGTTCTGTAGTGTTTGGAATTTAGGGAGCCTTGAGTTGTATGCCGTGGGTGCTAGTCGGAGATACTGCAAAGGAGCAAGCTGGAAGGACATCAACCTTTATACCATATCGGGCCCTGTCATACAGACTAGTCTAGTGGTGCTGTCCGAGCTTGCCGCTGTGTCTTTCCCCAGATGCGTCATTATTATTCTCCCGAATCAGCCAGGCAGGTGATCGCGCTGGGCAGAAGGCCAATCACCGGCATATGTCGGCACAGAAGGAGCCTGGACAAGTTCTTTTTTGGGTATCGTGATTGCCGGTTCTTCAGGGATGTGTACCCCCGTACATGGGAAGCGATCTTTGAGACGCGAGGATCACGAGACAGAGAGTGGACACACACACACACAAACACACACACATGCGAAGACACGAGCCAATGGTACGGAGAGTTGGATCCGTGGGTTGCCGTGCAAAGGGCGACACAGAGAAAGCGAGAAGCGTCTGGACAGGATTGTTGTTCTTCGTGGTAACTCCGATATCAAGGGATCGACGTAAGGTTGCGTGACAACCAGGCCTTGCAGTGGCCAATGGAGAAAGCCTGCACTCCAGTCGGCATCCCGCGGAAAGACATGGCGTTGGCAGCTTGTCGCCAAGTTGCCATTGGATATGCAGTCCATCAATGCTAACCGAAAAACCAAAACACCCGGGTGGGTTGTCGCATCGGCCGCTGCCAACAACGATATGGACGGACGGGCAAGACTTTGCCTCTCAGTACAACCTGGTTTATCGATCTGTTATCGTCATGCTGGAGTGTTGCTTTCTTGAGGGATGAAAATCTAATTTCATTCAAATTCTTGAGCCCAACGCCTGCAGAACACCGTTATGCCGTAGGGCGCCGATTATCCTCACAAGTGCGAGCTTGAGCTCTGACCACCACGATCTGCGGCGATCCTCCTAGTCGGTCGATCAGATGACATGAGTGAGGGTGAGGTGAGGACTTCTCTTTGGCATCCCTAGCATGGAAGATCGTATCCGAGCTTGAACCATGTTTATGCCGGGGCCCACACCTGGCCCGTCATATTCCCATATTCAGCATTGCATTGCTATTCCATGATTTCGATACCCAACAACGTGATTCTAGCCTCTGATCCATCCGGCGCCACAGTGATATTGGTAATGTGTCTAGATCCCGGTGCTATACGCATATTGCCGGCTTGCTTGCGAGCAGCTAGGAGAAGTCAGAGAGAGAGCGAGTCACGAGTCTTGAGTCACAAAGTGAGCCCACCAAGCGGATGTCCAGGGTATCCTCTTCTCCCATGACGCAATGCTTGAAGGAAGAAGAAGCCCGCACCGTATGAGTAGCTTTCTGTAAGGACAATTCCGGTTTCCGAATATGCCCCAGCAAGGGTTGCCCACTCGTTAGCTCGAGCTTATTCTGATGCTTTGCTGTGTCTACCCACGGCATAAACTCGGAAGTTTGTCGGCCTTCGTAAGGTAGTACCAGATCGATGTGTATTTGCCCTGGAGAAGACTCAATAATAATGATTAGCAAGGGTAGTCACGTTGCAAGATCAGAAATCAAAGGCATTGATCTCAACGCTTTGGTTTTCCGTCATTTCACCTGGAAGGGTGGTACTCGTAGCAAGAGGATGTTTTTGGCAATTGAATAGTCTTGGTATAGAGTTCAAGACAGGGTTTTTGGACCTGTTGATCGTGATCGACGGTCTTAAATGATAGTCTCCAGATGAAAGAGTGTTAAACAAGTGGTAAACAAACGAATATTTTTCCCTCAGGAGGTGGACAAAAGGAGGATGGCAGCTGACCAGGCGTTTCTAGCCTCAGGCAGCAAAAAACACCACCGTTCGAGCCATGTGGTTGGCAAGGAATATATGAGGAGGAAATGAATAGTTAAATGTCCTGTTACGCCTCGCTCTAATAGAGTAATCATTATTCCTTCGATAGATGTAGGTACAAACAGAGCCCTGACGCCGCCCTTTTGATTCCAGGTATAAATCCACACACCACAGGCACCAAGCTAAGACGCAATTTGTTCTGATGACATGAGACTTGAGACGGTTGGTCGATGACATGCTCAGAATGAAGAGATATTGCCGAGGTCATGTTCCTGGTTATAGGTTAGCAGAGGCAGGAAGACGAAAGTGGAGAGAAGGAATTGTACCTTGATATAGTCGCTGCCTTTCTCCAAGTATTCCTCTCGCGTGACGGAGGACTTGGCATAGTCAACAGTCGACGCCCACTGGGCGGCACCTTTCCAGGCGTCTAAGATCGGGTCGGCTGCCCGGCGAACGGCCAGCTTGGCCTCGAGAGGCAGGAAGCCTCGGAATTCGTTACGGAAACGTTCGTCGAAGCCCTGGAAGACGGTGTTACCACCGGCCAGGAACACGTCTTTCAGCAGGCTCTGTCGGTCTGTCGGATTCGAGAAGCGCTGGTTGACAATGTCCGCGGCCACCTCGAGGAGGCCGGCCTGGTCGATGCCCGCGATGGACGGCTGGAAGACCACCTCAGGGACCCGGATGCGCTCGACATTCAGATGGATTTGATGGGCCTCGCGCTGGCTCTCGGGATCGAAGGGCCACGGCCCGCGCAGAAATGCGTGGACAAGGCTCTTGGTCCAGTCGGACTGCGCAGCCAGGGTGTGGTTCTCTGTAAACTCAGGGTCGTACTCGAGGAGCTCCTTCTCGACAGAGTTCAGCATGCCGCCCAGGTCTTCCTCTTCTTCATCATCGCTTTGTTCCCCGACTGCCACGGTGCGGTACACTCCCCAGTCTTCATCGTTGGCGCCGAAGTTGTCATCGTCACCGCCTCTCCTGCGCTTCTTGGGGCCGTCAGCGGCGAGGTTGGCCAGCGTCTTCATGCGCATCTGGCTCGCTAGCGACTTGCGGTTGCCCAGGTCGGCTTTGAGCCTTTCCTTTTCTTTGATGCGTTGCATCAGGTTCTAATTTATTATCATGTCAGATACAAGACTCCTGATCGACATCCTTCGTTACATTGGGGCAGCTTACCTGGCGGGCGACTCGTCTTTCGGCAACCCAGGCCTCGAAGTCGTTCTCTCGCTTTTCACGGTCTAGACGCTCCTCCTCCTCACGGCGCGCCTTTTCTCGTATTTTCTCCTCCTTTGCGCGCTGCCGAGCCTCGATGTTCGACTTCATCAAGCGTTGGTGGCGCTTTTCCTTGAGCGTGGCTTCATCGAGCTCTTCGTCGGGAATATCCAACAGGGGGAATGACATATCTTCAGCGGGCTCCTCCGTCTCCTCAACCCCAAGATCTTTGTTTCTTGATCGTTTGATTGAGCGTTCAAGGTCTCGGATCACTCTGTCGAGATGTGCTTCGTCCTTGAGGTCATCGGCTTCCAGAATCCGGCGGACTTCCTTTTTCGATTCAGTAGCGAGGCCACGCTGTAGATCCTTCCAATATTCGAGTTCCTGCTCTTTTTTCATGAGCTTCTCGAGTCGCATCTTCGCGGCCTGTTCCTGTAAACGCCGACCACTCTCTTTCTTCCTCTCAGCAATGCGCGCCAGCTCTTCCTCCGTCTTCTCAGGCACGATGTGCTCTGTGAATGGGTATTGAACCACCCTATCACGATCCTCCAGGCCTGTCCAGTCCAGATACGTGCTTAGCTCCTTGTCGTACTCCGTTGAGACATAACAGTGCTGGTGTAAGAGGCCCTCCATCTGGCTCTCGGTCATCTTGACAGGAAATGTGGGGTACTTCAACCTCATCAGCTTCAGCAAATACTCCGAGGCTTGCATGCCTCCCCAGTTCAGCCGTGAGCAGCTTGTCAACAGTGCCTTGTTGTTAAGGACTGGTATCACGTGTGTAGACGTATGCGATGATGAAACGACCAAGCCGCTCGTCCCGCGGTTATAGCGATAGGAAAACAGTGAGTCAATACCGTACGCGACCGACGGCGCCGAGTAGCACTCAAACAAGATCTCGTTCATCACTATAGCGAGCTGTCAGAACCGGCTTCTTGCACATCCTCTCAAATCTTTGAATCAACCACCTACTTCGCCTTGGATAGCTCAAGTTTGCAATAGGCTCAGTCATGATAATCGGCCGATCCACGCCACCATTGGCTCCATCCACCCCGAGCTTGATGAACAGGTAGTCCAATACACCCTCCATCACGTCCCAGTTCCCGACCACGCTGGTGCCCGGATCAAAGGCATACCGCAGCTGACCTCGCGTGGTCGCATCGACGTAGGCGTCGTAGCCGATGAATTGGCAGGCTTTGTTTAATTTTCGGTCACGAAACCGGCTCATCACAGGGGGGAGGACAAAACGCGGTGACGTGTCGAAAGACCAGCCCGCCTTGACTGTATGCGAACCTAGAAACGACCTTGTTAGTTATCACGGACGCATATTTACAATAAATACTAGTAGAGCAGCCACTCACCATTGTCAATGACGATAGCGTTGTTGCCGCTCCTCGACTTGCTCTCCTCGTACCCTTCCGGCTGCGGCGGATGGAATCCCTTGAACGGGTGATCCTGGACGGTGTAGAGCTCTGGAGGAGGCTTCGGACCAGCTTTATCTGAAGCATCGATTGCGAAACGTCCCGGAAGGATCGTCTGCACAGAGGTAATGGTCATGGTGGTCGTCTCGAGCTACCGTGGAAGGGAACTTTACTCAGGAGCTTTCGGAGGACGAAGTCGTTCACCGCATCGCACTCAGTGCAAGCGTTTCCGCGGAGCAAGACAGACGAGCGAGGCGTCCGCGCAAGGCACGCAGATTCTCTTCGTTACTGTTTGGATTGGAATAAATGGACGACAGCTGCGAGACTGCGAGACAGAAGTCCAGACGGCGGCGTTGAGACTTCCCGGGCTATGGAAGCATGTCGCGGCGCGCCAAGAGTTCTCTCTTTAAGGGACCGATATGGAACGCCACTAAAAACTACGAAGCAGGGCAGTCTTTTCAAACAGTTTTATATGGATTGGTAGTACTAAGAAGCTAGAAATAAATGGTATTTGCCGGTCTGTACATCTATCTGGTTCATATCGTCGTCTCATAGGGGGGAAAAAGAAGATAACCGCTCCGTCTACTTACGACGGCTCCTTCAGATTCTCCGTAGCTACAGCTTGTCTCAGCAAACGGTCCACGCAACACGGTATAAGTATCGGGAACATACCTTCCAGATGAAAGAGAACATTGGACTGGTAGTTCTTGAACATCTGTGCAACAAGTTCCACATTCATGTTCTGGATGTTGACCTCCTAGACGCAAGTCACTACCCTGTCCGACTTGAAACCAGGGGATACAACTAGAAGAGTATTTTACCTGGAGACCTTTGTTCATCGCCATGACAGATTCATTAAGTTTCTCCTGGTAATCATAGAGGTATTAGTGGTGTCAAAATGGTGACGTTGGTCTGTCTGGCTGCCAACATACAACGTTGTTGATGATTCGAGAGAGCAGAAGGTTCTGCTGGTGTTCATGAGGGCTCTCCTATATGGAATCAATATTTCCCTAAACCCAGAAGAATCCTTAGGATGTAACTCACCATTTTGCCTGTCTGTACAGAGCTTGTTCGTGCTGTCGTTTGTTTGTTTGTTGCTCACCTCAAGATGCGGGACAAACGCATGTGTCACGTGAACTCGCTCCTTGGAAGTTGGATCGTGGATGCTTCCGACGCCTTGAGATCTTCCGGTCTGTTGTCGGCCGTCACGCACTTTGTCTATTTGGAAGGGCTTAATTCCAAGTGATTTCTCTTATAATTCATCAGGGTTGATCAGAATCTGCGTGTCTACTACGCTGAAACGGATTGCTGAAGTCCTCAACGCGCAACGACTGTCTCCAGTACCATACTATCCATCACCTGTCCTTTGAGGCCCTGGTTTTGCCTGTGGTTTGAGATAGCTATAATCCCAGAATCGCCATGGCTCCTGCGACTCCTGCAAATGATGATTCCCATCAGGAGCTTTTGAATAGTCTCGATATTGCACATGTTCCTCGCCCCTTCCGCAACCCGAGCTGGAGGCCGTCGCAGCGTCGCAACAAGAACGTCAAGCAGCTCCTCTCCGAATCCTCACGCAAGGAAGCGTCTGTGATGGCGACGCAGGCCAACTCGGGCGCAACGACTCCTTTTCCCGCCGCGACATCTGCCACTACCGACGGGTCGCAGACCCCGACAGAAGATGCCTCGAGAGTGCCCAACATCGCCCAAGCGGCCCAGAACCTTTCGACACTGGTGCTGGAGAAGAATGCGCGAGCCATGTTCCCATCGGGACCAGCCGTCACGTACACAAATATCGAGTCAGCCCCTTCGCTGCACCCCTCGCACCAGAAACACTACTGTGACCTGACCGGGTTGCCGGCGCCGTATACGGATCCCAAGACCAGATTACGCTACCATAACCGGGAAGTCTTTGGCGTAGTGCGAACGCTGGGACAAGGTGTTGCAGAGAGCTATCTAGAAGCGAGGGGAGCCCATGTCGTGTTGAAATAAGGAGTGGCAGTCATTACAGAGACATAGACGCCATATACTTCAAAAAGACGGGATTCCAAAACACCGTGAGTTTGTCACAGCGATTATCGGGATAATCAAGGTATCTAAACATACTAATCTCGGGCAGTACAGACTTCATACAGACTACAGAATGTCAGGTCAACACAGTCAAGCTCTTCCACCCCCCTGCCCCTCTCGAGACAGGTTCAGGAAAGCGCTCCGGCTTATTCGTGGCCTTTGTAAGAATTGATCTTCGCCTTGTGCTCGAGGCACTGGACTAGTACCGACACCCCATTATCAAGGGCATCAGTTACAGCAGCTCAGAGCTGCTGTCGCCGCGGCGGAGGCATCGTGCCTGGGTAGATCTCCATACGTGTCGTTTTCTTCGACATGAAAATGATAATTTATGAAGGGCAGGATTGGAATAGATCAATGCATATCATTTCAGCATCGAGTACTCGGTGATTTTCAACCCATAATTCGGTCAAACCATCCCAAGCATCCTCCCTGTAATGTGTTCAACAGTTTTTGGTGATGAAATTCCGAAAGTGCGCGTTTGTAGGAGGCCACCAGACCGCCCACCGCAACCGGCTAGCCCTTCCCCAACCGGGATCCTCGACGTGGCAGAATCGTGAGTTTTGGTCGCTTCATGTCGATCACTGGAAGAATAATCCTTTGGCCCAACCCGTGTTTATTCTACTCCGTGCCTGTTCTTGCCGATTGATTCGTAATAACTTGAAGATTTCACAGGTTTGTCTTGGCAGTAACGGTCTCTATATATCTTTTCTATTATCTCTATCTCCGATCGTACTCAATCGACGCCCGACGCGCCCGACGCGAAGATGCCGACCATGTGGCTTTCAGACAACCAGAGTGAGTCTTCGAGGAGAGTTGTATAAATCTTATTGAATAATGCTAATTCCTACAGAGATCGGAATGATCTTCTGCTCTGCCGGTATGTGACAGGCACGTGCAGCTGTTACGACTCGATGCCGACTCTCCCCCGAACACAAAAACATACTGATGAGGGTGTGCAGGTGGACTGTTCTTGTTCGGTGGTGTGCTCATGTTCTTTGACCGGTCTCTGTATGTGGATTCTTCTACTCGAGCTGCAAACTGCCCTGCTAACCTGATCTTAGACTCGCCATGGGAAATGTAAGCCGTGCGCGTTTGGCAACCTATACAAGACCCTTACTGATCATAGGAACCCCTTAGATCCTCTTCCTGATCGGCCTGACCCTCATAATCGGCGTACAAAAGACCTTCGCCTTCTTCTCCCGCCGCCAGAAACTCAAGGGTACCGCCGCCTTCGCGGCGGGGATAATGCTCATCATCTTGCGCTGGCCGCTCACAGGGTTCCTCATCGAGCTATACGGCCTGTTTATCCTCTTCGGCGACTTCCTCGTCACCATCGGCCAGTTCGCGAACAATATCCCCGTCGTCGGGCCGTATATCAAGCAGGCGTTGGAGACATTGGCTGGAGGGAGATCCAATGCTGAGCTGCCGGTTTAACCTGCACCAGCATGTTCAATATCATCTGCATGTGCCTGAATAAGAGAAAAGAAAGACTCATATCTTGGCCTCGATGATGTGCTATGATGAGATGCATGATTGAAGCGGATCAAAAACTTGCTTGCTACCTATATTCGATAGACGGCCTCTGTTCTATACTTTATTTGTAATTACTAATCTTCTTTTGGACTACCAGTCAACCCTTGTTGAAGACTAGCCACGGCGTTGTCTTATTATTGAATAGATGATATTCTGCATTCACTGTCTCCTAATACTGCAGTAAGGGATAAATACATTGCTAGTTAATATTACAGACTAGAGTCCTTTCAAGAGAATCATTTAACAGAGTGCTACTATCTACGAGTTGAAGACACAGAATATAAAACATCAACGAATGGAGCCTCCATCAGACTCGAAAGAGAGGAAACGCCTCTCCTTTTTTCAACAATAAAGAGAAGCTTTCGTAGATTTGTTCAGATCGAATGTGTGTTGGCCTCCATCCCCTTAGTTCTTGTTGACGTAGTCGACGAGGTTCTCCAGTACAATGGCAGCGGTGGGAGTCTGCGCAGTCTCGGTATGGTGGGCGACGAAGACGCACGACTTGGACTTGACGAGGACGATGCCTTCCTTGCCCTGTAGTATATCCGATTAGCATCCTTTATCCAAGACCTTGGACAAACACTCCCTCATTACCTTCTTGCCGTAGAGACTGCGCTCGTCAGCCTTAATGGCGAAGAACTTCTCTCCTCCGATCGTGATACCGTGGGCGAAGGCGTTGGAGGGGGTCTTGTAAAGTTCTCGGATGGACTCGATCTCCTTGTCGGTGATCTATTTTACGAAGGGGTGTGGGTATTAGGTCTGGCTCATAGCGACTGATTGGGAGGGGGGGGAGGCCACAGCAAATGCGTACAGTGTAACCAGGCGTGCCAGCTTCCACCTTGGCGATATCGTAACTCAGAACAGCAGCCTTATCGAACTGCCCTGAGCCCATGATGCTAGAATGATGACGGTTCTATCAGCCTCGCGGTGCACACCGAGGAGGGGTTGGAAACGGGTGTTTTCGGTCGTACCTCGAGTCAACGTAGGCTGGTGGCGTTTAACCATGTTAGCAATGTAATTAGAGGAACGACAGAGAGTATGCCGGCGAGAAAAATATCTATCTCGACAGCCAGGACTTACGTTGCCAGGCACTCATGATGATGATGGTGGGGTGAACGGTCTGTAAGTAAACAAATCGTCAGCGGGGACGGTCGGGAGACTCTGGGAGGTCAAGACACGCGACGACGGCCAGGGAACCCGACGATGCAGGGGAAGATGCGGTTGCAGGAGACAGATCACACGTACAAACGACGGGATTTATCGACCAAGGAGACTAGAGGTAGGGAAACAGGAAGAAACGTGTGGTGGGAGAGGGAGAGAAAGCAATAGCAAGTTTAGGTCCGTTCAAGGTGGGGTGGGCTGCGCTGGCAGCGACAGAGAGACTGAGAGAGCACGGAATGCCCCGCCATCTGCCATAGACTTAATAGCAATACTTATACCACCAACAACAGCTATACCTAGGCAGCATCTACCAGCCATATCTACACGGAAACCAGTGGCTATGTATTTCCTGTCGACAGTTTGAGAACCGAAGAGCCTTATTTCTGATGCCTAATTCGAAGAATTGGGATGCCTGAGAGGAGTTCGTCTGGGCAAGGAGCCTCAGCAGTTGCTGGATAGGTAGACTGGACAGAAGAGTCTCGAGGAGATCGGGAGCTAGGGAAGAATAACGAGGGAGCCTGGAGGAGCAGACTGCTGCATAACAACACACTGTCTACCTGGGATTCGTCTGGTGGTTGTGCAGACGAAAGCGATGCTCCCTCACTGCCTCTTGACCCGTCACGGGCACGTTTAGGTGCCTTGCTGCACTTGACACAGCTGCCAGGTATCAGACGGTCAGACGCCTTTGGATCACCAGCAGACTCATTGATAGGAGTTAAAGGGTCTTGCAGCTGCTACGCTGAGCCCCAAAGGCGTGACGACGTCGGTCTGAACGGACTTTGAGAGCAAAAGACGGTGAGAGGGCGCTCGAGGCACCCAACTTAAGAGACCGTCTTTGCCTTGTTGAGCTAATCCGGATAGCTAACTATCTCTTGGCACAGATGATTTTACGAACTAAATGGACTCTAGAGTCTGGTAGGCCTGTGGAGTGGGGAATCGGCCACTTTGCACGGTTCAAGCTGGGCGATTAATATTAAGGAGGGCATCCGCCGACGGATCAGACGCAGCAACTACGGCCGAACAAATGTCTGGCGATGGAGAAATCGGAGAACAACGCACCCATTCCATCGAGGACTTGTGCGCGCGGAAATGTCGACAAGTGATGTTCCAGTAATAATCCATACCGCATAGTTAATCTCTATGACACCGGGATCCCTGGTCCATGGCTTCGAGGGGGAACCCTGGCAGCCCAGCCTAGGGTGAAACCAGCTAAGCAGCCATCGACGCCGCATAATGTCCGCAACGCCTCTCAGGATACTGCCCTCGTGGGTAATTTCCCGACAAAGACCCTTATTCGCGCGCCTGGAAATAAGCATCTCACCTGGGGCAGCCATAATCTATTTCCCGTGTGCGGTATGCTGCTGACTTGCAGCTGCTTGATTGGCATCATCGTGTCTTTTGCACGCGCTGATTTGATTGCATGCTGCACTTAGTGGCCATGAAGCGTCCATCTAACGACCTGAATGGCTGACAATACGGCTGGGCGTGTTGAAACTGAATTGTTTGGAGCTATCTACTAACTACTGAATCTGATCTGACTGTCCCCTGTACCATGGATGTCTCTCCTGTCGTTTCATTTACGGGGGTACTTGCAAATTAATTGCTCCACCACAATGGGCTGCTAGCTGGCTACCTGACATGATGCCATTCTCTTCCCTTTGCTGCTGAAACCTTTTTCTTTCCTTCTCCTTTCCCCTAGCACACTCTCTTGCATTATCTTTGGCTTTAGGTCTTCAGGAAGGCCGTCCATTCGTTTCTAATATGATATTTTGAGATCCTGGTATCTCAGCCTCATTCGTTCCCTTTTCTTTTGCCCTTACCCTCCCTCATTTTCTCCTTTGCTCTGTTCTAGTACCTTCGTATAATCAATCATATTTCAGTCTGATCACCGATTCTATATTTCAAAAGAGATGGCACGAGGTATCTTCGCAGGGAAAGCTCGGGTGCCGCAGCCGACGGATTTGATATCGCAACCAGTCATTACCTATACCGACGCCCTGCCGCGAAAGGATCTTCTGGCTATTGAACATGCCTCCGAACAAATGCCCCCGCGGAGGACTGCGCAATGGGATTTCCAGCGACCGGGGACTCCAGATAGACGCAACCTTCCCCCAAAATTCCAGAACATTGGCACCGGGTTTAATTTCGAAGTGAATGAACCCCACTCTCCAGCTACCCTGTCACCAAGAATGGCTGATAGTCAGGTGGGTGGGATTGGTGTCGCGCTGGGAAGCCCGACCTTGGTTGATGTCCAGCAAATACACGCTCTTTCTCATGAACAATCTAGCCCTGCCTCTCCAGCTGCCAGCGGACAAGAGGCACGAAACAACTATCCCACCCGAAAATCAAGCAAGTGGAGGAAGATCGGAGGCCTGTTCAGAGCGAAGAACGCCTTGGCACCGGTGCCCAAACCTCCATTCTACCAAGTCCGAACCGGTGAACCACACATACAGAACATGTCTGTATCGACCGGTATCCAATCTCGCACCGAGCTTCCCCCCGGTTTCCAGTCACCACAGAGACAGCTCGCCGGCATACCATCGAAGCAAAGTATAGTCCCTATAAACGGGGCGGAAACGGAGTGGCCAAGCCCCAAACCCAAACAGCCAGAGCATCGTGATGATGGGTTTAAAATCAATGTTCAAGATATGTCTAACAAACCAGAGCCCCGTGTGCCTGCTCCAGGACAACAGGCAAACAAACCCGGGCTGCTGTTATCAGTTGATATCCCTAGGGTGGAAATGGAGCGATATAGTGTTATGTTTAGCGGCCTGTTGGACAGGCAAAAGTCGCCCCTTGTGACGAGGCGCAGCATGACCCTCGAAGATGTGACTATCGGCAAGGCAGAGGTAAAGACTGATAGAAAAGGTGCGCGAAATGATGATGCTAATGCGATTATCTAGCTGCCATTGCCATCGCCAGAGCTTACTCGCCAGCCATTCCAGCGGCGAGCCACATCACCGACACCCAATCTCACCTTGTTCCCAACACCACCGACAGTCAGCAAACCTTCAAAGATATTAGGCTCGCAGAACATCCCGCACGGCCCGGATCTGCTACAGCAGAGAATGCGAGCAGCTTCTGCAAGGCAACCACAAGCCTGTCCAAACAACAAAAGCTATGATGACCTCTCGATCAAGGTCCCCAGCCATTCGGTCAATATGCGCATCTCGCATAAACCACAGCGCTCGGAAGCATCCATACGATCCGTTGCTTCTAGTCATTCCGGACAAGACGAGCAAGCCCTGGTCGATAAGCTGAAGAAAATCAAACCATACGTCGATACACATAATGAACCTGATTGGGAAATGGTGACTAGAGAGAGGCCTGGCAGGACACCACAGACGCGGCCTTCCGGCCCGCGCCTCAAGCTAATTACCGAAGATCTGCCCCCGGTGCCACCGACATCCCAGCTCTCTACACATTCAGTATCGCCACTTGATGCAGTACAGGGCAAGGTTGACCGAATCATGATGGGCTCCCGACCGCGCACAGCATCTGTGGGCACACCCACCACCCAGAGAAGGATGATGGAACACATGGTGGCCTCCCCGACAGCGATATCTCCAGCTGATTGGGAAACGCAAGAGCGCGTCAACCAGCTCCTTGGCCCCGCGGTGGTTCGACCTTCCGCCTCGCATGTGGACCAGGAAGTACGAAACAGGGTCGGCCAGATCATGGGCCCCAGCTTGACGTGGCCCCCGCCGTTGAATCGACCTCAAACCGCCGCCACTGTTCGATCCCCCCAGCAGCCGGACTCGTTCTCCGACTACGAATCCCAGCTCATAAAATCGCATCGAATTGGCGAAAGCCCGACAACAGATCGGTCAAGGTCAAGAGGATCTCCTGCGTGCTCAACGCGCCTCCCCTTCAGCGACGATGACAACGACGACAGCGCCGCACCGGAGGAGGAGGAGCAGCAGCAGCATCACGATCCCGTCCCCAAGATCGAGGTGTCCATTGCCCGCTCCATCTCCGTGTCCCGAGGCAAAAAGAAACAGATCGTCGTAGGCCAGCGTGCCGACCGTCTGCATGACAATGAGCGGCTCGTCACCCGCTCCATCACCGCGCCCAAGGCTTTGGACGTCCAGTACGGCCATCGTCACCAGCGGTCGCAGGATGCGCGTATCGAGACGATCTCCACGGCTAGCACGTGTCCTTCGCCTGTGATACCTCCGGAGGATCGGTTTGCGAGCAATGGAATTGCTGTTTAATACCATTCCTTCAGTTGATAATCGGTCTTTTTCTGTTATTTTTTCAACCACCCATTTATTCTGTCGTTGACGACATGGCATTGCATACATATAATTCCTGTTATCTAGATTCTACCTCCTGCCTCAACATCCCCTGGTCACTTTTTTTTTTTCTTTTCATTCCCATGTTGCCGGCAATAGGCGTGTGGAAGCGTTCATGATTACATAGCGGGGCTTTGTTGATCAACTGGTCTAGAAATACATGTATTGAATGTATCCCCTGGGTTACTAGTATCTCTTTACAGATGCGAACACAATAAATGATAGGCGGAGCTGTATCTCATGGTAGAGTTCAAGGCTCTTGATTTGATGGCTATACGTTAGATTTTGCAAGCCTCAGATCGAAGACAACACTCAATAACCGACTAAGCCTTGTCAGGAACGCTCGATTCCGCAGTCTGCGTCTCCGGTAGCAGAGAGATACCGGCGATGCTCCATTCCATGCCTACGTACGCGTCGCTTACAACTCGCACATTCACTCGCTTCGTCACATCAAAAGACGTAGATAAACCCTCCGGAAACCTGAGTGACGATCGGACTGACAAATTGCCGTGCTTGGGGTTCCGGTTCCTATTGATTCTATCGGCGGAAGGCCATGACAGACGCTTCAAGGCGAGGAGGTCTCCATCAGACCCGTCGGGGTTTGAACTGCTGACGAGCAGGAAATAACCTTCCGTCTGTGGTTTAGGGAACTTGGGTGCGTAGATGCGGTATTCGGGGTTGGTAGGGGGGTTCCTGCGTGTCAAGGTGACCGTGAGTCCCTTGGATGAGACCTCAGACACATCAATGGACACCTGGGGTAGCTGGGAGGTTGCCTTGGTGAACTGCGCGGATGTGGCGGGTGGGAGATGCAGTTTTTTCGTTATAGAGGACAGAGAAGAGGCTGGAAGGGATGCAAGCGCTACCAGGGAGTCTGGCACCCCGCGAGGCTTTTCTTCGTCAATGGCAACGCCGGGAAGGATGGAGAGTGGGTGATCTTCAGGCCACCGGGCGGATTTGATGCATTGCAGTAGAGTCACGAACTTCCAGCAGGCGGACAGATAGCCCAGCTCGGCCATCACGTCGATGGACGCCTGGAGAATACGGATACCTTGGTCGAGAACAGAGATTTGATCACCAACATAATCGGAAATGGGCAGATCGATCCGTGACATATAAGCCTGTAACAGGAGGAATGACTTCACGTGCGGATCCCAGAGGGGTAGATTACCCATCGGCTCCACGGAAAGAGGGAGATTTCGTGCTAGTTCAGCATTGATCAGATCTTCGTTGTGACGAACCGGTAGTTCGTCGAACTCAGTTGCAGAGCACATCCAGCTCAGCACGTCGTGGAACGAAGGGTCTCGTTTGGCGTGGGTCATGAGGTATCGGATCGTCTTGTGAGACAGATAGTAGTAACTCATGATCTTGCCAAAGGGGGTCGGGTCGACTTCACCCGTGGCAGAATCGAGGAGTATACAAGATGATTCGGCCAGTTCACCGAGTGACTTGTCCACCAAGTCGATCATGAAATCCTGCGCGATTGCCTGTGCAGCCATGGTATTGTGTTCTTCAGCAGAGATCTCGAGACCGTAGTACGATGGGTTCTTGTGTATTCTGCGGAAAAAGAACGTCCAGGTCAAGTAATCCAGAGCATCCTGCTTGGTGCCGATGGTGCCCGCAGAGACTTCAGCGCCCAAATGGTTGTCAAGAACCTTGTGCAAGGTTGACTCCACCGGGAATCCAGTGTGGAGAAAATGCTTATAGAACGCTTTCTTTGAATCTTGTGTGAAGATGCGCGCAACACCAGAAGTGTCAAACTGTGGACGGCCAGCACGACCTAGCATCTGGAGAACATCTGTCAAGTCCATGTCGCGATATCCTTCGATCTTGGCGTCAAAAAACTGCGTGCCTTTCACCACAACCAGATGGGCTGGAAGGTTAACTCCCCATGCAAGGGTGCTGGTAGCCACCAGGATCTGGATCTTGTTGTTGGCAAAGAGCTCTTCAGAGAGTTGTCGGTCAGACTCGACCAGACCGGCGTGATGCAGACCGATACCAAAACTAAGAGCCTCGCGCAGTGCATCATCTTTGACTCTCGCAAGGTTCAACTGGAGATCGTCCTCAGACATGTGCACAAATCGCCGCGGGTTATCTTCCATGCCACAGTAGTTAATTAGATCCTTAGCCGTTAACCGAGTTTGTCGTCGAGAGGCCACAAAGACAATGACCGGTTTCTCTGGGGAGTGATTCTTGATAGCAAGGAAGGTCGGTCTGTTCATGGATTGCATGAGTGGGCAGAAGCCACGCTGTTCAGGGAAGCCGTCGATGTAGGTCTCGAGAGGAACCGGGCGCACAGAATGGCGGAAATTATAGAGGCCCTCCTTGACTCCCAACCAATTAGCCAGATCGGTAGCATTTGCACAAGCAGTCGACATGCCCATCAAGCGGACCGAGCCCTTGGATTGCGAGGCAATATAGTTCATACGCGAGACGATGATTTCCAGAATAGGCCCTCTGTCACCGCCCAACAGATGGATTTCATCGATAATGACCAAGCTGACTTTGCGCACGTAATCTCTGGTCTGCCAGCTACGAGAAATACCGTCCCATTTCTCGGGTGTAGTGATAATAATATCAGCGTCTCGGATCGTTCGAGTATCAGGGGTGTTGTCGCCAGTTAACTCGACCAATCTCAGCCCCATGGCTGCGGTGAGGCGCTTCCGCCAATCTTGAACACGTTCACGCACAAGGGCTTTCATGGGAGCAATGTAGACCACCTTGGACCCGGGCCTTTCTCTGAAAGCCCACCACATGGCAAGCTCTGCAGCGACTGTTTTGCCACTACCAGTCGGTGACCCAAGGAGAACATTTGCGGACGTGTGGTAAAGCAAATGAAATATTTGCGTCTGCATAGGGTTGAAGAATTGGAAGCGTTGGCTATAGATCTCTTCGAGAATTGGATTCTTCAGAGCAGAAATCGGGAGCGGTTGAAGATTGAGCAAGTCGGTGAATACGCTCTCTGTATCGGGCCGGATGAGATGCTGGAAGGAGATGGGAGTTACTGTCTCCGCACCTAACCAGCGATCGGAAATAGCACGAACGTAAATCTGGCTGGGGAGTGGATCAGACAATGGGATTGTGAAGTTGAGTTCGTGGTCATCATATAGCTTCCTTCGGCTGAGAATGAAGTACTCGTGATGGTATATCTCCGAAGTCTCCGAGTTCTCGACCCAGATCCAATATGATTCCGAGGCACCGTGGTGTCGATCATTCCAGCTGAATTCGGGGTAGAGAGACAGGCGCACCCGCAGCACATCCCGATTCAAGGGTGCAATTTCAGCTTCCACGCTCAGTGTTGGAAAGTTGTCGAGAAGCTTTGTCAAGACCTTCCCCATGCGATGATTATGAACAAGTTGGCCGATCTCTGCCGGCTCCATATCCCTCATCGACTCGATTGAAGACGAAGGTAGCTTTTCATCCAAATTTTTCAGAATCGGCTGGGGCAAATCAAACTGACGGAATGGGTGGTCAAAGGGCCACATTTGCTTCTCAATGGACTTGCAGAGTGACAACAGAACCAGACACTGGTAGCCCCAGCGACGATTCAAAGCGATCATAAACAGGGCGCGACATATGCGGGCAGCATTCTGCGCCACATAGCCGGTGTCAGAGACAAGGGTAAAATCTTCAATCCTCGCACGGGAGATATAAGACTGAAGCAGAATGTTGGTTTTAACGTGAGGCGAGTCATTCTCACCATCAAGTTCTGTCTGCACGGACTCTTCGCGCAACCTATCTAGCTCCTTGGACTCACTGTCTCGAGACTGGATGTTGTCGAATTCGCCACTCATGCTGATCATTTTCAACATGTCAGCTTCGCCTGCTCGGGGGCGCATCATCTCGTTGAATATCTCAATGCTGGTCTGAAGGACGTAATACTGGCTTGCAATTCTCCCCACATCCTTGGCCTTCAGGTCCTCTGTCTTCTCATTGAAGATGATCATCTGGCTCTTCTGCAACACTCGAGCAGCCTGGATGACCAGCTGGCGCCGTCTCTGTACCAGCATTGGATCGTCTCGAAGTTCGGCGTATTCAATACCATAGTGCCGTGGCTCCCGTTTCATACGTACGAATAGGTAAGAATACCCTAGCCATTGTACTGCCTCGGAAACAGAGGTAACGGTTCCAAGGGAAATTTCGGCGTTCAAGTTATCTACCAGTTTGCTGGAGAAACGAGACTCGATAGGTTGCTGCGAAGTCACCGCGGAAAGATAGTGATTGAGCTTGTCATGCGTGGTGCAGATGAAGCCAATACCAGTATCCTGGAACTGTGGACGGCCCGCACGGCCAAAAATTTGAAGCACGTCAAGAATTCCCAGGTCCACGAATTTACCTTCCTGTGGGTTGTACAACTGAGTTCCCTTGATGACAACGGCAGCCGCCGGTAAGTTGACACCCCATGCGAGAGTAGCGGTACAGCATAGAACCTTGATCAGGCCGTTGGAGAACATTCGCTCCATCAGGTTCCGATCACTTCGGGTCATGCCAGCATGATGGGTACCAAAACCGCTGGTAAATAGATCTCTCAATTCACGAGCACGAGATTGCTTCATGTCTCTCAAGGCATTCGAGTAGTCTTCGTGCTCATGACAGCTGAACAGGGCTTCACAGCCATTCTCGGCAGCCATCTGGCGTAACATTCGTGCTGTCTGGACAGTATCCTTGCGAGAGTGGACGAATACCATAACCTGGTGACCGCATTCGAGCATGTCCCGTACCTTCTCGAATGCAACAACATCTAGGTTTTCACGGGACTTTTTCGACCCTGGCGTTCCCTTGACTCCAATAAAGTGTTGCTCGAGGGGCACAGGTCGGAAGGAAGCGTCGAAAAAGAACAGACCCGCCATCTTGTTAACTTTCAGAAAGTCGGCAACGTCAATGTAATTCGGCAAGGTAGCGGAGAGTCCTACGATCCGGATGAGGGACTGTGTGCTTTCAACCTGGCGTTGGGTTCTAGCCACCAAAGACTCAATAACGGCACCACGTTCGTCGTGAAGCATATGTACTTCATCAATGATCAGAAGGCGCACTTTCTGTACGAGTTCGGTATCACCAGTGCTCTTGCGAGTGACCACGTCCCATTTTTCAGGAGTGGTGACAATGATCTGTGTTTCAATAATCTCTCGTTTCGTCAACTGCATATCACCGGTCAGCTCGCGCACCTGGATACCGAGCCAGGTGAGTCGTTTCCCAAGTTTCTCCGTGACCTCTGCTGCCAACGCTTTCATAGGAGCGACGTAGACAATCTTGAAATCATCCACTTGAACCGCAAACTCCGTCGCGTCTGGTTCTTCCAGAGGATTTGGAATGGTGTTTTTGCCGATCGCGTTCAGTACGGTCAACATGGCAGCGTCCGTCTTACCTGCACCAGTAGGTGCACACACCAACATGTTTTCATTAGTCTTGTAGGCGACATCGTACAGCAAGCTCTGCATCCGATTCAGTGTCTTGTACCCCTTGAAGGTTCCGCGGCATAGACCATCGAGACTGGAAATTTCGACTAATTTCTGATTTGCAGCCAAAGACCCCACGCGTGCGGCAGGCACTTCAACCTCAGTGTAGTTTTTCTCCTCAATCTGCTTGCTTCCTAGAGGCAGCCCATACTTCTTTCCCCCAAGAGCGAGCGTGTTGCGAGATTCATGAGACTTGAAAACATGTGGGTACACAGGCTCTGCCCTTGTCTGAGCTGGTAAAAGGGGAGCGTGCTTATGGTCAAAGTCTTGCTGTCGCAGAGCCCTTTCCCGTTCCGCTCGAGTCTGAAGCTTCCCCATCATCAGGCCATCGGTTTGTGCTTCGGTAGAAACCATACGGTTTGTGAGAATTTCTTGTCGATGGCTAATCAATTCAATCACCAGGTCCAGGTCATCGAAGCCGACAATCTCCGCCAGGGACATCTGAAGCTCATCGTCACCGCTATCAGCCGCCAGCGCCGCGGTAATCTGTTGTGAAAGCTCTGTGCCGTTAATCCCCGGCTTACTAGCCGCTAGAATTTGGCATCTTTCTTCGAGCCAGGCTTGACCATAATCAAGACTGGCAGCAGGAGGGAGGGGTACGCCGTGGATATCATCGAGGTCATCACTTGTGTCATCCTCGTCGGAACTGATGATATCCCAGATATCATCCACCGACCCAGGTGACAAATATTCATCGTCGAGATCCAGCTCAAGGTCGCTACCATACAAGGGCTGCACTGCGGGGTCCTTGGAGAGCTTCAGCTCCTCCAGGGCTTGCCGCATGGTCGCCAGTTGAGTCAACCATTGCAGCTCAGCCGGTGTGCTTCTTTCCATGTTGTATGAAAGTATGCAGTATGAATTTTGAAATGCTTTTTGCGAATTTATGCCTTGATCGAGGGATATTCAACCCGTTCGTTGCTCAGCTTTGTATGTAGTTGTTGCCTGGAAATCCAAACAACGTCAAGATCCAAGCCCAGTTAGCTTATCGGGAGGAAGCCTAATTCGGTTTGTAGGGCATGTTTGTAGGGCTCATATTATCTGCTGACAGACCTAGTCGAAACTAGACTAGCGCCGGGGGTGACCCTGGACTGCCACTAGTACGAATACGGGCCCACGGGGCATATTACCCAGGTAGGCGGCGTGCAAGGCGGGCGAGTCACAAGTGGCGGCAGAAGACGATCAGCGGCAGCCAGACTCGGCGTCACTTGAGTCCAACCTCTCAGCCAGTTCCGTCATATCCCTTGTCATCGTCTTACTTTCTAGGCTTCTTTGTTCCGCAGCGTCAGCATCGCAGATTCTCAACTTCTCATTTATCTTTGGGGCCTAAGATTTCGAGAAAAGTTACCACCAGGCTGAAAGCGACCGTCTAGCAAGTCGCTTTCTGTTGATTTTACCCCACCGTCCTCCTTTTATCTCTGACCGACACTTTGCACACCATGAAGATCTTTTATATGGGAGTACGTACGAAACCGCCACAAACGAGAGCGCCAGTTTTCTCATACATATGGTTTCGATCTAGGTGCTCCGAAATGACAGCAAGCCAGCTGTCGAGCTGTGTGGCGAGAGCGATCTGAGCTGTAAGAATACCGATACCACCCGCAGGATATCTGGACCACGGAACGTACTAATACACCAGGATAGCTTTCTCACGCTTTACACGAGATAAGTATGTTCTTTTGTCCTCAAGCACTACTAGAACTACTCTCTAATGGTATTAACGCTGTACAGTTACAGCGAGTTCATGGTAAACGCCTTCGCCAACCCCACTCTAGCCAAGCCAGATAGCTGACTGTATACTGCATCCAGATGCTTTTCTGTAAGACCGTTGCCGAACGCACACAACCAGGACAGCGTCAGGATGTTGAGGAGAAGTCATACAGTGAGTTCCAGGACAACATTGGCGGAATATATATGCCTATAGTTCCAATGCTTATGCGTTATCAGCATTCCACGCCTACGGCCGCACAGAAGGTGTCGCCGGTGTCATCATCACGGACGGCGAATACCCGGGCCTGGTCGCTCACCAATTGCTTTCCAAGATTGTCGACGAGTTCCTCGCCAAGTACCCGCGCACCTCGTTTACGGGTGCCTCCATCAGAGACAAATCGTGCCCGCTGCCTCAGCTAAAGGAATACATTACCAAATACCAGGATCCCACACAGGCAGACAGCATCATGAAGATTCAAAAGGAACTCGATGAGACCAAGATCGTCCTCCACAAGACCATCGAAAGTGTCCTTCAGCGCGGTGAAGCGCTAGACAGCCTGGTTGCCAAGTCGGACGGTCTGTCCGCCCAAAGCAAGATGTTTTACTCTCAAGCGAAGAAGCAGAACTCGTAAGCATGGCTCCATTGTCTACTCGATCCACAATACTGACTGTATCATCTTTCTAGTTGCTGCATTGTGATGTGAATATTTAATGTTGATTCTTTTCTATTAAACGAATTTATATCTGTATGTCATGTCAAAGAGCAGACTGTTTCACTGCATATACCTTGATTCTCTATTATCTTAGATTCTTTTACTAGACATATATACTCCACCTAGGAGTCAGGTCTGTGATCTCCAACTAGTTATTTAGCTTGAAAAATAAATCAGAGGGAATCTAAGCCACGGCTGTCAATCATATGACAAAATATGATTCATCCTGACTAAGACCTGAAAGAGTCTAAGAACAATTATCCAGAGTTCTTTGCCTGAAACCGGGAGCATGGTCTCAAACGCTTTGTTTGATTCTCGTCCAGTCTCATACCGCAACAGATTGCTCTTTGTCTTAACAATCTTCAAGGTCAGCATAGATACAAAGGACAAAGGACTTGGTATTTCCTTTATAAGTTGAGCTTCTCGGTCCACTCCAAGTAGTCGGATATAAGAACCAGGATGACTGAGAAACCGCTGGTCTATTCCCAAGAATCCAAAGTTCGACAGTACCTGTCATTTACCCTGTTTTCTAACTGCATAGAGCAGGCCAAAGGGGGAATAAAATGGAAGCACAATCCACAAAGGAAGAATCATGGGATGATTGCATGAAATGGGCATTGACAGAGTAAGAGTGGAATCTCAACTCCTGTTTTCCAACTGAGCAGCGCCGGATACTAACCTGCTTTTTCTCCAGGCTCTGGCAGACGTCGATTCTCGCCGATGTCACAGTCCAGACGAGCACCAAAGCTTTCAAAGCACATAAAATTGTCCTGGCGTCCCATTCTGACTGGTTTTCGACGTATTTTCAAACCCGACAGGTAACAGACCAACCCCTCATGTTAGTACTTGTCCGACACTAATTTCTTCTATTAGGACAACCTCGTGATGCTCGATGACAGCAGCACCTTCGACACCGATGCTGTGGAACGTGTGCTCGAATACATGTACAACGGGAATTACAACGCCGTGGACGGCAGCCCTGTGCAATCTGCTATTATTCACGCCAGGGTTTGTATCACTGCAGAGGAGTTCCACATGACTTCGTTGCAGAATATTGCGTTCCAACGGTTCCGAGATACCGTCAGAGCGTGCTACCTGCATGCTGACTTCCCTGTCATCATCTCTACAGTGTATGGCATTCGACGATGCGGCATGTGGTCGATTCGCCGGGAGGTGGTCGAGACTTGTGCTCGGAATTTCGATGATCTATGCCGGAATAGAGGATTCTCAAACGTTTGGATTGACTGTCCGGGGTTTGCGGCTGATCTTTGTCGCCAATTCATTGAGTGATGAAGATGAAGCTTCTAGGCTGCACATTGTCTCTCAATTCCTGTGGCTATTAAGCTAGATATAATATAAACAATGTCTGGATAATTATATGTCTGCTGTCAGCGGGAAGCCGCGGCTTGTCTCGTCGGTACTGAGACACAGTTTGAATCAACAGAATAGCACTCGATTGAAAGTAAAAGAATAATATAAGATTCCACAACACCGAGCTCCAGACACCTTAGCCCATCCGCATAAAACGCCGCATCGCTTCATTTCCTGTGGTTCAACCTGTACAGAGGTAATAGACGTAAAGAGGAAGAAAAAAAGAAACCATGGTAATGCCATGGTACATATATGTACATGACTGTATAGGCGGAGACGAAAGTAGTACTATCCGCCTGCAATGGCCCAGCCCACAAACCCTATCCAGGCGCCGATGAAGGAGATGGTGAGAATACTCGCGCCAGCCCGGTCGCCTGCCGTGATGGGTCTTGTTGCGATGGAGCTGGAGGATTTGGGGTCGCTGGTACCCGCGCTGGGATTACTCTGGCTGGTGCCGCCTGTACTGTGGGTGAAGGGAGCGGCGTTTTTCTGGTGAATGATGAGGTTGGAAGTAAAGACGCTGGTCGCGCTCATCGCTTCCTCCAGCGAGGTTGTTCCGTCCCAGGTATCCTGGTACCAGCGTCGGCCGCACAGGGTCTGGTTGGCACCCCCGGTGCACTGCTTGGCGGCCGCGACGGCGCTGCCCTGCAGTCGGGGGATGATCTCGGAGTAGGTGTACGGCACAATAGTCGTCATGAATGCAAACCAGGAGGAGAGGAACCCCTTGAAACAGTCCTGGTTTCGGTCGCAGTTCATGAGCCCTTCGCAGGCGGTCTCCGACATCACCATTCCACCGTACTCTGAAGGGAAGAATTCCCTTAAAGTAGTGTTCATCAGACCATCGATTCCCTCCTTCCACTTCTCGGCACCGTCGGTCTGTCATTTTTTAGTTAGTATCCTAGTAGACCCGGTTTTTATCCTAAGGGGTAATGGCATGAGCTCACCAGATTGTACATGTAGGCGGCACCGCTTAGATACGTTCCATAGTTGTAGGTCCATTGGATGTCTCCGTGATCCTGACACTGGGCATTGACATTGGTGGTATCCGCGATAGTCCACTCACTCTCCTTCAGGAGCGGGGTGGTTCCGCTCCAGTCCCAGACCTTCTCCGCCCATTGTGTATAGGTCTCGTTATTGGTGTACCGAGCAAGTCGGGCAGCCAGCTGGAAGAAGCCACCATTCGAAATGGCATTTTTCGTGCTGTATCCATCCTGGTAGGGCCAGATCTGCCACCGCAAGCCACCATTACAGGTAGTCGTATCCCAGCGGGCGGCCTGGGTGTTGAAAACACCTTGGGCTAGCGACAGCCACGAGGGCATCCCCGATTGTTCGGGGTAGTTCAGCTCCGCGGCTGTCATTGCTGCTAGCCCCCAGAAGACCTGATCGTCGTTGCCAAGGTACTGGCTGTAGTTGGAGGGGAAATAGTCGTCATTCCCGCGCTGGAAGTACATCCCTTGCGTCACCGCATCGTTGTACGAATCATCGCCAGTCAAGTACCAGTACTGGATCAAGGTCATGAACATAGCTCCGCCTTCCCACCAGGTGCCTGGTAGCTTGCCAGGGATCTGGCCAGTCTGATTTCCCGTGTAGTTGCTCATCATATTGAACGCGCTGGTCGCAGCGGCATTCTTGAGAGAGTCTGGGGGGGGGGAGAATACGAGAACACCGTTAGCCAGTGAGAGAAACAAGGGCTATAAGGAGCAGCATACCAAGGTCATTAACATTTAGGCTGATCGCCATGACGGTTCCAGCGCCCAAAAGAGCCACACTCAACCCCTGCAGCCAGACCATGACGGCGATCGGAATGAGGGCTTAAACCAACAGCTTAAAACGAAAGGCTCATTTAATGTGAAACGAACGAATCAGCAAGTCTAAAAGAACGTCGATACCTTTGCCAGAAGAGCAGAGGGAGAAGAAGAAGAAGAAGAAGAAAAGAAGCGAGTTGCATGAAGAGCAGAAGGCCAGAGCAGCCGCCTCAGGCACTTCCGTATGCGGAGGGGTGTGAGACGGACCCATGATTTGCCTCTTGCGGCACACACAGCTGTGCAACCACGGTCGAGGCATCTGGAGACGGTCGATGGGTGGTAGTGGCTCAAAATTAAGAGCAATGATTATCAGGCTACAGAATACTCAGTGAGCTTCCGCTTGGCTGATTCCTGGATGATCGCTGCCAGTGACGCCATGGTAGTATCCATGGTAGTATCCACCATGCACTTTAACTCCTAGTTCAGGGTCTGACAGGGTCCTACAACTGTCTCCTCGCATATTAGGAATAGATTCTCAACTTTAAATTACCTTATTCCTGATGCTGACTGAGTGTATGGTAAAAGACATGTACTGTTCATAGAATACCTGTGTAGTTCAGCGGTCGAAAGCTCCTCTGACATTGTAGCCTAATCACTGCCTGGTCTCTCAGGCTGAAACGGCTCTCCCCACAGTGGGTTTTTCGCCAGGAGAATTTAGGCTTCTGGGCTTCTCCGTCCACGAAGATTACCCAGTCAAGGCGCCCAGTCGTTATTATAGGGTTGATTCTTATTACTTGATATGCTGATCCTTGGGCCTGTCGCCTTCCCCTTCCATTAACTCTAGATGAGTGTGGGGGGTTTCGATGAAGCTTCTTTCGCAGTAGGAATCCCTGAATGACTTCATCTGGTGATATTCCCATCACAACAGAGTGACAAGTATAGAAGAATATTCGGAAAGATCAATCTCTTGGTACAGTCTGCTAATCAAAGTGGTAACTCAGGTAAAACGATGGACTGAACCGAGATTCTATCTCCGACATAACTACCTACTACCTACCAGGTATGACATGACAGGGTAGACTATGCTACTAGCTCTACTATATTAAGAATTGTGGATGATTTAGACCGTTGGTCAGCAATTTGCGTGTCGGTCAGACCCTTGAGTGACAACCCTGAGGATGCAAGGCTCCCTCGGCTTTACGAAGAAGTTGGGGTCTAAACTGGTCGGCCAACACAGGGTCTTCGATTGGGAGGCAGCTATCAACATAGCACACCTGATCCTCCAAAGCAACTCGAATGAACCCTCCGTCTAATGACGATGAAGGGATAAATAATGTCGACTGGAGAAACAGATTTGTGAATACCCTTGGCTCTGGATGCTCCGCCAGATCTTCAAAGTACTGGGACCATATCCATCAACTGCTGTCCATCCTCAGGAAGATACCTTATACAAAAAAGACCCTCATTCTCCGGATCGCTTCTCAAGTCTCGACATTCACCGCCAACAGTCTCATTTTCTTGAAATAGGCTATCGGTAGGTACTGCCTAGTCTTTCTACTCACACGAGTCAGTATGGTCACTCCCCCCGTCATGACAACCGCTTCCACCGAATTTGACAAAGGTGATGGCATCGCCATTTGCACAGTAGAAGAGTGAGTTATCGACATGCGCTGAATTGGTAGAATTTCCCGGTCGCTGCAGTTCATTGACTCTCCTAGGTAGTCAGTAAAAGCCTCCAGCCATGTCAAGGACGAAGACCGAAAGCAACCTCACCCCGTTTGAGCAGGTTACAAACGCAGTTATTAATCGACCAGCCTGTAAACTGTTGATTAGGCGTCCCAAGATCCTTGTCTGTGTGTGGTTCTACAACTAAAAAACATCCTGAACAGTTTAGGCTACCTACAGTAGGGAGTACATTTCCTACGACCAAGGGATCCTCTATTGTATATAGCATCTTCAACATACTGGCAACAGCTGTACTCTCATCACCAAGTATCACAAGACAGGTGTAACCTGCTATTTGCTTGGACAATTCTACATTACTACTAGTATTAAATAATATAAAAGTCCCTCACTCTCTTCTCCACTCATCGGAACATACACACGCCTTACAGTGACCATCACTACCATGAAGTCCATTGCATTTCTACTGTTAGCAGTGCCGCTCTCCCTGGCCGACAACTGCCGACCAAACATCCAATACTGCGGCTACAACCTGCTTAAACGGGGTACCACTATCTCTACCTGGATATACTGCCATCATTTAGGTGTACTGGTACTAAAGAACTACTATTATATAGGAAACTACTATGCCCAGATCAACGACGCCCTGCGAGATGCCAACCAACCCACAGATGAAACACATGTCGACCAAGGCCTGTTCTGGTGCACGGGGGGTGCCAACGGGGAGATCACCTTTATCTCGTTCTGTCAGTCTGGCTGTCATGATGGAGGGACTGGTCGGAGTGACTGGTGTAACTAGATGAAATACCTACCTTAGGTAATGGCTTGACTCCGGCGGCAAAGTCCTGGTATATATACCTCGGTATCCTTGCCAGATGTTATCAGCGTCTAAATATTAACCAGGTCTTGTAAAAGATATTGCAGAGCTTAGCTCTGCAAATGAGAGTGATTATATTATATTGTTTGATTTCATACTTAACGACCTTAAAAGTAGTAAAGATAAGTGTCTTCCAAATCATCAAACGCCGACGGGAAAGAAGTTGCCGACCAAGTCGTGATGCTTCGTATCCGACGGAGCGGGGGAGATTTGAGTCACTGAATACAATAACTTGCGGGCCTTCCCCCCCACCAGCTTCTGACGACGACGACGCTTCGACTTTCTTCCTCCCTTGCAGACACAGACACGATGATCACCGCGCTGGCGCATGTCAACCTGCTGGTTCCGCAGGGAACCTTGGATCAAGCACATGAGTTCTACGCCGATACACTAGGTCTGACATCCACACCCGTGCCGGTGTTACAGCGAGGGACTCTTGCCTGGTAGTGTTCTTTTCTATCCATCTACGTCTTGGTTCGGATGGTCCAGGTTAACCCCTCTATCAAAGGTTCAACATCACCCCGGATGGCAGCCAACAGATTCACATTGCTTTCGGTAGCAATGAGCCCACCGCGCAGCGCCATCCGTGCTTTCGGGTCGAGTCACCGGAAAAGCTGCACCAGCTGCAGCAGCGTGTCTGGGAACATCATTTGCGGGGTGGCTCCAGCGCTCCATTGATGGCTGATAAGCCGGGCGTACAGAATTCAGGTGCGTGTTCCAAGGCCCCCGGGTCCTTCCACCCCCCCTCCCCCGTTAACGATTTGAATAGGGTTTCAGGGAGTCGAGTATCCGACGCGCTTTTTCGCACGAGACTATGCTGGGAACCGGCTGGAATTCACCCTGTAATTATCTGACAGAATCAAGAATATGAAGTTTCGATTCATCAAGTTCCTAATCAGCTTTCGAATGCTGCATCCAACTAACTACCTAGATAACACCTCTCTCTGCAATCCCAGGCGGAATATTGACATCAAAATTCTCCGATTTGGCCGCCACCCTCCTACTCACGCAGCGTATCCGATCGTGTATCGTCTCGGTCACTCCGGAGATGGACCCCTCCCTGTGGGCCGCGAGATGATGCATGAAGGCATTGAGATTGCCAAATACCGGTGTGGCACTCCTCCGTTCGACGCAGCAAAAGAGACACCCAAACGCACCTTGCATGTGATCTGTTTCCGTGCCCGTGAAGACTGTCTTGATCGCGACATGCGATTTGGCAAGAAAGGCCCATCGATACTGGATGCCCGTGGCTTCATGCACCCGCACCTCCGTATTGAATGTATACAATACAGACGATGATGAGGATCGACCCGGTGATCTCTGAAGGGGGCCTTCAAAACTGCATTTCGAACAGCGCCAGAACCACTCGTAAGTATACATCCCCGTCGGCCGGGAACATATAGAAAACGCTTTCTTCACGCCCAGCTGGAGCTTCCCTGCGCCCTTGCAGAAACCGGCATAGTTGTTTTCCTCGCTGGGGAGGGCCGTATGCAACGGGATAGTCAGGCTAGCACCACCCCTTCTAACTGATGAACAACTACTCGAAGTCCGATGGGAGGACGGGTACTGCTGTTTCTCGCTGGATCTCTCGTTACATCGGATAGAGCGAGATTTCCTGCCGAATATGGCGCTCCGAAGTGAAAACCCGGACTTGGATGATTCCTTCTCGTCCTCAATAGGCAAGACCATACGATCTCGAGATGCCTGGCCCGAGAAAGTCGCCAAACGCTGGTACAACTGACACAGCGCCATCACCATTCTGACTCGAGTGTCGTCCGCGATAACCTGCAGTGCAGCAAAATCAAAATCGACTTCATGATTCCGGTTACTGCTCTGCTCGGCGAAACCGCGGACAAGATGAGTGCTACCTTCCACGCGCAGGTTCGCGAGGAAAGTCATCTGCAGAACCATCAAGACGTCCTTCATCTCCTCACGCGCGATCCGATCGCCCAGGGCGTACGCATCGCCGAACCTGCGGAGATGGCTATCATACTGTGCTTGGATAATGGGCGGGCCCAGGGCAAGAGATTCTGCGAGGTCTGCTTTCTGCTTGTCTTGCATTGCGGATAGTACCTTGCTGCCTTCTTCGTAGCACGAGATGACTATCATTCAAACTCATTAACCCTACCCTTTAACACGGGGTACTAAAACATACTCGCCGCTACGTAGGTTGAAACAATCAAGATCCCTGCTCCAGACATGCTGAGTCGTAGATTTAAGGCAAAAATTGCTGCGTTTCAGAAATTTCGGGATTCAGTATCAGAGGGAAGGGGCCTGTATATAATTAAACTACTACCCCTTCATTGCTGGCCTGAGAGATGGCCGTGTTGAAAACCGGACGGGCGTTGCGATGTGGCGATGGCGGAGGCTGGGCGCATCCACGAGGCGAGGCTGAGACGAGGCTCACTGGAAGGAAGAAAAGTCTACTATACTTAACACTAGGTACCACTAGGTAGTTATAACAGATGGGTTTACAGTATAACGGTGATAGATGTAAACATATGAGACCATTATATCCTAGCACCTCTAATTAACCCAACCATGTCGCAAACCAAGAGAGAACCATCTACCGACCGAAATGTAACAGCATGCAAAAAGGGAGAAGAGGAAAAGAACCATCCAGATGCAAGATATCTCCGAAATGTGTCGTGTGCGAAGAGTCCGGACAACGCCTACCAGTAATGCAATAAGAGACAAGAGATGACAAGAATGGAGGAGAAATAAAAGAAAAGGAGGAGGAGGAGGAGGAGGAGGAGGAGAAAAAGATGCAAAGAAATCAACAGCAGCGGGTCTTCTTCTTTGAGCTGTCCAAGACCTCGGCACCCTCGTCGTCTAGGGTGACGCTTGGGGGAAACCCAAGCCAGCTGCGGCGTTTGTCACCGTGGCCTAGACGAAAGCTGCCGTTGCCGTCGGAGCCAAGAAGCCCGCCGGGGGAGAGGACACTCTCGATGCCCGGGGTGGCGGCGTGGGCGAGGGCGAGAGCGGCCTCGCGCTTGTTGCGCTGCTCGACGAGTTTGCGGGTGATGACGCGGAAGACTTCCTCGATGCCCTCTCCGTCCTTGGCGCTGATCTCGTGGCAGCAGTCCCACCCGATGTCCTGGCCCCAGAACCCGCTGCTGCGTTTGCTGTCGGGGCTCTGCAGTCCCGCCGAGGTGGCGATGGTTGCCGTCGTGGTGGGTGAGGCGCCCAGCCCCGCGGTCGGGGGCGGAGTCGAGGCCTGGGAGGGATACAGTTGCTCAGCCACGTAGGCGATGGTCTTCTCAAAGGGGATCCGGCGGCGCGATGGGTTGAGGGCGACAATGTCGGACTTGGTGCCCACGACATGGATGACGATCGGGTCGTCTTCCACCAGATTCTTCTTGAGCTCCAGGAGCCAGCCGGTCATCTCCGTGAAGGTGCTCTCGTCGGTGATGTCGTAGCAGAGTAGACAGGCGTTGGCGCCGCGGTAGTAGAGGCGCGAGATACTGCGGAACCGCTCCTGGCCCGCCGTATCCCAGATCTGCAGCCGCACCACCGTGTCCGACGTCGTGTCGAGCACACGCTTTGTAACAAACGAGGCGCCGACCGTCGATGCCGTTGCCGCAGGCACAAAGGCGTTGTTCACATACCGCTGGACGAGGGACGTTTTGCCGACGCCTGACACCCATCATCAGAACAGAAACCACCGAACAGCAACCCCCGACAAGGAAAACCGTACCTTGTGCGCCTAGAATGACGATTTTAGCCTCTAGAGAAGAGCTCATGGCGGGGTCGACGCGGGCGCGGGGTCCACAGCGAGCTGGATTCGCATGATCCAGAAACCCAAGGCTTCTTCGTTGACGGCGTGTATCGTTGCCTAGACGAGGTCCTCCAGGATCAGAGAAAAGGGAAAAGAAAGGAGACACGAAGAACAAGATGAAAGAAAAAAAAATTAATCCACAGCCCTCGAGGCTGCCAGGACAAGGGAGAAAAGAGGGGAGGCTGGTAGGTGAAGGGAGAGGAGGACTGAGGGCGAGACTCGTCTGTTTCGACACGGGAAGGCAGGTGGAGAAGGAGAAATGAGGGAGAGGAACGCAAGGCGGGCGATGGCGTTTCTTTTTCTCTCACCCACGACACAGTCAGAGTCAGTGACAATCGCACGCGATCATCGCGGAGCTGAGCGCTCGATCAGCAGGTCACCACCATCAAGCGTGCTCTCTGCTTGTTGTCTGCCTATCGGAGCGCCGGATGGGCGAGTGGGCGGCGGTCAAAGGCTGAGAAGGTTGAAGCACGAAAGCTGAATGGTGCAAGGGCAGGAGGCGAACAAAGGATGGTTGTTTTCAGCAACGCCCGCTCTCTTTCTGTGTGTGTCGCCCCCCCCCCCGGTCAGCTCACGACTGGAGCGAGATAAAGATGCATAGCGGTCGATCCGTCAATGACTCGATGGCCACAGCCCACAATGTGCCCGGCTCTCCACGCGCGCCCGTCCTTGGTCCAGGCGATCCGGGGGTCCCGCAGGGTTGGTGTGACGGTGGCCCCCAGGGCCATTGGTAAAAAAATAGGTTCCAGGAGAATGAATAGCGACGAGATCGGAATCGCCCCTAGGATCGCTGCTCCTGCAGTCTCCATCCGGCGATCGCCATCGCCTCCGCTGTCTACGGAGGAGGGAATACGGAGTACAGAGTACCCTCCACCGTGGTAGAGTACAGAGTACGGAGTACGGAGTACCCTGTCGGCAAAGACACTGCTGCATCTGCATGAATACAGATCTCAAAGAGATACAGACAATATGCATATGCAATGTATGCAATGACAAGCATCATCACTGCTGGCTTGACGGAACAGAAAATCGGACGGCAGAAGACTGGCTGCCTGAGGCATCGACACTCTCGGCCGAGAGGCGTATCACATGATCCTCGGCGGGGGCCAGTCACGGGCCGGGTATTGTTACATAATGCCGCCATTCGCTCGCTGTTGGTCCGAGGCTCTCCATATAATATACTGTTGATACCGTCATCTCGTCTGCTGCTTATTCCTGTTTCTCTCCCTCCTCTGAGTCAGCTTATCGGCCGAGTATCGAGGAGAGGTTATTTGGATCAATTTTCTTTCTTTACCGAGTACACTTGGGCGATATCTATTCATTGACTACCCGCCATCCCTATCTACAACGATGGGAGAACTCACTGGAGCCGATGTTGCAAAGCACAATTCCAAAGACTCGTGCTGGGTTATTGTCCATGGAAAAGCCTACGACGTGACCGAATTCCTTCCGGGTAGGGACCTCTACCGGTCATATCTAGTGGGACACAAATTGACAGTCTAGAAAGAACACCCCGGCGGCCAGAAGATCATTCTTAAATACGCTGGCAAGGATGCGACGGAGGAGTTTGAGCCCATCCACCCACCTGACACACTGGACAAGTACCTGGATGCGTCCAAGCATCTGGGGCCGGTGAACATGTCTACCGTCGAGAGCGAAGAGAAGGTCATTGATCCGGAAGAGGCAGCCCGCCAGGAACGCATTAAGAACATGCCACCGTTGGCTGCGTGCTACAACCTGCTCGACTTTGAGTCGGTCGCCCGCCAAGTGATGAAGAAGACTTCCTGGGCGTATTACTCCAGTGGTGCAGACGATGAAATTGTACGTCGCCGTGTCTCTATCCTTCCAAGAAAAATACCTAACCAATTGAAAGACCATGAGGGAAAACCACAATGCGTTTCACAAAATCTGGTTCCGTCCGCGCGTGCTGGTCGACGTGGAAAAAGTGGACTTTTCGACAACGATGCTGGGCACAAAGGTGTCGGCCCCCTTCTACGTGACGGCGACGGCGCTGGGCAAGCTCGGCCACCCGGAGGGCGAAGTGATCTTCACGCGGGCGGCGCGCCGGCACGACGTCATCCAGATGATCCCGACACTGGCCTCGTGCTCCTTTGACGAACTGGTCGACGCTCGCGAGGGTGACCAGGTGCAGTGGCTGCAGCTGTACGTCAACAAGGACCGGGCGATCACGGAGCGCATCGTGCGCCACGCCGAGGCGCGCGGGTGCAAGGGACTCTTCATAACCGTCGACGCGCCGCAACTCGGCCGTCGTGAAAAGGACATGCGCTCCAAATTCGCCGACGTGGGGTCGAGCGTGCAGGCCACCGGAGGCGACTCGGTTGACCGGTCACAGGGCGCCGCCCGCGCCATCTCCTCCTTCATCGACCCGGCCTTATCCTGGAAGGACATCCCCTGGTTCCGCTCCATCACCACCATGCCAATCATCCTCAAGGGTGTGCAGCGCGTCGACGACGTGCTCCGCGCCGTCGAGGCGGGCGTCCAGGGCGTCGTCCTCTCCAACCACGGCGGTCGCCAGCTGGACTTTGCCCCCTCGGCCATCGAGGTGCTCGCCGAGGTGATGCCTGCCCTGCGCGAGCGCGGCTGGCAGGACCGACTGGAGGTCTACGTTGACGGCGGCGTGCGGCGCGCAACGGACATCATCAAGGCCCTATGTCTCGGTGCCAAGGGGGTGGGGATCGGCCGGCCCTTCCTGTACGCCATGTCGGCGTACGGCGTCGACGGCGTCGATCGCGCCATGCAGTTGCTCAAGGACGAGATGGAGATGGGCATGCGTCTCATCGGGGCGACTTCCATCGCGGATCTGGATCCCTCTCTCGTCGACACGCGGGGTCTGCTCGCTGGCCACAGCGCCCCCGTGCCCTCGGACTCGTTGGGCATGCACACCTACGATCCTCTACAGGTGCCATCTTTCAAAGCGAAATTATAAAATGTATATATACATTAGAGTAAGATAAATGGTATAACATGGTACTTTAGAATACTCTTCTCGAAGGTGACTATAAAACAAACACTCTTGGTTTGTTCCCCAGCCGGCCCGAGTCGCCATACATACACGCCGCATTGACCATCCATCCGCCACGATTCTCACCCCCCCAAACACGCACCCAGACGACCCCCAGCACGCCATACACCAGAACGCGCGCGGCGTCCACCCAGCCCGACAAGTCGACGAGATCGCGCAGCACGCCGAGGAGGAGCGAGCGGTACGCGACCCAGGACGACGAGGCAGCGAAGAAGGCGGCCGCGCGTGGGCGGCGCGCGGCGCAGAGCCGTTCCCATGCGCGCTGCGCCTCGTCCCAGAAGACCGGCTCGGCGCCGTACGCGGCATGCACGTGGCCGAAGACGTGCAGGGCCGGCCGCACGCGCCATGACTCGGCCAGCAGCGAGGGACAGCCTGTCGAGAAAGTAGGCGACAGGTCGCGGTGATGTGCGGGCGGGGTGTGTGTGACTAGGATGTCGGTCGAGGGGGGGACGGTGCCTGACCAGGCGTCGTGATGCGGGGGGTATGTGAAGGCGTGTTCTGGGCCGAAGGGGACGATGGCCGGGACTTGCGGGGCGCCGTAGACGGTTAGGGAGCTTGAAGCCGTCGCTGTCGCTGATGATGATGATGATGATGATGATATGGGAAAACTGAGCGTCACGGACGAATGTTGTAGGTAGTGGATATCCCCCCAGTCGATACGGTTGTCGTCGAGATCGTCGAGGGAGCGGATCGACGCTGTTGACGAGGAGATGGCGGCAAAGGAGGAGCCCGACTTGCCGTTGTTGCTCTCGCGGTCTTCGTCCAGTCGTGATCGCACGTCGAAGTAGCTATCATGGTTCCCGCAGATGACGACTTTGTGCCGGTGCGGCAGACGGCGCAGCCAGTCGACTGCGGCCTGCAGCTCACGCACGCTGCCGTCGTTGCACAGGTCGCCTGCATGGATGAGAAGATCGCCATCGGGCACGTCGGGCCATTCTAGTGTGTGCGTATCGGAGAGACAGACGACGCGGATCGGACGGGCGTCGTCCGCACGGTTTGCGGGTAGGAGTTGCGGAGGCCCGCGGAGACGAAGGAGGAAATGGTGGAAGGGGCTGAGAAGGGCGGCCAGCGGCGACGCGAGAACGTAGTCATACGCCGGTCGGCGGTGAAAGGGGCTTGACATCGCGATGGTTAGGTAAAGAGGGGATGCCTCTGTTGGTCGAGTGGTGAATCGTGTCCAACGTAACAGGAGCTCCGGGCTCCTATTACGACTTGACTGTTCCTGAAGGAGAGTCCAGTCAGAAAGGAAGATTTTTCAACTGACAAGCGTACCTACAACCGAGAGGATGAATAGACTCCTAATATCTATGAGCAATGCGTCGTTGCGTCTGCAGGAGTGGCGTGAGGTGGTAGATGGTGGTGGTGGTGGTCTCAGCGATCGCAAGTGGTGCGTGTCCCCCTATCAGCCAGCTATGGCGGGGGAGACGGCATCATCGGGCATTTTACTTACGGACATGTTTAACCAAAGAAATTAAAGCAAAAGAAAGGCAGTCATTTACTGAGAAATTGGTCTATACTCGTCATAAAGCTATTCATTCCTTCGAGAAATACCCGAGCCCAATGCACGTCTCGAGTCACCACTCCACAGGAATCCTCACGATGATCCCGCGTGAAGACATACGTTTTAACAGGACTAACAAGACAGCATGATAAAAGATGAAAAAAAGAAGCAGGGTAGACAACAAATCAAGTATAGCGTCATCATGATGTGCGACAAATGTCAGATCTTTCGGGGAGCGGCGTTTCTAGCAGAAAACGATTGAGCCGTGAGATGGGGAGGGGCGTGAAAGTTGACATACACCCTGAAGTCGAGAAAAGATTTGGTCGGCTAGTCGGGTCAAGAACAAGGCTCTATGTAAGTAGATAGGAACAGGAAGAATGAAGGGCATATGAAGATCACAATGTAGAGATGGTGGGGGGGAAGAGGTCAACACAAGACAGCCAGTCCATCCAACCGACAACCAAGCCAGGGCACCAAAAGAGAGGCAGAGAGGAAAGAGCCTCAAGATGGAGCAGGAAAAAAAAGGGTGAAAGAGAAAAGAAAAAAAGGAGGGAAAACAAGGAGATATCGTGAAGCATGCACCCGTCCCGACACCGTGACAGAAACGGGTGGGTGGGTTTGAAGGGGTTTGACATCGAGCGTTGCTCATCGCCTTTTGACCTCAGAGGCCCACCCATCGATTGTCTCCCCGCGAGTCCCAGGCTCAATCCCCAAGTCAATACCTTCCATGCCCGGCGTATCCTTCGTCCACTCGTGGGAAGCCATTCCACCGGCGTTGGCTCGCCGTTCAGGGAGCAACTCCAGCATGGGGAGGAGGAAGGCGCTGATGCGCCGGCTCTCCTCCACTGTGAAGTGATACTTCTCGCGGAGGACATCGGGCAGAGCCCAGTGACGCAGTCGGTGGATGTTGCGTAGCTCTCCCTTGCGGTTGAAGATCTCTTGGGACCACTTGCCAGAAAGACAAAGTGTTTTAGGGAAGGGACCCAGTAACTCGATGATTTGGGCGATATGGTCGTCGTCTTTCCCGTACTTGGTGCCAGATTGGGGATCGAAGAGGTAGTCTCCTGTAATCAACTCAAAGACCTGAAGCTAGTCAGCCACGCACGGCTCTCTTTTTTTCAAATCGGGCAAGGATAAGGGCAAAAATGTATACCATGCAAGCCATGCTCCAGATATCTGTGCTAGCACCCCATTTGGCACCCAGGATGACTTCAGGCGAGCGATACTGCCTTGTTTGGATGTCATTGGTGAAATGGTGACCGACCCAACAAGCATTGCCGAGATCGGCGATTTTGACGGAGATAATATCGCAATCCAGTTCCTCGCTGGGAGTTTTGGAGCTCTTGTTAAGTGAGATGCCCGAGACCTCTCGCTCTAATAAGTCACTATGAGGGTCAGTATTTGCCAACTACATTCCACTAAGATGCAAACATACGTGGTCTTCTCCCGTTGCTTCTGTTTCTCATCCTCCTCCTTGATACCCAGTTGCTCTTTCATCGAGAAGGTTTCTTTTGTTGGGGCTATAGAGAAATCAGCGTCACTCGGAAAATGATAACAGAAAAAGAGAGAGAGAAAGGATGGCATACAGGAATCGGAAACCATCTGACTCAGACTGCTATGCGAATTTTGCGAGGCGTGTTTAAAATCGAGATGGCTAAAGCTGGCGTTAAGGGGACTGGGCAACGGCTGGCTGCCGGTGATAAGTGTCCGTCGTCGCCGGCGCCCATTGCGGTTGTCTTCCTTTTCCTTCTTCTGCTCTTCGCCTTGAACGTAGGTTTGAACAATCTGCTCGACGTCCCCGATCTCAATCAAGACGTTTTCCGGCTTGAGATCTGTGTGGATAATGCCGCATTCGCGGTGCAGGTAGTCCAGTCCTAGCAAGACCTGCTTGGTAATCTGCTTGACCAGGGGCATGGGGATGCCGCGGTGGTTCCAGCGCTTGATCAAGCCCAGCAGATTCTCACCTAGCACTTCGAAGACCATACAGACATGCACTCCGTTCGGGCCTTTGTGCTCGAACGAATCCAACAAGCTAACAACATGTTTTCGGCCCGGGTGTTCCGGCTTGGCCAGTACGATGCGGTTAAGCAACTTGATCTCGTCGATCGCGGTCTCGGTGTAGTGGGCGGCGGAGCGCACGACCTTGAGGGCGACATGTTTGCCGGTTGTCGTATCGCGCGACAGCCAGACCGTCGAGAAATGACCCCAGCCGAGCTTACGCACGACTACATACCGGCCGTTGTTGTAGGTTTCCCCGACCGTGACTGGGTGGTAACCACCCTTACAATAATCTTCCGAATCTTCTTCGTCCGCAGTGGTCTCCACTTCCTCGCCCGACGAGGACGACGATGAGCGCGATAACGTAGCACTATACCCACGGAAGTTAGCCATGGTTTTTTCAAACACTGTTAGACGCAGGGAAGGGTTGGTGGGAGAGGGAACGGCAAACGATATCGGATGCTGCGCCCGTCGCCACTACCGTGGGGTTGGTTGGGCATGCAAAAGAGAACATACCCTTCTGCGTTTGCGTTGACGGCAATGGAGTCGATAGAAATCGGCCCTTCGTTAGTCATGATAGGCTTCAGATCCGTGCCCTTCCTCCTCTTCTTGCCGTTGTTGCCATTGGCAGCTGCTGCAGCGATGCTGGTCATCTGTTTTCCCTTGTTGAGTACGGCTTTTTTGATGTCACCCGCGTCCATCATTCCATGCGGGACCTTCTCGCGGAGCAGAGAGCGATCGGGTCGAGCGTAAAAGACCGACTTGATGCGAGGGTACGACGATCGCTAGAGGGGTCGTCCGATGATAAATTATCCTGGCGCTGGGCGGGCAAAGACAAGACAACTGGTTGGTGTCGGGGGGAGGTTGTTGTTGCTGCTTTGCTGCGACGGCGGGCGGTGGGCGGAGGGTCGTGGGAGGGGCTCGGCGCCTGCGACCGCAACAACGCGGGAGGCTGGAGGGAACCCAGTCAAAAGAACACAAAAGAGAGAGGGGAAGAGGGAGAAAGTGAGAGTGGAAAAGAATTGAACGACAGTTCTCTAGAAAGTCACTGCGGGAAAATAATGAAACTGCCCTATCGTGGTGACTTTTTGAAGTATTGAGACTGGCGGACGACAAGGCCACCTGCGCACAGCCAGAGAGGATGACAACATCCGCAGCCCAGCAGATTTTGTGACGACTCGAGAAGCAACCAGGACCCAGACCTGCCACGATGGATCGACAGAGGGACTTGCTGACGGCTACTCTAGAGTTGTCGGAGAGCGAATCGGGGCTGTGATTGGAGACGATTGACGAGGAATGTCCGCAAGCAGCGGCTGCTGCCCACGGTGGCGAATGGAGTTCACTGGGGGGACTTTTGATTAGATCATATAATGCGTATACCACTGAGAGCAAAAAAAAGGGTCAAATAATGATTGTTGGAGTATCTGTAGGTAGGAGATTATCGTCGTAGGGTAGAGGGAGAGGTGTTCGCTCCCCCTGGTCACCTCTGACGCCAGGAAGAGCGCAGAAGCATGGGTGATGACGATATAGCTACCTAGGTATCACATTGTGAGTCGGGTGCCCCGGGGGGGAAATCTAGCCATTGTTTACAAAGTAATAATGACTACTTGAACACTAGGGTAGGACCTTGGGGGTTCAAAACGGTCTGCATGCAACACTATTCCTAGTATTCTATGCCAGATGTCTTCGGTTTTGCCCGATGTAACCTTCACCTTCCAAGGTTAACTGAATGAATGGAAGAGGTGTTCATATTCAAATATGGATAGATCCACAAATCCTTTTGGGCTCGGGGTTTGTAGGTATGTTTCGGTCTGGCGCCCTGAAGTAGTAAACGAGGTGTCGACTGTTCTTGTAAGTCTTCAACGGACAGTTGGACCTGGCAAGTGCCGGCAATATCAACGTCTATCTCCATATCGGCCAGCCTCTTTTGACATGCAATCTGCAGTCTAGCCAGAAAATGGCTATTAGATTCGAGACTCCCATCTGGACCCGTTCTGTCTGTTTGTGCCAGACACTGCAAGAACAACTTAGTATGAAACAGAACCAAAGCCGACGGATTCACATCTCCACCTTTGACGGTTGAATATTCTGGCGAACGAGATTATTCTAATACAAAAAGCGAGGTGCTGTGGAAGACGAGACACAACGTCAGTAACAACATCTCCTTCATTCATCTCCAGGTACGTTACCTATCCAGCAGTATTGCCCTGGATATCGACTTCCTCCTCCTCGCTCAACCCCTCTTCGCTGGGTAGTCGATCTGGAAACCATCCGTACCGGGAGAAATCAATATACATCTCCCCGAAGCTGTCAGTTTCGACCTCGACACCTTCTTGTCGGAGAGCTTCCGCTTGACGCTCTGCACTCCCGGGTCCTCTGGAAAGACGTCAAAACACGGTACACCATCACCAGGAAGTATGTAGAGCGTCATTTTACCGATGAGAAATCATCCCTTTAGCATTAACCACGCGCTGCCACGGAACATTACCCGAGTGGAAGAAAATGGTTCCTTCCGGCGTGTCAGTGGGGAGATGTTTAAGACACATTCCCACCTGCCGAGGTCGTTGAGCTATCAACACTCGTTAACGACAAGGAAATCACTAAATCAACAACAGCAATAACGTACGCTCCCCCAGTAGCCGTGCGATGTGTCCGTAGGAAGTGACTCGGCCTCGGGGGATCTCCTGGACCGCCTCGTACACGGCGTTGTACCACCATTCAGCCTCGTCAGTTCGAGCCATTCGTAGTCAACTAGATCAGTCGATTAAGACAAGCATGGAAAAGAAAGTTTTTCTATTAGGGGCGCGGGGGAGGAGAACGCAGCTTACAGGCAATTCGCATCCATTGTTTACTCCTTACTGCTGTTCTGAACAAGTACGACCAATACGAGATACGAAACGATATATCGGCCCGAATTGATCCGGATAACGTACCAAAACGGAAAACAGCAACACCGCCGCGGTTCATCTTGACGGACTGTTGTTCTCTAGAACAGGAAAAACAGAACAAAAAAGGAAAATGCCGTCCTCGCTATCAGAATATCTGGCGAAAAACTATTTAACAGCTGACCCGGGCACGGAACGGCCGAAGAAGAAGCGCAAGAAGACCAAACACGCCGACACGGCCGGGGACGGCCTCATCATCGCCGACGACGACCCGCCGGACCTCCGTACTGCAGGCACTGGTGTCGCAGGGGACGATGAAGATAGCCCCTTTGTGGTGAATGCGCGGAGTGCCGAGTTTCGACGTGCGAAGAAATCCGGGTGGAAGGTTGTGGGCACCGGGGCGGCGACGGGTACAGACGAGCAAGAAGCTGCGGATGCGATTCTGGCCTCGGCGGCGGCAGAACGGGCAGCACAACGACGAGAAAATGGTGACGAAGATGAGGAGGATGACAATGCGTTAGGGCTGGACGAATATGCAGACGAGAAAGGGCCCCGGATGGAGTCTGGGGCCAAGGCGGGTCTACAGACGGCGGCACAGACTGCAGCCATGGTCGCGGCGCAGGAAAGGCGAAAAAAGGCCGAATCCGCGAAATACAAGGATGCGGAGGCCGAAGGAGCCGCGCAGGAGACGATCTACCGTGACGCCTCGGGCCGGATCATCAACGTGCAGATGAAGCGAGCGGAGGCGCGCCGGGCAGAGCAGGAGAAGAAGGAGAAGGAGGAACGTGCGCGCGAGGCACTCATGGGCGACGTGCAGCTGCAGCAGCGTGAGGCGCGGCGAGCAGAAATTCGCGAGGCGCGCGCGATGCCCCTAGCTCGAACGGTGGAGGACGAGACCCTAAACGAGGAGCTCAAGGCGCAACAGCGATGGAACGACCCCGCGGCGCAGTTTCTGACAAAGTCCACGGCTCCCACTGTGAGCACGACGGGGCGGCCACTGTACAAGGGTGCCTTCCAGCCGAACCGGTACGGGATCCGACCGGGTCATCGCTGGGACGGGGTGGACCGCAGCACAGGCTTCGAGAAGGAATGGTTTGCAGCGCGGAACAAGAGGGCGAGATTTGAAGCCTTGGACTATCAATGGCAGATGGATGAATAAACTGCTGGCCAGTGAAACGTTTACTTTCTGGGCATCAAATATGCTTGTCCACAAGTCACCTTCTACCGAAATTAATCTCTATCCATTTTTCTATGCTACAATCTCACTACCACGATTGCGCATTCAAAGGAAATTTCGAGAGTGTTGTGTCAGACAATCACAGCACGCCTTTTAATTTTTCTAGAGTACATCATGGAGTACTCTGTACCATCCACACTCAACACCTACCCATGTATAGAGAACTACCCTGTCGAGGCCCACCTAAACGCCACGGCAAGTGAGTGAGTCAGATATTTCGACATCGACTACGAGTTTATCCAGATCGATAGATAATAGAGTTTCATATTAGCAAAAAATTGAGTCCTATAGAAAGTGGTACCGTTTAACTTCACCATGGCGGGAGTAAACCAAGGGACGGAGTCCTCCGATACTCTGTACTAACCTCCAGCTTAAACAGTAGCTCTGCAGTGTGATGCAGGTCATTTTCTCGAGAGCTAGGGGTTACTTACAGTGGGTAGCTCATTTAACTATTACCTCACAGTACATGAGAGCTTCTTGTCTCGGGATAAGCGGGTTCGGCGCTAATTGATGCAGCTAGATATGTAGTACCATGTACCTGTATGTAGTACTGTCAGGCCAGTGTACTCCGTAGAGTGTACCCCACTCTTGAGTACAGCCTAGGTAGGTAGCTGGATGCTATCATGCTATGTATCTTGTGAGGGGAAGAGGGGAAGCGATAACGACTAATTATAGGTTAGAGATTGCAAATGAGTTACCTAGGTAGTTATCATGTGAATAGGCTGTGGTGTCTAGGATACTCTCATCGCTTCTCGAGGAGTTCAAAAAACAACCACCGTCTCCAATATGATTCTAGTCCTTTGAAGCATTCGACTATACGGTCTAGAGCTCGTGGACCTTCAGCCCCCTCGTAGCTGAAATAGGAGTAGAAGGGAATACCACTCGACCTTAAAGGTCCAAACTCTGGGCTTATATCTGCAGCTGACACTCGTAACATGGAACCATTCTTGAATGACAGATTCTAGAGGCTGCTGGGACTCGACTCATAGGAGCCTCAGCTCCCTTTCTTCAAGAGACAACAGAGTTGAGTATTGTTGTTCGGTGGCAGTTTCCTGAGCATCTTTCATGAGGGATGGTGGTGAAACTAGGACGAAGGACAGGGGAGTATTGAGGTACACTTCAATCTGGGGTTATCAGCATTTCTACTGTTCAGGGAAGTAATTCTGCTTATATTCTCATGATAAGCCATCTTGTCATCAAAAGGCATGGCTATGGTATCAGCATTAATACAAAATTATCGCGAATCATCGCCAATCACTGGTTGCTTCAGCTTCCAATTCAACATACCTAGGTAACTAATGAGGGGAATAGCTGACTTGATTTATCAGCGCGTAGAATTAGCACCCTACCTTGTTGGAAAATGGATGGCGGGTAGCCCTCGAATGACTCAATAACAATAATAGCAGAGCTGAACACGGTACATGGGTAAATACCTCGTATCAGAGCGGCTAGACCCAACCAGGAAGTGCCCATCAACCCCCGAATCCTCAGTCTCAGTCCTCGGGCAGTCTCAGTCTCGGTCTCAGTCTCAGTCGTGCCATCTGTCAGCGGCGGTGCTCGCATCCTGAATAATCTAGAATGGAAGTAACCGCTGCGTGAGTCACCTGGCCTGCCTGCGCTTGCGGCGGATGACGACACCTACCGTATAGGGACTAGCGCACCGGGTGCCTGAGGCTGTGATGGAAGGTGCCTTGAGAGGCCCATGCCTTTTCGTCATCTCGTTCCAATCCATGGATACGCTGTGACACTTGTTTTTTGGAGGCCTTGTATCCCCCCCCACCCAACCATGGTCAGAAGGTGGCTGATTCCATTTAGTAAGATTCCTAGGATGACTATAGTGGCGCCTCCTGGCAACCCTCGGGGTACGTCTTGGGGATGGCGTTCCAAGATATGGGGGAAAAGAGCGCATAGAGGGAAAACCAATCATCACGGCTGCCTTGTCGGGGTGGGCTGGGAAAATACACCTATTCATCTTGTAGATCCAACCTGCCGAACCATAGATAGAGGGACTTGCACGCAGTGTACCGGTTGGCACCTAGGGAGGCGTGCTATGACCAAGCAGGACCTGGAAAGTCCCTCAACCTTACCTCTGCCTGCCCATGTGAGCCATACAATCATGCACCTGTCCCTATATAGAGGGCTTGGACCGTCTCCTGCATTTCAAAAGAGTCATTCGACGGAATTAACCAGTTGCTACTAACTCATTGAAAGGCTGGTGGATCCGTTCCGTCTCTTTATCGACCGTTGCTATTCTCGGGACGCGCCCCCCTTCCCACGTTTTACGGAGTATGCCTCGGAGCCACTTTAGGTGACTCAAACAAAGACTCGTATCTCGCGTTGCCTGGGTCTGCCCTCTCTTTATTAACCGCTTGTTCTCTTTGGGTCTTTTGTTGTGAGGAGAAACTCCCAAGGTCCTGCCTCTCCCCCCTTGGCTACTACACGCCTTATCTATTCACTGCTGCGGAGTACTATCTATCTTATCACTAGTGGCAAGAGCTCCCCTCACAACCCCAGGCCCCGGCCTATATATATATACGGGCAGAGGCAATAATTGATCTTGCTTCCTCACTCTACTTCTTCTTCTCTCACCTTCCCCTAATAATCGACATGGCCATGTCTCAGGAGACTTATGTGGCACACGACCTGCGCCGTGACGCCAAGGAGGCCAAACGAAACCACGATCATAAGGCCAAATGGGCGCTTGGAGGTCGCCCAGCAGAGGCTCGTGGCAATGTTTTCCATGGGCAAGAGAAGCCCATCACACGTCCGACTAAACCGGTGTCCTCGCAGTATGATTCTCCTTTGGCCCTGGTATATTCCCAAAACTGACATAGTCTCTACAGTTGGTGCCGTCAACACAACGAGAAGTTTTTCAACCACCTTGCCAACACCGCTCGGATTGCCCTGAGTCGGGAGGTTGAAGAGGCTCTATCCTCTGATTCCTCCTCCGACGAGACAGTGACTGAGCCCAACTCGATCAGGCCGGTTTTCCAAGACCCTCAGGAAGAAGACCTGATTCACCCCTATGAGACCTCCGGACAGACCATTCTCTCTGCAGCAGTCAACAAGGCCGTCGAGCGATTCGAGACAAAGGAAACCGAGCGCCTAGTCAAGGAGTACGAGTTTGTATCGTGCGAGAGCGAGGCCCAAATCGGCGGAGGCTATCTGGCTGATGACGACTTTGAGTTCGTCGACCTTATCCATCTCTGATCTCTGCTCATCTTCCTCGTCCGTCGAAATACCCCTGTACCAACTTTGCCTTTGCATCATGATCTCTTTTGTACCTTAGACTAATAACGGCACCATCGGAGTTCGGGGGTTTCCTTACTATGACTCTGAGAATTTCAGCTCCGCCTGGTTGCAGAGTTGACTTGTGATTTTTCAAAGGGTTTCCTTGGAGTTATGCTCTTCATTCATCGCGTTCCATATGTCAACTTTGGCCTGGTTTGGCGGTCTCCAGCTCTTTTTCGCACCTAGCACTGTCCTGTGGTCCGGCACTAGGCTTGGAGTCACTCGTCCTAATATCAGTCATCATTATTATCGAGTCCCTGTGTATAGACAGCCAGCACAAATCGGTAACGCAGCAAGTAATGACAAGTAACCCTGCATATGTAGTATGTCAGAGCGAATACTGATTAGTCTAGGTAGCTTACTCTGTACAAGAATGAGTGGCCTGGAGCGGATCATCGGCGCCGTGGCTTGGCGAGAACACCAGATTTGCGTTGCCAGGGAGAGCGATAAACAAAGTATTGCTATTTTGATGAGCAAGTGCCGCAACTAAATAACTTGATTCTGGCTTCTAGAAGGTCTGTTGTACTCTGTTCCCTTTAGATAAGACTGCTTTAAAGAGCTCTAGAATTTTCCTCCGTGGTGCAGAGGAGCTCTGTACTGAATAACACCAGGCAGCCAGAGACTCTTTAAAAAGGAGACATGAAAGATTGATTGGCGTCTACTTCGTATATTTTATTCAACTTTTGTATCCCATATATTATTGCAGGAAGAAATAACGTCGTTGTACCTCGAATCGAAAGCCTGGGCGGCGATTACTTTGTTTACGGTCCATCCGCCAAACAGTGGAAATCCACCGCTTTCGCCTTCTTTTCCTACCCCAGCTTCTTCCCTTCTCCGTGTCCCTGCGCTGAAATATTCATAATCAACCCGCACAGGATGGAGAAGCGAACGGCAGAAAGTCCAATGGACTTTGAATGGCAGACAAGAGGCCCTGGAGATGTCACCTCGCCGTTTTTCCAGTTGGGGCTGCAGAAAAAGCGTGAGTAAACTCAAGTCTATCCTACCTAGGTAGACGCCTTCTCCTTATTAACAACAACAGGCCCGCATAGCACGTTTGATTCCCCCGAGAAGAAATCTATGCCTTCATTGCGCGAACCGAACTCCCAGCCCTTCCTCTTCTCCGAGTCGAAACGACCCGCGCCGCCACAGTCGGTGTTCGGACAGCCTGCGTTCATGACGCCGCGGAAATTCGACCTGGACTTTTCTTCGGGCGCAGAGAACATGTCGTCGCCGGAAAATGCAGACAACGAGGTGACTCCAGATCCCTCGTCCAAGACAAGCAAAGTGTTTGGCCGGTGGGCGCCGAGTCCTGGGAGGGGCGAGATCCCCCGCCTAAATCACTATTCCAACGCGCTGGCTCGTCGGGTACAGAAAAGGCGCCGTCGTGACCGAGAGCTGGACAAGCGACTCCGCCGCGACGATGAGGAGGAAGATGATGACAGCGACCGGCCGATTAGCAGCGATGGGAGGAAGGGCAAGGGTGGGAAAGCAGCACACGAGTCGCAGGCAACGACCACGAAAGGGTCTCGGTTGTCCTCCTTCTCCGAGTTCTTTGCACTGCTGGAGGCTCACCCGAACGTGCCCAGTATTCTCTCGTGGTGGGCGCAGCTAGTGGTGAACCTGTCTCTATTCTCGTTGACCGTCTACGTTGTCTTTGGCTTTGTCTCGACTATTCGCGCCGAGTTCGACCAGGCTGCTGAGGAGGTATCGGATTCCATCCTGGCCGAGATGGCGACCTGCGCCAAAAACTACGTCGACAACCGCTGCGCCGGCAACGAGCGCCTTCCCGCGCTGGAAACCGTCTGCGACAACTGGGAGCGGTGCATGAACCGCGACCCGGCCAAGGTCGGTCGCGCAAAGGTTTCAGCCCACACAATGGCCATTATCATCAACAGCTTCATTGATCCGATCAGCTGGAAAGCAATTGTGAGTTAAAACATATAGATACTTCTTGTTTACTTGTCTGACTGATTTAGCTATTCTTTCTTGCGACCATCTCCACCGTAACGGTTGTCAGTAACTGGTCCTTCCGGTCCTTCAGAAACAAATACAGCCAGCACGAATACCACCCTGTCGCTCCGAACTATCACGCGCAACCGGCTAGCCAACCCCATCCCGCCATGCAACTGCAGAACAACCCGGCCTTTGGTTATTTCGCCCAGCCAGATCTCAACAAAGGGCAGTCCCACCCCATTCCGAAGCGCGTCGCCAGCTACGAGCATAAAGATGAGGACTCGCCGCTCATGATCGAGGACGCGAACATGAAGTTCGTCACGGAGAGGAGTCGCGAGCGGGAGAACCATCTACGCACGCCAAGCCCGTCGAAACGCGGACGGAAGTATTTCTGATTGAAGCCTCTGACAGGTTGTTCCTTTTTCTTTTCTTCTCGTCTTTTTCTCAGCATAGCGGGTAGGAGGACCGTAGGATGGCGTTGCTTTTTTTTACCTACTCTAGACAATACCTTCACACCTTGTACAGGCATCCACGTTTATTATATTTCACTCTGAATATAGTTCTTCGAGCAATATAATTGAGTAGAGTAATCCTCAAATCACCATCAAAGCACATAGTTCTCTACTCTGTACTCGGTATGGAGAACTGTTTGTTATTGACCTTGGCATGACGTACCTAGTATGTACTCAAATTCAACCTCACCTTCAGTACACAATGAGTATAGTTCAATCTTTTAGTATGTTAATCTTATATACTCATATTACTTTAATTTTTTGGCATTGGTACTCAAGATCAGCTTTTGTGCGAATTATACAGACCGTTCCCGGTACAACTATATATTTCAGGACGTGTCTGATTGATATCCACAGTACATATTCAAGATAAACTTAGAACTAATCTATCAGCCTGGCGGAATTATACGCAGGAGATCTGATCCGACTCTGGTCTGCTGTCATCCTGCCTGTCTTTGGTTCGAGATCATCGTGACGTATCGGGGCGTACTTAAGGAACAATGTACAGAAGTAGTAGTTATTCCAGTATGAAACAATATAGCGAATGACAGTAGGATTATTCCCATTATCAGCACAAAAAATGTCCAAAAGAAACCTCATCATCGTCTCAAACCGACTCCCCCTCTCAGTCAAACGTGTGGATAACGCATACACCTCCAGCCTGTCGAGCGGGGGACTTGTCACCTCGCTATCCGGCCTGACCAAGTCGACGCAGTTCCGCTGGTTTGGCTGGCCAGGGATCCAGGTGCAAGACGAGGAGGAGCGGGGAAAAGTTCTGGATTCGCTTGCGCAGCACGGTGCTGTGGCTATTTTTCTGGACGAGGAGCTGGCACATAGCCATTACAATGGCTTCTCAAGTACGTCTTTTAACAGTATCAGCGTTTGATGTCAAAAGAGATTGAAAAGATGCTGACTTGAGCGGTAGATCAAATCCTCTGGCCGATTCTTCACTACCAGTCCGGCGTTGTCTTCACGGACAAGCCCTGGCAAGCGTACCAGCGCGTCAACGAGCTGTTCGCCGAGACCATCGCCGGCGCAGCGCAGGACGGCGATCTCATCTGGGTGCACGACTACCATCTCATGCTGCTACCGCAGATGCTGCGTGCACGGTTGAAGGCGCAGGGAAAACACTGCGCTGTCGGATTCTCCCTGCATACGCCTTTCCCCGCAGGCGACTTCTGGCGCTCTCTTCCTGTGCGCAACGAGTTGATTGAGGGGATGCTCTCGGCAGATTTGATAGGTTTTCATACGGACGAGTATAAGCAGAACTTCACACAGAGCTGTGCGAATATCTTGTATTCCTTCCTTTCCCTGCTTTACACACGACTACTGTCTGCCCATGCTAATAATTTTCACTCAAGAGGTGCGAGGACCGAAATCCCGGGCAAGATCCAATATAAAGACCGACTGATCTGCGCCGACAAGTTCATTGTGGGAATTGACCCAGCCAAGTTTGAAGACACGCTGCGCAACGAGCAAGTGCAGGCCCGGATCCGCGAGTTGGAAGAGAAGTACAAGGGCATGCAGATTATCATTGGCATTGATCGCTTGGACTACATCAAAGGCCTGACGCAAAAGCTCAAAGGGTTCGGCGAGTTTCTCGACCAGCACCCAGAAATGAAGAATAAGGTTGTCTTGTTTCAAGTGGCCGTGCCGAGCAGAGAGGACGTCAAGGAGTATCAAGAGCTGGAGACTGAGTTGAGTACGTTGGTGGGAAAGATCAATGGAAAGCACGGTATTTATATCCCACTACCCCCTCCCCCCCCTTTTTTCCCTCTATAACAACGACATACTGATGGAATGTTTTAGCCACACCAGATGGAACACCCATCATATACATGCACCGGTCGGTCTCCTTTGACGAGCTGACGGCCTTGTACTCCATCGCGGACGTCTGTCTCCTCACGTCAAACCGCGACGGGATGAATCTCGTTGCCTTCGAGTATGTGGCCTGCCAGGCTAGACGTCATGGTGTCCTTGCCTTGTCCGAGTTCGCCGGTGCCTCTGCCTTTATGAAGGAAGGGAGTATCACCTTCAACCCGGCGAATACAACACAAGTTGCGGAGGCAATATACAGAGCATTAACGCTGGACGAGGAGGAAAAGAAGATGCGGTACGAGAAGCTTTCCAGCTTCGTCAATGCTAACACCAGGTTAGTTTCCTGTCCATGCTGCATACCTTGGTATTAGCTGACCCTCGTCTAGTGCAAAATGGGGGGAGAACTTCATCAACCGGCTGTCGAGACATATATAGAAGCATCTATAGCAGGCGTATGTATTGATACAGTATGGGAGACAAGAAGAGACTCGAATATTCTCAGAATTCTACCGTTCTATAGACATATTGAATTTTGTTCGATAAGCTGGGATGCAGTTTGGTGCTTTCTTATAGCAGAGAGTAGAGTGCCTGGATTATGTAGCTGCTTGTAGCCATAATATGATTTCATTCGTATGCTCGAATTCGTTGATTTTCCGATTCCTCACCATGTTCCCTCTTCCACACCTTCACACGTGGGTACTCGTAGGCTGTAACCTCTCTGAAATCAGTCTGGATACCCTCTTCAAGTGAATATGCCGGTGCCGTCGGCGCTGCTCTGACTCCTGTCCATCCTGTCCGAATCAGGAAATGGGGCATATCCCGCCAACTCTCAGTTCCTGGAAGTTATTTGCTCTCACTGCGCCAGGCTAATCACTCCCTGGCCGCTAAGGAGTGGATTCGGGTCTGTTCTGACATTCGCTAGCTTTCCCCATACTGAACTGAGAGCAACGCTCGCCTTCACTGAGAGATCCGCCGCGAATCCCTCGCGCGCCAACCACCATCCACGATCACCACCACACCCTGCTCTCACATTCACTTCTGATATCCGTCTATTCACTGCTCTGATTGACTCTGTTTGACCTCGCTTGAGAGAGACTACACGAGGCTAAGATTAAGCGAAGGCTCCATCGCCAGTATAAATATCTCCAGAATTCTCCCCCTTCTCTGCTTTCTCTTCTCCTTTCTCTCCTCAACTGACCATCTAGGTCCTACCTTTCCCTCCCTCCTCCCTCCCTCACTACGTCCTCATCGTCGCTCTTCGACACTCTTCGACAGATGAGGATACCCACTCGATCCAACGTGGGCAACGTTGTGGTGGACAAAGGTAGAAGCTAAGTACCCTCCTTTTCATTGAGCCTTCTGCTTGTTATTATCTATTTGCTATCTATTTGCTATCTATTTGTATCTACCCAACGTTTGTAGACTCCTGCCACGGCCACACACATCTGCACAGTGGTCGTTTCTTCCAGAAGAGAGACTCGAGTTGAGAGAAACTTGGCAGTTCTTGAACTGATAGCAAGCAGACATGGTGTTGGGGAGGAGAAATCCAAGCCTTCTTACGTGTTGGATACTCGAGTCCATCCAACGAAGCTCTCCGAGTGTTTCCTCGAGCGAACCGAACGAACAGAACCGAACGAACCGAACCGAACGATCGAACGAACCGAACCGAACGATCGAACGAACCGATGGCCGATGGTGTGTGGAGGAACAACAGGGAAGTAGTGTGGAGGAACGAACCGGGAAGAGGAAGTGTGGAGGAACAACGGGGCTATGGGTGGAGAGGTATTCGACTGGACCAGCATGACAATACTACCTAGGTAGATATGGCATGGCTTGGGGTTTTCCTTTCTTGGAGCCAGATGATGACTACATAAACACCAAGGCTTAGGCCTACTTACTAGTGGTGTTGTGTCTTCACCTGATTAGGAGAACAGTGGCCTGTGGTCACTTGTATGCCTATATCAAATGGTGGTCTTTTATGTCTGAGGCTTCTTTCTATTTTTTTTTTCTCTTTTCTTGGTGCTAGATGATGACATTCATACACACTGAGGCTCATGCCTACTTACCAGTGGTGTCTTTTCACCTGATTAGAGGAACAGTGGCTTCCAGTCACTTGTATACCTCTATATCAGATGGTGTTTTGATAAATGTCTGAAGGCACTATCTCCTCTCCTACCTTCACCTTCCGCTCCGCCATTCACCTAGCAGAGTATGGCTACACGTTCCTGCCCTTCTCACCAAGCCACCTCTATGCCGAGATCTACACAGCTGATCTCAACCCCCCCCCCATCTTCAATCTTCTTTTAAAACCCTATGATGACCTTTGACCGTGTACAGCCATGGGTTTCAACTCCAATGTCGATTTCCAGTGTGGTGTGTCATTCATAGCGAAGAGGAACAAACACCACTAGCTTGGTTGTTGGTATGTCGTCGCACAAAACGGTCCTGTCTGAGGGGTGTCCTTTTTTCTTATTGTCTTGGCTCTATCTTGCTTTCCAGTACCCATAGCACAGAGCTTCTCTACCTTACGAGATGACTTCACGCTCCTGGGGGGAGATGCCGCTCATGGAACTGACCATCTTCTACACACACCTTAGTGTGGATGTTGCATTTCCTTGTCTTTGCAGTTTCTACTTTTCGGACTACATCTAACCTGCAGGATTTCTGAGCCACGGCCATATGATGACTTAACTTGAAGTTAGTTTGGAAGACTACTTTGGCGTGTACCGGTCACTTGAAGTAGCCTTGGTGACCGTAGCCTTGGTGCAGTCTGAGGTCGTTTCATTGTTCCCTTTTTACCATATTCCTCCACATAGGTAGTCAAAGTAGCTAGATAGAAAGAATGAATCTTATGTTTCTGTACTCGAGGCCTTTGAAATATGGTAAATAAATCTCTCGAAAGAGAATCATTTGGATATGTCTACCTTGACTTATACTGCTGAAATGTTACATCCCTTGTAGGTTGAAACCTCTAATCTTTTCTTCCCTGTACTTAATATTCCACAGAAACAAGTTCCAACCAAATGGGTTTATTTCAATTCTAACTGCTCACTATATAAAAGAGTGTGTTCCCGCCAAAGCAGCATTCGAAATTCATACCCGTCATAATCGGACATATCTCGTGGTAACGATTATCCCCAACTTCAAAGTCATCAGCTCGACCTAGCAATTTCCAACCCTGAATGACAAGTTAGCATAATATATCCAAAGCCAAATATCAGCGTATTGCTCACATCGCTCTCTCTACCTCTCTGGCCAACATAAATGCCCAGAAAGAGCATCACTTTCCGCCCTCATAATCCTCAGGCTTTCCCGACTCTCCGTGTCCCTCGCCACCTGCACTCTCGCCCTCGGGCTGAGTCTCGGGCTTGGTTTCAGGCTTTGGAAGGTGAGGACCGCCGAAAGAACCACCCGAGGGAGTGTTATCAGTGCTTGACTCGCCTCTCTTGACTCGCTCATGGGCACCTGGGGTTTTTTCACCTTCGCCGATCTTGGGGGGAGGGGATTGGCTCTTTGTCGGCTTGTCACCGTGCTCGGCCTCGTCAGAACCCTCACCAGAAGGATAACTCTGGCCGGAAGAAACTTCTTTCTTTTCACCCACACCCTCGCCAGGATGCTCGCCTTCACCAGTGGGTTTCCAGGATCCCGGATGTGGGACGCCAGAAGGTTCAGCACGGCGTTTCACACCTTTCTCTTCCTCCGGCTTCTTCTCTTCATCAATGCCAGCGGGTTCGTAGTTGGTATGGTCACCGCCCTTGGCCTCCTCGCCACCTGGCTTGCCGCTTTCGTGCCATTCGGGAACCGGAGAGTGCTGCGGCGCAGGTTGCTCGATACCGGTGCTTGGGATGCCGGCAGCCACGGGTGCAGCAGCGCTGACGGCCGCGAAAGCAAGGAGGGCAGAGATAAGACAGACAGAACGCATTTTGAACAGGCGGGAGCAGAATTCAACCTTGTCGATAATCGAGTTGATAGCAGTGAAACACTATGATGATCAAGTGTGCTGATAAGGACGGTCAACTGTGGGAGAAAGAACTACGGGCTTTTATATGCTGAGGCATGACTTTGACACGCAGTTCAATCAAGAATTATGTGACTGATGACGACAATAGGTAGCACAATCTTCTCGCTAAACCTAAAGGCAGCTCCCATCAGCGTCGAGATTTACAGGCTCAGATGCAGGCCAGGCGGGTTTGGAAGGGGTCAGGCCTGGGGAAATCAAGCTATATTGAAATCTCACCTACATCCAGGACTAGATGTCTATTCTGGACTCAAAGCATCGGGATATCGGTCCTTTCAGACGCCGGATATGGCGATAATGGTGTAGCGAGCCCTGGAGACACGGATCTGAGTAGCGCTCACAGAGGAGCCTTGGAATATTGCTGCCTATACGAAACCACGGAGCTAGGTTTTCCAAATTTGATCTTGCATTGCTGGCGTCACTCCAACAGTGATTGGCTTTGACGACATTTATCCCCAACGAAGCTTCCTCAATATAGAAACCATTTTGAATATCTAGTAAGTCTACATTCTGTGTTCTTTAGTAAAATCCAGCGACAGATCTAGACGAGAAGTTCCGAATTTGGTTATAGTATTCTGATATATTGCAGGTAAACCGGGTTATCAAGGATGCTTGTCCACGGAAAGTCAATCAAACCTCAGCGTCCCATCCCAAGAGTGAGATATTTTGTTCAACTCCCAAGCACACCGGCACCACCGTTCCAGCTCATTCATTCCGTAGGTGGAAAGTATCAACGCGAAATCTCGGGGTCGCGGGACACCGATAGCTGGCAACGATGCAAGCCCAGACGCCTCGGTCACGCCTGATATCAAACCCAACAGATACATGCAGTACTTACGTATACCGATAGGCAGCAGTGCCGAAGTCCAAGCTTCAAGGGAACGCATCTATTGGATGAGTTAGTTTGTTGAAGATCAAGATCGCCTTTGGCTCTCCGGGGTGTGTAACGTGGCTAGCACTGTCGGTGCTCGAGTTCCTGCAGGTTCTGCAGCACGTTACGATAATCCGACTTATTTTTTTTTATAAGGGGCCAGGCCAAAATTGAATACTAGGAAGCATAATCTGCTCCAATGCCATTACCATGAGCTAACATCTCTTACTCTGGCTGTCGAGAACCACTGCTAGCGAGGTAGATCGAATCCTTTCCAGCAATCGGTGCCCTCAAATCATTGCCTCTACTCTTCATGAACCAGAGAATCATGCGTGTTGTGACTATCACCGCCCAGCCATGGCTGGTTTTGATATTGACCGGTTTGGCCTGGGCTCAATAAAGTTTAAATCCTCAATGGTAAGCATTTTGTTACCTGACGTGGGTGACAAGAGGATATCTTGCAGAAAGAAAGTACAGCAGCCAGAAGATGCGTAATTCGTTACGTAGGAAGAACAGGAATTATGCGTAATGAGTTGCGCAGGGAGTCGTGATAGATTCCAGTCATACAAACGATCTACAGGCTTGAGAACTTACTTTGAATGCCTAGTCAAGCTATACACCCAATCTTACGTCCTCCAGACGAGCTCAATGCTTGTGCGATTCCCATAATGTAGTATTCTGCTAAGGTATCTGGTTGTGGAGCTGGAATAGTCTAAGAATAAAAATACAGGAAGAGAGTTAGAAGGACTATTCATCATCTACTCATCTCTAGACTCTAAGTCCACCATACTTTAACTAACCTAGCGATTCCACCCACGAAAGTACAACTGGCCATTGTTATTACCAATATTCTCCGCCAGATTGATCTCCGAGTCCCGCTTATCTCCTCCCTCCGTCGTGAGCGTCGCACTCAGCACCGCCCTGTTATACGGATCCTCTTGGTCGAAGCGCAGACGCTCCGCGCTACGGCTAAAGTGGCGGCCCTTCCACACGAGATAGCCATTAGTGTTGCCTATATACCGTGTCAGATCGAGGCTGGCGTCTTGGAGGCATCCGTCGTGTTTCATTGCGCGGCAGTGGAGGGTGCCAGACTGATCGATGGTGATGTCCTGGCAGGAGTGATGGAATGGTTCGAAGGGCATTTCGACAACGTTTTCTTTCCTTATAAAATGAGACTTGACTTTCTTTTTTCACCCCCCATTTGACGTCTGCTTAAGTATTCGATCTTAAAGGGGCGAAGATGACGTTACAACACGGTGATGGTGGCGTTTGGCCATTACAGCGGTTTACAGGTTTGCCAGCAGTTTGTACATGACTACAATAAGGGAAGATGCTGTCCCAAAGGAATGTTTATTAAACTAATCACTTAAAACTATTAGATAGGATTACGCGGTACAAGACATCAGTCGATAGTACTCTTCTAGTACAGTCTAGTATAATCAAGTCCAAGTCTCTCTCCAGAATCAAATGAAGATAAAGTTGAAGAGGAAAACGGAGCACAAGACGAAAAGGCTGGCCGAGATCTTGAAGGAGGGAGACTGCCTGTCAACGCCACCAGTGAAGACGGGCGAGGCCCGCCCCGGAGGCGCAGGCACGACGCTCGTCGCCACCACGGGGGGCACTGAAGAGGGCACCACGGGCGAAGGTATAAAGGAGCTGATGGGGGCCGGGGGCGGCGGAATCACCTCGGGGGGCACGCTGGATGCCGGGGGAGGCGGATGCACGACGGGGGGTGCGGTCTCGCTGGGCGAGGGGACCGCTTCGGAGGAAGGACAGACGGTCGTGGTGACAATGACGGCCTCGGAGGTGAAGGTTGTTTTCTCGGAGGCTGGGCACTGGGTGCTTTGCGAGGGACACGCGGTGATGGTGTCCGTTCGCGTGGAGGAAATGGTCGAGGTGATCAGCCCGCCTGGGGGGGCGAGGGTGGTCGTGAGATTGGTAGCCATTGAGATGGGAATTGAAGCAAGAAGAGGTCAATTGAAGGAAGAGAGGTCAATTGATCGAGTACTGAGAGGTCGATTGGGCAAAGAGGGTGCGTGAGGTTGGAGAAGAAAGAAAAGAATGTCAGGGACGAAAGGAAGTATGTAATAGCTGAGGCATCGCAGGCCTGACGTCGATATTGTCGCGGCCATGCAGTGAAAGATGATGGCAGAATTACTCGTCGTGCTGAGGAACCACGGATATACTGAAGAGCTTTAAGATGAAGCCTTTCATCAAGACAACTATCTCATCTTAAGTGTAGAGGCTAATTAGTATAGAGAAACTGGCTTGTATACCCCTAGGTTAATTCTACTCTACATCCTTTATAGTTTTGCGATCATCAAAGATATAGTGTATTATTTATATCTATACCTGTCAGTGATAACATTGCACTGCATTTAGATTGAAAGAAGAGGATCAACTATTGACGCCGTTCCACGTCATTCGCATGCTGATGGAACTGATGGCCGAGAAATCATCGTGGTATTTGACTTGATACTCCAAGAGAGAAGAACTATAATGATGGGGAATATCAACACAGGTTCAACCGTATCGTATCATGTAGAGATTATAGGATTAACTATAGCCTATAGGATATGCAGGCCTCATATTCAGCTTCAACCCCGCTTCCCACTCGACCACATCTCACAACACTCTACGCTCTCCTACCTTTTGTCAGTAAGAGCACTCTTCATAAATTAGAATATGGAAGGAAGATGTCAATGTGGTCATATCCGCTTCATCACCCCCCTTCCTCGTCCGCTCAAGATCTACTTCTGCCACTGCACCGAGTGCAGACACCAGTCCTCCTCCGCGCACGGCGTCAGCGCCATCTTCCCGAGTTTTGAGATTCCCAACCCTGTCCCAGGCTCAGACATCACAGAGCAAGTTGGCTTGTACATCCGTCACACTCTCCGCGGGTGCGAGCTGCAGTGTTTGTTCTGTCGGCGGTGCGGGGCAAGGCTGGTCCATCGCGTCGAGGGCGACGAGAAATTATCCGTCAAAGGCGGGTGTCTGGTTGATCTTAATGAAGATATGATGCGCCATGCAGAGCATATCTGGTGCAAGGAGGCTGTCGTGGAGATTCCAGATCGGTTGGCGGATGGGACAGTGGTGGTCAAACACGATGAAGAGCCTGTTTAACAGTATCCAGTGTTATTCATATTGTGATCGTCTTCAACCTTCCTTTTCCAATGTCGGTTCTCAAGCAGCTACAGAGCGTTGATACACTCTTCATCACATATACATCTGTTCTACTCTACTTAGACAAGATCAGGTGCTAATCCTTAGCCTTCAGGGTCTCTAGCGTGAGATACTGATATCTAGTCACTTGGTTATTACTATGAATATAGAAGCTATGAAACATTCAATTAGTCTTCCTCCTCTTCCTCATCTTCCTCCTCCTCCTCCTCCTCCTCCTCCCCTTTCGTCCTCATCATCATCATCATCTTCTTCTACTATTCTCCTCCCAGTCATCCGGCAAATTGCTCAAGACATATGGATAATTGTTCCATGTCAGTGGAGGATGATTCATAATGGATAGATTCTGTGAGAGATCACTCAGGCCGAGAAGGAATCTAAAATTAAAGAGTACTAGTAATTTTAGAGTAAGTATACACTATTCGTCACCATGTCGTACACTATCAATGGTTGAATATAATAAAGTATCTAATATTAATTTATATCAGTATCATATTCCATATCATACCTTCCTTTTCCAAGGTCAAGTGTCTGACATCTTAGCCAGGCAGACTGGAAAGCTGGCTGATCCCTAGCTGAGAGTATCCACGAAGAAATCTGTAGAAAGCGATATGAGCTTAATATAGACTCGGTCACCCTCGAATAGAACAGTCAGAATTAGCTTTTCCATGACATTCCCGTGCGTTGGCAGTACTACTACTACTACTACTACTACTTCAACTCCATCTTCAAACGCAACTCAGTCCTAAAATGCCACCGAAGGATCAGTGGAAACCACCGTGCGGCTCGTGTCTGATTAATCCTCAACAACTTCAGTATGATAGTCGTGCCGTGAACTGTATGTCCGCTGTGTGGGGGCATACGAAGTCCCTGGCCCAGACTTGCGGTGCGGATGGTCTGTCCAGACTTCAATACGAGACCCTGAAATGAACACGGCCCGACGGCAGGCAGAGAATCCAATGGTGTTGATCGAAGGTTCGTAGGTTCATTTTCTGCAAAGCATAGCGAGTTAGCTTTTTCCTCTAGCGACGGGGAGGGGGTTGTCGAGGGGGAAATGATATAATTATGCCTCGATCCAAGCCAGGAACACTTCAGTTCTTCCTCTGTGGGCTGTTCTGCTGGAAATCAATAAGGTCAAAATGATGAATCTTCATGATCTCTCCATCTCTGATGTGTTAGGCATGATTGCAGTGGGTGTCTTCATCAGTAAGAATTTCCCCTCTGGAGGAGAGGAAGGAAGAGGGCTTCTGGGTTTGTCACTGACAATGCAATTAAAACAGAGTCCAGGCATTCGTTCCGTTAGCACAACCTTTGATTCTGGTAGGGCTGCTCAAGGAAGAGAACTCACAGGCGACACAGCTGTCCCCCCCTCCCCCTGGTTTATCGAGTCTCATATGCTGACTCCCTTAAGACCGTCGTTGGCCTCTTCCTTCACTCCTCGTGGTGGCCTTTTATCCTGTATACAGACTCTGACAAAGACACCGGTGTGCCTCCTTGGATACTAATTCTTACCAAGTTCCAGACCCGCCACGAACAGACCTGCCATGGAGTCGCATCTGTGGGGCGTTTAATCCGGTCTCATGTCCCAACTCCAACAGCAACATCACCCTGTTTGAGAACGCCACGGGGGAATACAACGATATCTGGAAGTACGACGCCCGCGTACCCAGGTATGTGGTCGACGCGTTCCAGAGCGGTCTCGGGATTATAAACAGCTCTTCTGTCTCTAGCATGTTTGACATTCAGTCTCGGTCACACTCTTGGTCGTAGATTAACAACAACCCGGGGGCCACGGAGCCGGACAACGGTTCGGCCTACCCGGGCAGCGTGTTTCACCAGTTCGGGTCTCTCATTCTGGAAGGTAGAGTCGTGGTGTTAGAAGGGCTGATCCATCGATATGGAACAAGGAGGGATTGGCTTTCGCAACCACACCGCACCGCCTCTCCATGCGTACGGGATTAGCTGGTCATACTGTTCATTGGGCCAGAGACGCAGTGTGGCAATATAAACCTGACGCTTGACTTCACTCTATCCAAGTACGCGTCACAGGGATCACCGGATGCGCCCGCCAACCTGGTGCTGACAGACCGCGGCGGGTTTGCTAATCTCGACCACGAGTATCCCGAGTGGGATCGCAGCGATCCGCAGAATAGACCGGAGCCAGAGCAGCGTGCGTACAAAGCCGCCTGGTCCAACAACGCCTACTCGATTAATCGGGAATTCCGCCACCACCTCCCCTACGCTATCCCCGCCATTCTCACACCCTTCTGTGTCCTTGTAGTCATGAGCATGTTGCTGGCCCTGTGACGCTCACAGGAGGGAAGGATGAGTTGGTGATTATTCGGCCGGTATTTCGAAGACTGCTGAATTATATTCACGTATCAGCAGAGCGAAGCTCTGCAACATTTACTTGATTCATACTGTTGATAGAGTTAAGCAATCCCAAGATCTAGCTAGCTATTACTAACTAGCAAAGTCACTACGAGTATTCCAGTCACAGCACCATGTAAGAGAAGAAATATTATGATTGACCTGGCAATCCTAAATATAGAGACCGCAGTCTAAAGCGGCAGATAAAACCCCTCTATCTGGAAAAAAAAAAGGAAAGAAAAAAACAAACCCCAACCGATCGTGACGGTGGAACCAAACTCGCTGATGATGCAGAATGTGACCCATTCAAAAATCCAATTGTGGGCAAGGTATATCAAATGTCTAAGTTGTTTGTACACAAAAACGAAACACGAAGCATTAAGGTGGGTGAGGGGATTCGTTTGCTGAAGCGTGCTTCTTTATACAGTCGTATATTCGATCTCGTCGTGATCCGCGGCACGGTTTCTGCGGCCGTGGCGGGAGAGGGCGCGAGTACCTGTTGTGGGCACTGGTTTCGCGATGCGGAGGATCCAGCAGAGGCAGTATTCCAGGGGCAGGAGCAGGTTGAAGACTCGGTTGATGAAGAAGCAGAAGATGACGGAGAAGAGGGCGACGGTGGCATCGAGCCAGTAGTGGTTTGCGGTTGCGACGATGACGCTGAGGACGAGCAGCGGGTAGACGATACCCAGGACGAGGAAGAAGAGCATGGTCAGGAGGGGTTTGCGGGGCCCGCGGCCACGGAATCGCTGCAGGATTCCCGAGTGGTAGATGAAGGTGCAGCCGATGACGAAGGCGTAGGTGAAGTGCAGGGAGGGCATGGCGGCGAACTGGTTGACAGACTTGCCGCCCACCCAGACGCTCTCGGCGTGCTCCTGGCGCACGGTGTCGAAGAAGTGGTACTCCTTGGGTAAAAGGCGCGGGGGCATGCATGGGAAGAAGCAGAAGACCATAAAGGACATGAAGTTACCGAGAGTCATGGTCCGTCGGGCGACGGCAAAGGTAGGGTGGTCGGGAGCGCAGTAATAGTACCATGAAAGGAACCTAAAAATTAGCACCTCTTTTTTTTTTTTTTTTTTTTTTTTTTTGTTTCTTTAATGAGTGTCTCTTACAAAACAGTTCCAGGAATATGGACGAGCGAGTAGATGCGGTTAAAAAAGGTCATGAAGCCCGGATGACCGTTCATGAAGAAGGCCTGGAAGTCGGACTCCTGGATGGGAAAGAAGAAGCTGAGGAAGGAGGCGTGTTCGACGTTGAGGATGCCAATGGCATGGTTCTGGGCGACCTGGACGACGCCGATCTCCGCGGGCGACAGCCATTGCGAGGTAGCCTTGGTGATGGAATAAAACAGGTAGTTGACAACCCAGTAGAACATCTCCACCAGGAAGGGGAACTTCTGCAGGATGCGGCTGTGGATGTGGTCTGCCCAGCGCGACGAGTCCGGGGTCTTGAAGGTGATACCAAACACGGTCTGAGCCTCGGAATGGTATGGGTTCTCGCGTCGCAGGTCGCGCTCGCCGTCCGATCGGAGGAGGGGGTCCGGCGACTGGTCGTCGTACAGGGAGTCCAGCTTTGTCGACCGGCGCGATCTGAAGATACTGAAGTCCCGATGGCGGTTGATGATCAAGGATCCGACCATGATGCTCACGACAATCTATCAATTAGCTTTAGACCACCAACAATGAGACTCTTCCTCTCTCCAAGGTTCACGTACAATCGGTTCCACCCATGCGTGCGACGCGAATTGAGGCGCCCCCAAGTCCGGCGTGCTTGCCGAGTCTGTGGCCATCTTTGCATCCATTTATTATATATAAGACCGATCGACGATAGTATATAAAACAAAAGGTGTATAATTCCTTATATATATACCGATGGAAACGTGGTTGTTGGAACGACCGGAGGCAAAGAAGAAAAAAAAAAAAAAAAAAAAAAAAAAAGGCCGTTTCACTGGGACGCTTTCTCACGCGACTGGGGAGAATGCCAGTTCCAGGGAACGGAAAGGGATGGGAAGATCAGGGCAGATCGGCGGAATTATGAACCCGTATTATTATTATTTGATTTCGAGAACCGACAGTAGAGGAGTACTATAATTATAATCACAAGATTAGCTTCTGGAATAGCCGAATGGATAAGGAGAGGTGGTAGGGAACTAAAAAGGTCGACGCGTAGGTAGTGTACGTACGTCTGCAAGCAACGACCAGTTAGTTATGTGAGTGATAAGACAGACAGAGCCACAACAACGACGAAGACAGCATACCTGGGTATATGTACGGATACTGACTGGATGTACAGAATATATGCACACGCAAGGGAGGCAGAAATGACGAGAGGAGAGAGACAGAGGTTAAGAGTGATACTCTCTGCCTGAAGGCTGAATGCCGAACAGGGGCAAGATTCGTCGGGTTTTGTAAAAATTTAGCTATTATTATTAGGTTTGCTCCAGCGCCCATACGTCAAGCGATCAAATCGTGGCTTTTTGCTACTTGGGGGCGAGTCCACCCAGCTGTATGTTATTGGCACCTGAAACAAGGATCCTCGAGGCTGATACGGCTGAGTCGCTGGGTCTGGTGGGGATGATGAATTATAAGCACTGGAAAGTTGGATACGCTCGTATAACTGTATTCATAAGGAGTCGTACCCGAAGAGAAAGGGTTCAGGGGTCTAGAAACTATAGACTATGATCTCCCTGTTCGTCGTTTAATGTTATGTAGTAGGAAAAGAAGAAGTTCCTCCAGGGTCTAGCGACTCCCAGGTTACTCCGTAATTAAATCAACTAGTAGTAGTCATCACGGTGGAAATGAGGAGATGATGTGATAACAGGCTAACTAATTGTGTACTTGAACTAATGCCGCCTGTAAGCAAAATAATCCTCTTTTCTGGTCCTCTTACCTGTCACTCACTAGCCATTTGGAGTAACCCTTACGAAAGTCCCGAAAGAATAATTAATTCTCGCGCCGACTTCTCGTTTTCGGGATTCCATAAACGAAGCTGAAGCTGTAAGCTGAAGTAGTTACGGAGTAGTAAGTACGCTGTATGCCACGTATCATAGCCAGGGTCATGGCAAGGGTCGGCGGTTAAATACAGCCACAACAGCTAGTAGTAACTAGTAGATAAAAAAGAAACAACAATTAACTAGTTATGTAGTAGTTAACTATCAGTCATGTCTCATCCCGTCGGATAAGTTGATACTCGTCGGAGGGTGGCCAGCGCCGTGTCCGCCGCCCACAGTAAAGCAAACTCAGCCCGCCCGCAATAAACCCCACGAGTAGAGCCGCGACAGCCATACCAACAATGATCGTCATCGCAGTGCCATTCAGAAGTAGGAATACTGCCTCCGCGGGGACCTCGAGCAGCTCTGACCGGCCCAGCACGTCCCCCGCGGCATTTAGGGCCACGACCCGCACGAGGGACCGGCCCAGCGAGTCGGGGAGAGGGATTTCCGTCTCGAAGCCGTCCTTGTAGACTTGAGACAGGATAAACGACTCACCAGGTAGGCTGTCGTTGTCATCATCTGCGTTGGTAACTTCAACCTGCCACTGCGTAACCTCCGTCGCGCCATTCCAGCTGACATACAGAATTCGGTCGAGGATGACGGCGTTCGGCGGTTCGCGTGGATGGCCGGTCCATTTGCCCTTGAAGACCCGGTAGGATGACACCCGGCCGAAGGTGAAGTAGGCGGACGCGCCAAAGTGGGCGTCGCAGAGGAGGCGGCCATCGGCGGCCGCGAACTCGGTGAAGGCGGCGCTGTGACCCCAGCCGACCAGGACGGTGCCGCTATCTGACAGGATCTGCACGCTCCCCTGTGAAGCGGCTTCCATGCGTTGCGGGTTGTGAAAGACCGTGCGGAGTTTTGCAGAGAGATGATCGTTTTTCTGCAACCCGAGATCGATGACAAGCGCCCGGCTCTCAACCGACGGGTCCGAATTGTCGTCGGCGGAGTTGTCGAAGAGTGTGACGGCACTGTCCCCATACCAACGCGCATGATGTTGCCAGGAGAAATCGGTGGCCGCGCCGTCGGAGAGATCATGGAAGTCGTTCTCCTTGCCGCCTAGATTCCAAAGCACCGCGCCAGTCCGGCCATCGACATAGCTCACAGTGAACGTGTGGCGGCCTGAGACGAGGTAGTTTCCCCGACTGTCCTTGTCGATGCTGTTGATGTGGTAAAAGTCAAACGCGGCACTCTCGTCCTCGCCGCAGCCAGTAAACGCCGATGCCTCGCTCCTCTGGCAGCCCTGCAGTGTCTTGAACGTTCTGTCGACGGGGATATGCTCTGAGGCCCGCCACTCAAAGAGGACGTTGCCTGTCTCGATGTCGATCTCCTGGAATACCCCGTCGAGGATCCAGCCGTCGACGGGGCCGCCAATGCCACTCAAGTCGCCAGGGATAGGGTGGTAGATGGTGATCAGCGCTGTATCGGAAGGCGTGAGTTGGAACTCATGCATATCGCCCGTTACATTTCCACCGGGAATTACAGCATACCGAAGGGTGTAAGATGAGTCAAGCTGGTCAAAAATGTGAGCAAGCCTTGAAAATAAGTAAGTGGTAGGGAAAGTCTTTTGATAGGCATACCATATACCAAGACCCCTGTTTGCGACCATCTCGCTCCTCTCCCACCCAGAAAGTGAGAAAGTTCTCACCGCGGTAAGTCTGCACACGGAAGTCCTGAGTGATCCCCTGCAGGCCAAAATTCCGCCAGACCAGCTCCCCCTCCGGATCGACGATCATGCCGGCCGGCTCGGGGATTGAATCCCCCCGCGGGGCAAGAAATAGGTAATCCCGGCTACATCGGGCGTCGGTCTGGAGGAACTCGAAGCGCGGCGACTCATATTCGAAGGAGTTGTAGCTGCGCGCGGGCGCGAATCCATAGAGACCCAGGTCGTACCAGGTCAAATCCCCGCGGAAGCGGAAGCGGGCCAGCTGCGGCGTCACCAAGACGACGAAGAGCCATACCGCGAGGACGATGGGAAGCAGGAGAGCAAGGGACCAGACACTCGAGCGCCAGCGAGACAACAGAGTAAAGGCATTGTTGTTTCCTTCCTCCCTGTGACCGCCACGAAGAAAGGCGAGGCTCTCCTCACGCTGGTGATTCTGCGGGGATATCGATCGTCGATTCGTCCACCTCGTGAGTGAAAAGGCCATGAGTCCCTCTCTATCTTATCTTGCGGACTCCCTAGCCAGACTGCTAGGGGGAGGGGGGGTTTCATTATTTATTGCCGCCATAAAAGGAGTGTCGAAGCATCCAAGGAAAATGGATCCCTTCTCCATTACTACCTAGTTAGTTATAGCTCTACTGATAACAAGTGTCGGTGCGCTGGACTAGGAACTTAGCATTCACCAAGCAGTGGCAAGAGAAATCCGTCTAGCCAGTCGTCATCTTCAATGGACAGAGGTTCCATTGCTGTTCCCCAGTCAGGCCAGGTTGTTCCTTCCGGGGAGTCGGTACGGCTTGCGCGTACTCGGGAGCCAGCGTTGATCCAAGCAACTGACGTACTCCGCAAATGACGCTGCATCCTGACATCAGCCAGTAGACCGGGGATGGCGCAAGATCTTTCGTTATCATGTACCTGGGCAACAGACTTGGCGGACCTGCCAAGGCACGATAGCCGACGGCGTCGCGGACAATGGAAGAGTGGAGGAGGAGAGAAAGAGTGTCAGTGGTTTGGTGATTTCGAGGCAACGTCTGTTTCTCCACTGCGGGGCATAATGAGTATGTAGAGTAGGAGTGTATGTAAGTGAGGTTATTTTATCTACAGAGTTGACCTCAGGAGTAGAAAATAATATCACATGATTGGATCAGTCAGCTCAGCAGTCAGCACTTATACATATGTGTACGCTATTTCGAGTCATATCAGACAATTATAATCGCTATTGGATATAAATAGACTATCTATGAGTCTATAAGTATGCTTAGAGCAATTGTGTTACGATAATACTGACTGACATCGCATCTTACTGTACAAAGTACTCTGTACCTTAGATAGGGAGAGCAGATTACTGCATAAGCAAGACAACCTGTCTTAGTTAAACCGGACTATCATTGAATCATATCTATATCATAATACTGCCTGTAGGGAGGTGTTGCACAGCGTCGACGGCCCTTGCATATATGACCTGATGTAGAGCAAGAGGTACCTTAGGTACCTATAAATATAGAGAACAACTCAGGGTCAAGACAGACAATTGTATACTTATACTCTATTACTGAGTACTGTCTAGCAAGAGATTATTGTTCAAGAGATTATTGCTTTAGTACGCTCTGTATCAGGAGAACCCTTATATCAACATGTTCAAAATCTACTCTCTCCTCCTCCTTAGTCTCAGCCTGCCTTGCCTCGCCATACCTACCACGAACATCAAACGCAACGCCTGTACAGTAGGCGACAGCTCTGTGTCCTGCTCAGAAACCTATTCCCCGTACCAGGTACAACAGCGAGAATTGATTTTAAAGAACTATGTACTAAAGGCTTCAATAGATCTCGATCACTATCCAACCTTCCCATGCAGCAACCCTCTCCGTCAGCGATGAGACAAACGGTAACACGCTCTGCCATGCAGATGGGGACGTCAAGCAGGGCGTTGCCTGTAACTTCAACGACAACGGAGTCGACGGACATGTCAGGATCTATCTAGATGCCTCTGACGATGTCCATCTCATGGTGAAAGATACGAAAAGCTACCGAGGGGATGATTACAATTATGTGATTTACAGTGGATTATGAGGGGAGAAGTAAATAGTTAGATCGTATATTTATTTCATAACCTACTTATGTACAGCAGATAATGTCATTCCTGATTCAAGCGGTCCACACCACCCATAGACATCACATCGACACTGTTCATAAGACGGGCAGCTAAACAGTCAGTATAAGAGAGAGTGTGTGTGTGTGTGTGGGATAAGCAGAGGAAAAAAACGTACTAGATATCGTCCATCCCAAAAACAACATGCCAGATGGTTTCAAACACCCAACCCACACCAAAGCTATCTGTCAGATCGGTCGAATTGGCCCAATGCAACATGCGTTCATAGTCGGTGCGCGGGCGTTGGCGGATTCGCGCCCTACTAACGGCAAACTGAGCACAACAGACCCCCCCGATATGCTGCGGGACATCGCGCAAGTTCTCGACAGCAAAGAGGTGCTGGTACACGCCCGCAAAGGCTGCCCGGATATCCTTGTTCTCGATATCGACCTTTGACGGATCGTGCGGGTGCACATGTGTCGGACAGCCGGGGACATGGTCGCAGCGGAGATTGACGTAGCCTAACGCGTCGACGGCCTCGAGGCGGAGATTGCGCACCGCGGCGCTCGTCTTCGGACCGAACAGGTCGTTGTGCCATTGTTTTTCGTTGGCGTGCACGAAGATCGAGTACGGCGGGAGAGCGTCGTAGAACTGGACAAGGTACGATAGGTACGCGGACACTTCACGTCCGCGTTGGGCGAGGGGGAGGAGAAGATGAGGTTCGGGGACGGTGTCGGTGGTGTAAACGAAGGGTGTTGTATTATACCTTCATCATTAGAAACGGTCTTTTCTTCTTTGTTTTAAAATGCTGCTCACTTCCTGCAATACTCCAACACCCACGTCACGTCTTCCCTTCTCGTCTTGGCCATGACCAGCCCGATAGATGTCGACTGTGTCGCGGCCATCTCGCCCAGAGCGCGTATCGTCCGTTCATTCTTGAGATCGGCTTCCTTCAGATCGGTGGTTCCTTGTTATCATTAGATCTGAAATCCAATTCATTCTAAGGAAGGTTCTATAATTCTTACCAACTGGCTCCAGAGGCATGCCCTGATAGGTGGACAACGTAAGGAAGATGATAACCGCCAGCGTCGCGCAGGTTAAAATCAGAGGTCGGAATCGTGGAGAGAACATGCCTTTGGCCATTTGTATAGGTATCTAGGTAGATACTGCCTATCTTAGGCGTCGTTCTCTCTCTCTCTCCTGATTGTTCTCTGTAGAAAATTTCAATATTGACCGGACCTGCCCGAGAGACCAGACGGCCCTCCGTGATGATGTTTATCTTTATTTTGTCTGGTTTGATCATTGTTTGTTTGATAGGCGTTGTTCTGCAAGGGACATTGACTTTCTGATCGATCTGGCGGATCAAATGCCATCCATCCCTTGATAGGCATGAACTCGAGTACCAAGTAGTTGGATGTGAGTGCTCAGTACTTACTACTCCTTAAGACTCTTTTGCACGGCGATCCCAGTGATTATCATGTCTCATTATAATATTACATATCGTAAAGCTCTATATACATTATCGTCTAGCATCCAAATCATCGAGAGTACTCCGCAGTGACCGTGGACAAACAGCGTTTGCTCGTTCGTCGAGTCGTTGTGTTCCTTTGTCTTTCCTTTGTCTTTCTTCCATAACACCTTTCCCAGAAAAAAAAAAGAAAAAAAGAGATCAATCTTGATCCCGTGTAGTATAGATATCGTAGGTATAGTATAACCGGTCGGTTCAGTAGCGAGAGCGAGAGAGAGGAGCGAGAAGCGACTAGTGAGAAACGCTTTAGTCGGTATAGGTCGTAGTTCCGAGGTAGATATATATAGTTATATGTTGTCTCCAGGAGAAGACTTCCTGTTATCCCGGGTTGGCCCAAAAACGCTGTCCTAACGGAGCCAGCTTGCGTCGTCGAGGAATAATCCGCTCGACGCACCGCTTGCTTCGGGAGAGCAGCAAGTCAATCTTATCCGAGGACCCTTCGGAGAGGCTGCCGACTGAGGTGGTATCTTCATGATTGTGATTCGCCGGCTTAAACGTCACGGATGGTATTGGTAAAGGAATGTGTAGTCTGCCGGGCGCCGGGGGTGCGTCTAAACGGCCAGTGTTGTTATTGTGGTGATGGCGGTGATGCTGTCGGCGGACTCCTCCTGCTGGTGTTCCTCCTCGCTGCTGAAATCGGAGCAAACGCTGCTCCATCTCCGGATCGACAGGCCGCGTACCCTCAAGCTCCTCCTCGGAGTCAAGCTCGATAGCACTCAGTCGCTGACGCACATCCTCATCGGCCCATTCCATCGACCGGCGATGGATGTGCAGGTGGCCCAGACAGCGGCGCAGGTCCGGGTCCGCCGACCGGGCCTCGTGGGTGATCTTGCCTCGCGACAGGACGGTCAGGCGGTAGGGCATGGAGTGTTTCTCGGCCAGTGGAGGCCAACGTTTGTTCAGGAGCACATTTTTCAGAAAAGGGACGGGCGATTTGGCCATCTCTGGCTGGGCCGGGGAGGGGTTGGTCGATGGTGGTGGGAGGGGGAGAGCGGGCGAGGCGGGCGAGATGCCTCCGATTTATTATGGGCGGTAGAAAACGGTGGAGAAATAAATTTCTTCAAATCAGATGATTTTTGTAACGCTGGTAATTTATTAGTAACTTGGCCCAATAAATCAGGAATTGAGAAATAGAGAAATCGCAGAAAGATTTCTAGGATAAATATATATATATGTCTATATATCTTCATACATTTAATTCTAACAGTGGCAGTTGATACTGTGTGACTGCCACTCTCGCCGTCTCACACTCTCGGCCCGGTCAATCCATGGATCCTCCGACGCAAACGAACAGAAGATGGCGACAAAGCCAAATCGACTCGCTGTCGCCTTTGGACAGGCCACTCGTGACGTCAACGACAGCGGCAGGGGGCACCAACGATTGTCTGGAGAGATGGACAATCGTGCGAATGGAGATTTCTCGGCGTACACAAAGAACGACCTGGACTCAGGTGTAGTGCCTCATGATTCTATTCCTCATGTCCTTGGGATGGCGTGTCATGACCGAGTCAGTAATTATTCCGTATGGCTGAATGGAACAGGGTTGAGTTCTCCGAGTGGTGCTGATGTCTAGATTCTCTTCGTTATTCCGATGATTCGGCTAAAAGCCATCCTACGAAACCACACGAGTCTCACGATTCCTCTTCTACAACAGAGTGTTATTCACAAATGAATGGCAAGAATCATTTGGGTATATGGAATACTCATCGGACCAGGATTAAACTTCCTCCTTGAACTCTTCCTTGAGCTCCTTGCATCAGCTCACCAGGTCTTGTGCCTTGAAGTCAACTGAATTCCTTACAGATGCTACCCCACGCATACACTCTTGGCAGGCCAGCAATCTGTGCCAGCGAGACCATCGATATTCAGCGTTGCATACGGAGTTTGAGCAAAATCTACAGAGTACCCGAGACGACGAGGCGTACCGATGGAGCACACCTGCTTACCAACGGTTTACTCCGTAAACTGATACATACAGAGTACCCCGTACGGAGTACTCCATACATATCTACGGAGTTACTACTCCGTAGCTAACTAGCTAGCTACAGTTAATCTCTGCAAGAGTGGGGAGATGAGTCGGCGTTATTCACATTGAGCGGGGTTAAGCTTGATAGGCGAAGAAAGCGACTCTTAGGCGATTTAGCCGACGCTGCCGAGAATTGAAATAGCAGTTGTGAGTTGGAGAATATATCTACCATGATATCTACTATTATTATGATCTAGTATGTAGTATTGATGCCTGTGGTTGCTTTCCTTCCACTTCTCCTACTTTTGAAGAATGGCTACTCTGTGCCTGAATTCTTTTCAATGGGACTAGATAGTATCAATTGACTGGAACTATGTGGTACGATAAGAAATACGAAACAGTAGATTTGTTAAATAACTAGTTGTTCCTATAATATATGCTGTCATCGCTTCTACATTTATGATTGCAAAAAAAATCAGCATTGCATGATGGTGTTCTCTGTTTCCGCTCAGGTTCAGGGACAACCTCGACGCTCTTCCCTCTCCTCCACAGATACAGTTCAAACAGGCATGAATTAATCATGTATCGGGCTAGCTATGATTTTGCGATTCAAGCCGATTTCTAAGCATCGGAGATAGACTCAGACATCCCATACCGTTTTGTTAATTGACCCCTCTCGCAGGATTCGAGTATAAAGACGTCAGCAACAGCACGATGTCAACAAATACTACCGTCTCTTTCTCCTCCTACCTGAAATTTCCTTCCCGTTACTACTCACATCATGAAATACGTCCAACTCGGTTCTTCAGGCCTGCGTGTCTCGCCTGTGTGCGTAGGGTGCATGAGCTTCGGCGACCCCAACACGCTCATGTCGTGGACGATCCCCGAGGAGGAATCGCTGCCCATTCTGGACCACGCGTACAAGTCCGGCATCAACTTCTTCGACACGGCCGACATGTACGCGAACGGCACGTCGGAAGAGATCCTGGGCAAGGCGATCCGCGAGTTCGGCTGGCGGCGCGAGAGCATCGTCGTGGCAACCAAGGTTTTTAACCCCGTCGGGCGCGGCAACGACAAGGTGATCCGCATCTCGGAAGACGAGCGCAACAATCTAGGCTATGTCAACCAGTATGGGCTGAGCCGCAAGCATATCCTGTCTGCTGTCGACGCGAGTCTGAAGCGACTGGGGCTCGACTATATCGACCTACTGCAGATCCACCGCGCCGACCCTACCGTCCCAGCGCGGGAGACCATGGAGACCCTCAACGACCTCGTCCGGTCAGGCAAGGTACGGTATATCGGCGCCTCGTCCATGTGGGCACATCAGATGCTTGAGTACCAATACACGGCGCGTCAGCACGGCTGGAGCGAGTTCATCTCCATGCAGAACCTCTACAACCCCATCTACCGTGAGGAGGAGCGCGAGATGATGCCCAGCTGCATGAAGTTCGGCATGGGCGTGATTCCCTGGAGTCCCCTGGGTATGGGCTACCTGACCCGCCCGTGGAAGACGTGGGGGGATACCTCGCGCGGCCAGGCGCAGGCGGGTCGTGTCGCCGGCGGCATCCCCGACGAGTCTGACCAGCGCATCAACGAGCGCATCGAGGTCATCGCTACAGAGCGGGGTGTGTCCATGGCGGCTGTCGCCATCGCGTGGGTACTCTCCAAGCCCTTTATCACCTCAGTGGCCACTGGTATGACCAAGATCGCGCGTGTCGACGAGGCGATTGCAGCCATCGATCTCAAGCTCACCGAGGAGGAGATCAAGTCGATCGATGATCTATACCAGCCCAAAGCCGTGCGGGGGCATTTTTAGAAAGCCGCTTTTGAGATAGTAAATAAATACCAAATGAATGAACTGTTTGACGTACCTATGTCCGTTTTCAGACACTGACGTCAAGACTCTGCATAACATTCCCTCAAGTCGATGATATAATCCTAACTCTAAAACATAAACTTGTTTCTCCATCGTATATAAATACCTTAACATCTCGACCCTATTCTCTCATCGAATACACAATTACTCGCAACTTCAATTACAATTACTACAACTATTATACACCATGTCTGACGCCGGCCGCAAAGATTGGTCAACCCGTACGACTCCCACATTAACCTCTCCTTGAACGATTCTCTAGAATTTTTATCTAACAATCTCAGAGCTTAAGGAGGGCATGATTCCCGACTCCTCCAAGTCCACGCAGGACCAGATGCGCGAGAGCTTCACCGACAACGTGGACAAGCTTGCGCGCGGCGCGCAGCCGGATAGCTCCAAGTCCTGGACCCAGGAGGCTGGGGACAAGGCGAACCGGATGTTTGAAGACTCTAATGATAACGAGGGATTGTGCGTTTCTCCTTGCTGTATGATTTAGGGTATGCTGTATGCTGACTTTTTAGTATGGATAAAGTGAAGAATACTTTCGGCATGAACAAATAGGAAATTTGGTATAAGGAAGGTTAATATAGTATAATGAAGGGTTAACAAAGGAATAAATTAATAAATACTATATATATGAAATGATCATTCTATTCCAAGTTGAAGAGTGTTATTATAGATTGTAGTCCCGGTATAAACCGGTTCGTCTTTCGATGCCAACACACCCACTGCTCTCCAAACTGCTTGGATAACATGGCCTCCTCATCCACGACCCTCAGCCAAACCATGGAGACAAAAAAAACAGCCAAGGAGCCTAGCACAGCGTCCCGGAAGAAAGGTACACGCAAGAGTTGAAGCAGTGTATTGTCATTTCCCATCCAGCACGCCGGCGTCCCATCCCACCGCAGCAGTAAACCAATGCACCCGCCACACACCAGAAACTGGCCTGTATACCCCGGATGCTGGATGAAACGGTACACGCCCGTCGTCACCAGTCTGTCGGGAGCGGTAAGGTGGAAGGTGAAGTTGGAGCCCAGCCGGTGAAACGCCGAGAGACGGACCGCCGCACCCACGAAGATGGCCAACAGGGCGACTCCGCTGGTCCATGTCCACGAGAAGAGCGCTTCGTTCAGATTCGCACCATACGGACAGATATACCGGGAATATCGGTGATGGTGATGCTCGTCTTGCTCTCTTATCCCTCGCCAGAAGAGCGTGAGGAGGACGTGGTGGGCGATGATGAGGGAGGCGACACGGCGGATGACGGTCGGGACAGATCGTGTCAAGAGGCGGATGCGGTCGTTCTCGTTATTATTCTCATTATTGGAGGCTGCCTTTTTCGGGTTCGGATCAGTAGTGCATCGGACGCTGAGGGCGCCTGCTATGGCTATCAACAGAGACAGGGATAGGGACATGATGGGTTTAATAGATCATACGAGTAACATGGTGGTGTCATTGTGTGAGGATGTTGATTGTGCACAGACAATGAGGTCATAAAAACAACCACTAGGTTAGTTAATTGACCGTCTACTATAGTCATTTAATATATAACACCATACAATCATTATATGTTATAAATATGTAGTAGTACTTATTTAATACATCCACCCCCCCACGCCGTCCCTGCCACTTTCCCCCAAAATCCGCCCTTCTTGTTACGTGCGGCGTCCATCTCGGCGCGCAAGACAGGGTTGATTCCCTGCCGTCGCCATTTCTCCTGCTGTTCGGCTGGAATCTGGTGGACAGGGTGGTCGGGGGCGACTTTCTTGTTGGGATCCCAGAGTTCCGTAGGGGTTTTGCCCCATTTCAAGGCTGGGGAGGGATTATTGGACATGAGGTATTTCTAAGTGATTTGATTATGTAGTTCAGGTAGTGAGTTTATGAGTAACTAGTAGAACAATGACTCCAGAACCACTCTTTATACGGAGAAAGTACGAGTATTGCTTACTGATATCATAGTGGCTCAGCTCGTACTCCGTACCAAGTATTGCTCTCGGTGACTAAAAATCTTGAGATATTGCCAATAACTGTACTACATACTCCGTACTACATAGTAGTAACTACTACATACGACAATACTTGTACCACGGACTTGTAGTAGAACTACTGCTAGTAATGTAGAAGACCGACTTTCATGCAGACATATGGCTAATGCGGATGCCAACACGCTTGATTAGTCTTCGTTGTTTTTGGTATCAGAGGCAAACAGCAATCGACACCCGCACAAGCTTCTTCTGTGGATAGTCGTCGCTGGGGTTTGACACCTGCAGGAAAACTACATGTGTGTTACTTCGTCTCATCATTAGAGATCGTATTTTCGAGGTTAGATGCATCAGCTGCCTAGACCAAACAGTTGGGGATCTTATAAAAGGAGAGGGAATAGAAGAATCAAGGAGGAGGGAACGGACGGCTTTTAAGAGCAACCCCGGGCGGGGAAATAAACAATACATGGGGTCGAGCCAATCATGAAAAGTTCAACTTCCACCCTTGTACGGGGGGTTATGGTGCCATTAGTCATAGTGATGCGATGAGAAGGTACTGTACAAAAGTACAATGTTGCAAGTGCTGGTCATAGTCTCGATCCAGGGTGGAATCTGGCATAGCGATGACAGGTTGCAGAGTAAAAGACATTGCCCGCCATTGCCAAAATTATCTCGCCAATGAATTGCTGCTGTGCACTAGATACTATCATACCCCCCTGCTTTACAGCGGTGGCTTCGGTCTCAATTTGTCCCTCAATCTCCCATATGAGATCGCAGACGGCTGCCTGAGCCACAGAAGGGGCTATACCCCGAATTGTCTCCAATACCTTGACAGCATTAATAAGTGGAGTGTTGTGTACGCGCGACTCCTCTACTTCCTTCCGGTAGGAGTACAGGTCGTTGACGAGAGCAAAGTGCTTGCTGCAGAGAGCTCGGAGTCGGTCCGTTTCATTCCATTGGGCGTTCGACAGGTTGGCTTCGCAAGCGAAGCGGATTGAGCGAAAGATGACGCTATACAGGATTCGGTTTCAGGCTGGTTCCTCAATCTGCAATTCAAGGCCCCGGGAGTGAGAGCTCTTAGTACTTACTCGGCGCCAACATCATGAACTCGGTATGCAAGATAGCGGCCGAGGTGGTCTAGGCACTGAGAAGGCCTCTGAGTGGAGAAATAATCGTCCACCCAGTTCAGAATGAGGTGGGAGTCGGCTGGATACCGGGAATCCAATTGCTCAGATAAAAGCTTCCTAAATGCCGCCACTTTTTTAGAATCTATCCGGGTTGTCTGTTGCTTGTCCTATCAACAGCTCAGTATGTGCCCCGAAAAGTGAGTTCGAGACTGTCTATACATATTCTAGTTCCACAAGATCTAATAATTATCTATTAGAAAGGCCGGTACTCGTATCAAATTAGACTACTGCTTACCATCTTGCATGAATATCAAAAGGTAGCACTTCATCAGGGTCTTCATGCGTTCCAATTCGCCAGTAGGGAAGAGATGGACAACGAAACTGGCTACTGTCTCGACCTTTTGATTGACAAGCTGTTTTCCTTCAGCGCGACCAGCAAGCAGACTGGCCAGGTAGTTTTGTCCTGACCTGACAATTTCTCCGTGGTGGGCTGACTGGGCGCATCCAGGAAATGATGATAACCAGGGAATGCCCAGCAGTTCAGGTTTTATGATATTTGCATTCTCCCAGCTACTCGCAAGTAGTGACAGGAAGCCTCTTCGAACCGGCGGTGTTTGAAGAGCGAAATCTCTACTCTCCACGGGATTGAAGCCGTAGACTGGCTTCATGATACTGGCTTCCCTAGTGTCTTCGACAGACAGGCTCTTATTGACAGTCGTATCACTTCTAAGCAGCGAATAGGACCCGAATTGAGAGCTTTGAGGGGAATTGAATGCCCTGAACGCCCCTAGCTTTGCCTGAGCTCTAGCACCGCTGATGATACTAGAAGAACGTATTCTTGTGGACGAGTCAACATACGGCCTCAATCCAGGCCAACTTAATCGAACAGAATAAGACATAATTGTAAGTGAAGAGCTGAGTAACTTGTCCAAGAGACTTCGTAAAAAAGTGCCGTTCCTTCCCGTTCAGGAGACGTCAGGCCTGCTTATGTCAGCCACACACTCTCTCTTGCAACTGTCAAAAATCAATCCTTTTCTTTTTGACCATTCTGGAGGTATTCTAGTTTCATTGAATCTCTGGCTTTTATGAACTATAACTTTCAGAAGCATGGTATTAAGGAAATGGTCTTCAACCAAAATGCGAAATCTTGCTACCCCTCCGCCAGGGAAAGCATGTTGAACTTGCGCGGATGGCAAGGTCCACTGTCGACCGTGAGATATCAGCATGTTCTCGGTATAAACGATTAGAGCGTCATTTCTAGTACGTTTGGGATAGTATTACGCCTGATGTACTCCGTATCTCAAGGGGAGATAGGCTGGGTCGTGCTACATGGATGCTGCGCCAAGGCTATAGCCTACTTGACACATCAACTGCTAGTTTGAAACGAAACGAGAACTGTCACCCTTCAACAGGCGGCGTTGCGAACTGCTCTGCATGCCATGGTCTGTCTTGCTGTATTGTGGCATTGCCGGACTAATTAAAGCTCGACGGATCATGGTCTCAGCAAGAGCCGTCTTTACTCCCCGTTCAATACTACGGTAGTTCACAACCCTGACTGCTCGATGCTCAAGTCGACCATTGATGAAATCCAGCATCCGGTCATACTCCTGAAGCAACGGCGTTCTGCGAAACCAATAATTGAGGGGCCTGGGGGCGAGAATATGGCCAGTCGTCATCTCTTGCGGTGGGATATCACGGATATTCGAGCCGTGGAAGTCGGCTGAAACGGGTTCTTAAAACGGCTGCTGGGTGCAGGCAGCAGATTGGTTTGCAATGATACTATTTGCTATCTGTGCCTACAACCACGACTGCTGACAGCGGCTAATGCAGTGCACTATTTTTTTTTCTCACCAGTGAGTTGATTGAATCTGCAAGAGTGGCAGCCTTTACCGTTTTTAGGGGCCTCGGTATTCCGACCCCTCTTCTCAGAGCTCCGGACCATGCCCCCGAGATAAAGGTTGCGGTTTTTCTCCAACTAGACGGACCAAACACTCTGAATCTCAAATCAACACATTCCGCAACTACTAAAATGACAATCACCCCTAAAATGGCGGTCTATACGACCGATCATTCTGAAGGCGTCCTGAAAACACACCTCTGGCGCACTGCGGAGAATTCCGCCGCTTATCTGCTCCCCCACATCCGTCCCGCCATGAATATCCTTGACGTTGGATGCGGCCCTGGCTCGATCACTGCGGATTTGGCCCAGCGTGTGCCCCAAGGCTATGTCACGGCCATCGACTACGTGTCGGATCCTCTTGACGGTGCCCGTTCGCTGGCGGCCTCCCGCGGGGTGCACAACGTCACTTTCCAAGTCGGTGACATCCACTCCCTTGAATTCCCCGACAACACGTTCGATGTTGTCCATGTCCATCAAGTGCTGCAGCACATTGCCGATCCCGTTCAGGCGCTGCGCGAAATGCGCCGCGTGGTGAAGCCGGGTGGCATCGTGGCGGCCCGCGAATCCGCCGCTCTGAGCTGGTTTCCGGACAACGAGGGGATCTCGGCATGGGAAGAGCTCTCGGATCGAATGGGCCGAGCGCGGGGCGGGAACCCGCATCCAGGACGATATATTCATAGCTGGGCGGAGAAGGCCGGGTTCGCACGAGACCAGATCACAAGGAGTGCGGACTCGTGGTGTTTCAGCAGCGACGAGCAACGGGCGTACTGGGGTGGCTCAATGGGCCAGCGGGCAACGTCATCGGGATACTCGCAGGTGGCTGTCGGTGAAGGTTTTGCGACCCAGGAGACTCTGGATCTCATTGCCCAGGGGTGGAAACAATACCGCGAGGATGGGCAGGGATGGTTTGGGATCCTCCATGGAGAGATTCTATGCCGGAAGTAATATATATTCATAGACTAACTACCAACCTAGGTACATATATAACCACTTGCAGTAACCAGTAGTCACTAAGTAGATGACTCAATACATATAGTACTCAATACCAGACTTTAGAAGTGATAATCGTGAATCTCAATCGTCAGGCCATCAGGCACTTTGACCCTTTTCAGATCGTCGATATCCACATCATCTGGAGCGGAGACTCTGGGAATTGACGAGTTGGAGAATTAGCGAATGTCATTCTTTAAGGGAAATTAAAGAGAATAAAGAGAATCGTACTCAACGAAATGAATGGGCGGTACTGTCTGCGTGGAATCAAAGTCATCGGGGAAAACGAGCCCCTTGTCATGATATATTTCCCTCAAGCTATATATCTTGTTAATTTTTTCCTTCTTTCTTTCCTGGCTTTGAGAATTCTATACTTCTTCGCCAACTGCTTTCCATCGCCGAAGAGGCCGTGTGCCAGTTCGTTGTAGTATCTGATATCGAATGACTGATTAAGAATTACCGTATTAGTTCCATGGGTATCCATCTATTAGTATATGGAGATGGATTCTTACCAGATCTTTCGTCATGGTTCGTGATGTTGAAGTAAACAATGTTAATAGTTGATCAAAATTGATGGCAATCTTGGAGTGTGCAGCTCTGTATATATTTTTTGGCTCTGGAGATCCATTACGTAGGGAATCGAGCCATTGGCGAACATGATAGGATAGATTTTCTGTCAGAGGCAACGGTTCAATATCATGGTAGTATCTTCTAGAGATTTACTCATCGCCATAACCACGGGTTTGCTCTGAGTTCTTCTCACGCAGAGATGAGATCATCAATTCGGTTCGTTTGTGGATCACCCGAGTCGAACCACGGATGGGAATTCCCGCCTTGATGAGCCTTGCATGTTGTTTAATTGGGAAATCTGGATCTTTCTTTCTATCTCCAAAGGCGAAGAATGAGGGAGACTAATTGATCATGTGATAGGTATTTCTGGAGTCAGGTGTACCCTGGCATGTGACTACAATCCTTACCCAAACGGGCATCACACAAACATCCACCAATTTCTATTCTACAATACTCTATATTCATTCACAAAACAGTAACAAAGCAGTTACCTAGTTACTAGGTACTTACTGACTACTACTAGGTATGTATCTCCAAACTACTTCTGTGTCATTTCTGACTCAGGCCTCGTGTCACAGTCCCCAGATGACTCATGTAGACAAGGATCGACGTGGGTCAGTTACGAGGTCTCGCGGGCTTGCATCTTGCGCACCCGTCAGCCTCAGTTGTACTACTCTAGTGTTCTGGAGACTAGAAATCGATTATATATCAGGAGCTATGGAGATAGAAGGGGGAAGGGACATACCGACAAGAGTCGACACCTCTTTTTCTCTCAGCTAAACAATTGATTCCGAAGAGCCATGGCATCGTCTGAGGCTGTCTCATATGAAACTGCCCTGTGCATTCTCCCACCTTCACATCTCACCCACGATTTCGAGCGTCTGCGGGAACTATACGACAAGGCTTATGGCAGATGGCCTCCCCATCTCAATCTAATCTATCCATTTGTGGCACCAGAAAATCTCCCACGGGTGCTGGATTTGGTCCAATCGACCTTGGCGAGTAAGAAGATCGAGTTCTTTCCTTTATGTCTAGGAAAACCGGGGTTTTTCGATCACAAACGGAGCAGCACCGTATACACGACAGACGGGGAGAAGGAAAGATGCGACGTCTTGGATCAATTACGACGGGAAATTCTAGGGGAGCTCGGCCACAGCAGCAATTCACACCAGCTACATCTAACAATAGGGCAGACCGAAGCAGAAGATTCTTTACTGAGAGATTACCTGCTGGCCAAGGTAGCTTTGTTGCCGCAAGTTGAGTGGGAGGTGACCGAATTGGTGGTTTTGATCCGTGACCGGTCGCAAGGATTGGATACCTCTTCAAGTCCTATGCGAGTCTGGGCAACTCTGCCACTATCTGGCCAGGAGCCCTGGGTCAACAATCTGCCTACAACTGGGACCGAGAAAGCTCTCACAACGCTTTCCTCACCTACCGTTCAATCGAGGCCGACCTTTCGGTTTGTCGAAGGCAAAGGCACTTGGGAGGCATCCCTTTCGCCCTCACCAGGTACCGCGTTAGAAGAGCAAGGTAGCCACGTTGATTCTTCTTTAGTTACGCTCTCTTCATACAATGTGCTTGTTGATGCAATGCACCCTCCTTCACTCGACAGATACCCTCTGCTCCTGCAGAATCTGCTTTCAGATACTGCCGCAGCCGATATTCTTCTGTTACAGGAAGTATCAGATGACTTCCTATCTTACCTGCTGAAAGACGCTGAAATCCGCCGCCGCTACCCTTTCGCCACGCATGGGCCTCCCGACCAGGCAGACATGGCACCATTGCCAAGTCTGCGCAATACTGTTGTGCTCAGTAGATGGTCATTCTCTTGGGAATGGCTTCCTTTCGAAAAGCGCCACAAAGGCGCCGTGATCGTCAAATTTGATTATGTGGGAACATTACGCAACTCGACGTTCTTGCCTCTAGTGGTTGCCGGCGTCCATCTCTCTTGTGGTCTGATTGATAGCTCCATCGCAGCCAAAAAATCTCAATTAAGGGCCATTCTCAGGCATCTGGCTGACATCTTTCGCGATAATTCCTGCTTTTTGGCGGGTGACTTCAATATCACCACCTCATCGTATACACTGGACCTGGCGCTGAAGAGGAAGTCCATCACCGCGGAAGGCGCATCTAATCTGTCAGGTACTGAGGTTCTTCTTTCGCAGGAGGGCTTTTATGATTGCTATTATGTCAGTCGTGCTGCTGTGTCTTCGGAAATGTCTGATTGCTCTCATGCCCGTCAGGAGTATCAAAAACTGGGTACATTATATGAAGGAGAAGAAGGTGCAACATACGATCCAACCCATAATCATCTTGCTACCCAGATTGCTGGCAAGAGCTTTCATAGTCGACCACAGAGGTATGATCGGATTTTAGTCAAGGGCGACAGGTCAAATGTTCTCCGTTTCAACATGTTCGGATTCCCTGTTGGAGACGCCGGTGTTGCCAGTGATCACTGGGGAATTAGAGCGGTGCTCACATTGGACTCCCAGAGTGCCGAACCAGAAAGAAAAATACCACTTATCGAAGCTGCAAGAGCACCAAAAGGTCTTGGTGATGTCAATCGGCTTAAAGAGTGTCTACATGCGCGGCAGATGTTTCCCTCTCCCGAGGAGATGAGCCAACGCACAGAGGCCATTGAGCTGGTGACAAATGTGATAAACCACCAGGAGGACTCTCCCGCCGCGCCTAGATTGAACATCTCTTTCGTCGTGGTCCCGGTTGGTTCATATTGGTTGGGAGTCTGGGATGCCGCATCCGACCTCGATCTTCTGGTCATCGGACAGATCAGTCCTCGTGTATTCTTTGCCCTAACGACACCGAAACTGAGGAGAGCTGCAGATCACGGAATCAAGATTTTGAGAAAAGTACGGGCGGCATCGGGGACGATGCTGGAGCTGGAAGTCTGTGGTGTACAGCTCGATCTGCAGTACTGTGCTGCAACACGTATCGTTGAAAGGTATGGGGCGAAGGTCGACTGTCTACATGTAACCATACTGATGTCGATTCCACAGCTGGCCACAAGCGCTCGAACTCCCACCCACTGATTCTATTTTCGATCTCCCCATGCAATCACTGATTAAACTCAACGCCCTCCGAGATACGCACTACCTTGAACGCACCATTCCGGATCTCGCTGCGTTCCGTCTTGCCTACCGGTCCATCAAAACTTGGGCTCAGCAACGAGGACTATACTCTGCAAAACTAGGTTATTTGGGAGGGGTTCATATAGTTTCGCTCCTCGCGCGCATTTGCAAACTCGCCTTTCGCACAGTGGGCCTCACATCAGCCGCAGATATTATCTGCACGTTTTTCCAGCAGTATGCACAGTTTAACTGGAAGAAGGACGTGGTCTACGATCCAACATTCTACCAGAATGGATCTCGATATATGCGTTCATTCAGGGAGCCGCTGGTGATCCTCAGTCTCCATGCACCGAGAGTGAACGTCGCCCGTGCCGCTTCCGTCCCATCGGCGAGGACGCTAGAACAAGAGTTCGCCCGGGCAAATAGGCTGCTTTCGAGTCCTGGGGCTTCCTGGAAGGGGCTGATTGATTCCACTGCTTACGTCAGTGGCGTGGATGAATTCCAGAAATCGTACGCCAGCTATGTGAAGGTTGATGTGCAGTACTGGGGCGGGGCAGCCACAAAGGGGCGAGCGCTCATCGGGTGGTTGGAATGGCGATGTGTCTCGCTTCTAGTTGGTATGTAATGTCTTATTCTACTTTTATTTGGTTTTCTTTCACTGACACAAGCAAAGACATCCATCGCAAATTCCCCGACATCCTTGCTCGAATCTGGCCTGCGCGGTTTACCCAGATACATGAAAATGAAGACAGCGACAAGGAGTACCAGGGCTGTTACCTGATCGGACTAGCCAAGGGAGACGTATCTACCACTAGCACGGGACCCATGACCGAGCCAGACAAGCAATCCGCGCAGATCTCCCTTTTAGCCATCCTGAGGACGTTCGCAGAGGAAATCCGTGCTGACGAAAAGTACTTTGACGCCTCCTCATGCTGGGTGGACGTCACTCTGGCAAAGGGGTCCGAGGTGGGTGATCTTCGGATTGATGATCGCCACTGGGGATCCTACGGCGGTGAGGATGACGAGGAAGAAGAGGAGGAGGAGGAGGAGGAAGACCAGTTCCATGATGATGGTGGTGATGATGATGAGAGTCACGAATCTCTTCCCGTGCCAAAGAGAGGAAGTTTGCCATCCAGAAAGTCAGTGGGTGGTGGGCCGAAGCTGCGTCCGGCAGGGGAAATTCTAAGCCGGCTACGATGGGATCCGAACCTGGACACGGCGGATTACATCGTCGGCTACGAGGACCGGTTTCTAGGCGAGCAAGAGATGGGTGTCGACCAGTGGAAGGCGGAATTGACGGATGAAGCGTTTATCCCTATGCATCGGATCCTGTACTTTAAACGCAAGGCAGATGGGGTGAGGGTCTGGGACCGAGAGACGCGGACAGACCTGCTGTCTAAACAAGCTGAACAAGAAGGAACATGTATGTTTCAAATGAGATGAATATTATTATACAGGTCTAGTGAAGAACTAGGTACCCTCCAACTTAGGTATGAATACCATCACCAGCCGAACTCGTCTGGCGGCGGTGGGGGAGGTTCAAACGGAGGAGGTTCGAATGGAGGAGGCTCAAACGGAGGAGGCTCAAACGGAGGAGGAGGGGGAGGACCGTCGTCATGGTCATCTAACAAGTCAGTATATGGAGAAAAGTCATAATAGAAGATCATGATCAACCCACTCAGTTCATGTTCCAAGAGGGCACCACCCACAGCCCCCAAGGCCACACCCGCCGCACCCGCCGCAAACATCTTGCCCATCCCGATGGATCTCTTCTGCGGCTGCTCATCCTGTCCACGCTGGTAATAGTCGTATCCTCCTTGTGGTGGTGGTGGTGGTGGTGCATCACGATAATATCCTCTCCCACCGTCCATGGGGGGGACAGGAGGAGGCATACCGCGGTCGAACTGGGTTGGAGGGTACGGATTCTCCCATTGCGATCTGCCCGTGGCTTCTTCTACCCAGAAGGCGCGTTGGTTGTTTGCATCCCATTCCTGATACCAACCAGGTGGAAGCGGAGGAGGGGGACCAGGAGGGGGAGCAGGGCCCGGGGGTCTTTGGGGAGGACCTCTGGGAGGAGGGCCTCGAGGACCGCCATAACCACCGGGACCTCCGTAGGCATAGGGAGGTTCGCCGTATGGAGGGCCTCCGTAGGGCGGACGGTTATACGCCATGAATTGAAAGTCTGGAAAAAGTACTATAGAGTGTTATTCTATCCAAGAGAGACGAAGACGTGCTTTTTACATTCTCTTATCTATTTAACGACTCCCTACTTTTGTACTTTGTACCCCTACTCCACGTCAAATGGTTTCACTCTAACACCGTCGATTGTTCTCCATAGCTGTTTATATTCCGTAGCTTCCGGTCCATTTTGCGCTTGGCAAAGGCTCCACCGGGGATGATTCTTGTCGGGGCACCAGGCAGAAGTGAATTTGCGTACAGCAGGAATAATACCTACTGTACTACAGATGTCTTGACCGGAGTAAGCCCGTTGCAGAGGGCCAAGGAATAGGGGTGGTTCATTACTATGTATTAGTACCTAGTCATTCTTAGAATCCGCAGTCAGTAACTAATAAATCGTTAGTTCGGACATATGTAGTATGAGCAGATCCTAAGAGACTTTGCCACGTGTGTCGTGGATAATAATGGCTAACATCGTTTTTATTTGGCTCTTGTACGGAGTCCTCTGTATACATTTAGTCGGGAGAATAGTCAATGATTGTCTGCTCGCAGCGCCCCTCAGTGCCCCGTAAACCCCCACAGTGGGAATAAGGAGGTGATCCAATCTCATGTAGTACAAAGGGGGATAATGGTATGGTATTGATTTCCAATTTGGATGCGGGTTTAATTGACCTGTGCAGAAAAAGGAGTGACATCTATACAAATATTTGATTTCAGAGTAAAATCCCAGTCCCTCTCCCCCCCCACACCCCCCAAAAAAAAGAATTGATGCTGCTTCTTCTTGTCGATTACGTAGAATGCCCTCGACGGAGGGTGTCATCGGCAGTGAGGAATTCCTATTATTAAGACGCAAAACTACTAGCATCGCTGGTACTGGGGTAATAGAAGGCACCGACACTGGTGATGATTAGAGAGAACCGAAAAAAAGAAGAAAGGATACCAGGCAAGCTTACGCGATAATCACATATGCGGCGATGAGCAAGGCGCCTTCGAGATAGTTGCTCCTGCCGTCGAGCACCAGGAAATTGACGACAAAGGCTGTCACAAACAGACAGATGGTCTCGAAGAGGGTGAAGTACAGGGACATGTCTTTGTCCATGAACCAGCCGAGAAGGACGACAAAGGGGGTCACGAAGATGGCTGAGTCAATTAGCATGAACTAAATTAGTTAAGATGCTGCTGGAGAAAATTTACCGATTTGGATACTACTTCCAACCGAAACACCAATGGCCAGATCCATTTTGTTTTTGGCGGCCACACTGACGGCGGTGACGTGCTCGGCTGCATTGCCCACGATCGGCAGGATAATCAATCCGATGAAGGTCTGGCTGACATTGGAGCTGGCAATCATTGCGGGGATGTTGTCCACGAGAAACTCGGCACAGACTGCCACCAAAGCGGTTGACACCAGGAGCAGAACCACGGCGGCTGTGCGTGACATCTCTGGCTCGACGATTTCTTCGGCATCGGGCTCCAGAGCTACAGAGTCTGCCGTACGTGGCATGCGAGCAGCGGTGCGAGCGAACTGGACTGCATTGCCGATGCCTGGCTGTCGGTTCATGCGCGGTGGAAGAGAACTGGCACGTCGGACACCCGGTATGCCTTGCGGATAAGCCTGGGAAACACGAGGGTCCGTAGACTGGGCCGAAAATACCGTGTTCGACAGCAGGGATGGGAAGGTAGGACGGAAGGATGGCAGTTTCTTCGGAACTTCGTTAGCAGCACCTGCAGCCTGGTCATCTCCGGCAGCCCGATGTTCCACGGACGGTTCAGATTGATATGACAGTAGGGGCGGACGTTGAGGCTGGTCCTGGGATGCCGCTGTGTTTTGGTCTTCGGCCCTGGCAGCTGCACGACGCTTGTTGCTCTTCTTGGAATGCTTTTTGGCCTTACGATCCGACTTGTTGCTCTGCACGGGGGCAAGCTCCTGTCCAAAGTCCCTGGTTCGAGGTCCATCATCATCAGCATCGTAGCGGGCTTCATCGACGATGGCGCACGAAGCAGCTACATCTGCATTGCTAGCGGCAGACCCGCCCGCGGAGATAGCGGCGATGCTCTTCTTGCGCACAGACTGTCTAGACGAGGTACCCTTGGAGCTGGTGCTGGACTTGCGGTGTCTGCGATATTTCATCGCCCGCTTGATGCGCTTGGCTGTAGTCCAGGAGGTGGACGAGTCATCCGTATCATCGTCGCTGCTGGTGGACGAGTCGGACGAACTGTTCATAAAATCCGCAAGAACGCCAGGATGCGACTCCTCATCGATGATCTGTTTAGGAATGCTTGCATAAAGATACGAGTGGGACTTGAGCTGGAATAAGATGTAGAGAATGTACACGAGTAGCAGGACCTTTTACGAATCAGTCGAAAATAAAATGAAAAAAAATAAAAATAAAAAATAACAGCAGACATCACTTACCACACTGGTACCGCGGCTGACTTTCAAGGTGTACTTGTTGGCGTTTGTATCGTCTGCCCAGGATGCGTGGAAAGCAGTCGGCAACAGCAGACTGGTGACACTCAAACTAAGCAGACAAGCGCTCATCTGGGTAACAGTACTATTGTAAATCTGTTCTCGGAAACGAAGACCACCTAGCAGGAAGGCCATCCCAAGAATCAAGAGCAAGTTGGCCAGGATGGAGCCCAGCAGAGAGGCTTGGACGATTCTGATTTCATCCTTGACGAGAGCAATGATGAAGATGATCAATTCAACCGCATTGCCGAAGGTGACGTTGATCAACGCTCCCACGGTGTCACCAAGACGGCTTGCAACACACTCGGTGGCATGACTCAATAGCCCTGCCAAGGGAATAATAGCGATTGCGTTCATGGCAAAGATGATGGCCGGGCTCAAGCCCACCGCCTCGGCGGCAATGCCCACGGGCACAAAGACCAACAGCACATTGACCCAGCTATGGAACAGCGCATCCTTGGTATGTTCCAGGAACCGTACGCAGCCGTTCCTCATGCGGGTGCCGAGGCCCTGCTCTTGCTGCTCCTTCTGTGTGGTATCCGAACCCGACTGAGGAGCCGGGTCCCTACTTTTCTCCTTCACTTGAGCATCGTGCTGGGCAGGGGCAGGTTCCTCCGGGAGCTGCGCAACAGGTCGTTTGCTCGGACCGTCAGTTGCAACACTATTGCTTGATGCGTGAGCTTTCGCCCACGAGTGAATCCGGTCTAAAAAATAATAAAAAAAAAAAACAGAGTCAATATGTCAGTGTCAAAAGGACTGGTAGGAATAGAACACAGCCGGATTCAGCAGCAACTCACGCATGTATCAGAAGAAGGGACTGCTGGGCAGAGCGTGTAGCCACAAAAAGGCTGGAAAGGGGGAAGCGAGAGGGAAAAAACAGCGAGCTCCCCTGGAATTGAGAAAACGAGAAAACGCCCAGATAAAGGGAATCGTCTAGGCGCGAAATTCAGTGCTTGGCACTCGGCGCGGACAATTTGCTGATGATGACTGCCAAGGGTGCCGATCGCTGGGACACTCCAGGCGAATGGCGCAGCACCGAACTGGCACCTATCGGGACGTGAGGGATCAGATAATCAGAAAGTAACTGAGCCTTGCCTTGCCTTGCCACCGCCCTATCCTATCGCCTTCGTTCCCCAACAGAAAGAAAGAGAGAAACAGGGCGATGCAGCTGAAAAGAATCAGCGACGTCATTTGGATGAACACGTAACGTGCAATGCGCTAGCCGTATGGGGATTAGTGGAAAGCAGGTCGCGCTGTTTTCTGCATCCGGAAATTCGATGCCTGAGGCTGAAAGGCCTTACTGAGTCAACAGAAGTATTCAGAAGAAACAATCTGTCTACGTTTCTGCTCTTAATTATTTGGACTTGTTGATAAACAGTATTCTTGACTATTTAAAATGATCAGGTAGTCTTTATCAGACCTACAGTAAACATTCTAGACGTACTGATATAGGCAATTTCCGCACTTTTCTTATCCAGGCAACAGATATTAGTGACTCACAGTTATCTACCATCTAATCTAGACAGACAAGACAGGTCCTGATAAATGCAATGGAGATTCCCACAGACTGGATCAAGCCCATCTATCAAATATTACAACGGCAGGACCATGGCTGCTGTCGTGATCAAAACCGACGATCTCACCGCCCCCGAGATCCAGTCTCTTCTTTCCCTCCACGCCAGCGAACTCCAGAGCAAGACTGCTCCAGACAGCTGCCATGTGATGAACCTGCTAGCCCTGCAACATGAAGATGTCACTGTCTTCTCTGCCTGGAATGCGAACGAAGACGAGCTCCTCGGGTGCGGAGCCTTGAAGCAGCTTTCCACGACCCACGGCGAGATCAAGTCGATGAGGACGGCGGCAGACCACCAGCGGAAAGGCGTGGCGAAGGCGATGGTCCAGCATCTCGTTCAGCAGGCCAGACTACGTGGATATACACAGTTGAGTCTCGAGACGGGCAGTAACGCTACCTTTGCGGGGGCTCGTGCCTTGTACCTGAGTCAGGGATTTCGAGTCTGTGGGCCATTCAATAACTACAAATTGGACCCGAACAGCACTTACATGACGATGCAAATCGTTATTGAGCAAGATAGTCTCTTGGCTGTTCGTTTACATTGATCAATTACTCAATCACGCAATGGCCTCATGGTTCTGTTCAGGAGTAAGCTGCAGAAATCACCCGTTCAACAGCCCTTCTTATCTTCTTACGACCTGGGAAAGAAAGCAGTAACCAGTGGATGAACTGCGTGAAAGAATAGTCAATCCTTCAAGGAGAATCTTGCTCGCTTCTCATTCCTTCAATTGACTCGCGGTGGGTCTTCAGCGTGTGGCGTGGCGCTATCCAAAGAAACTATTACTTTTACTAACCTTTTCAACTCGTGGAGTTCTCTAGGTATCGATGAACTGGGTGGCATTGGAAAAGTATGTTAATCCTATATACTTCGTTCGGTGGGCAACAGAGATGATCCGAACTGGACTCCGAGGCAATGGAACGAGTATATATGTGAAGAGAGGATATGATTAGCATCGCACATCTCTTTTCTTTTCCCTTCAATCATCCATCATGGGGCTGTTCAAAACGCTCATTTTTGCTGCCCTGGCGCAGTCCTCCCTTGTGGCGGCCGCCGACATCGTGACAATCTACTCCTCCACGACCGTCACCGATGCGTGCATTACCGCCCCGGCCACCACCGTGGTCAATAAGCGCGAACTTCCCCTGTATGAATCATTGCACCCGAAGATCATCGGGCGACAGCCAATTGGAGGCCAAACGACAGTGATGATAGAGATTACTGTGACCGAATGCGCCTCGAGCACTGTCTCGCTTTCCAGCTCCATTGCGCCGACATCTGCCGGACGTATTTCCAGCAGTATCCCTTCGAGCAGTGCCCAGTCTGCCAGCCCAGATACCTCCAGCAGCCTCATCCCCTCTGGCCGGCCTATCCCACCCAGCGCTATCCCGTCCAATGCTGTTTCTTCTACAGGAAGTCTGGTACGCTCTAGCAGTGTATCTTCGGCATTTTCTAGTCTTCCCTCTCCACTAGGCTCTGTTCCCTCAGCCAGTTCTATACGGGCCATCAGTGTGCCATCCAGTGCTGTTCCTTCTAGCGTGGCTCCTTCTCGTCGCCCTACCCATTCCACCGGCTTCCCCTTCAGCAGGCCTAATCCGTCTATCAGTCTTCCCCCTTCTAGCAGCTTCCCATTCACCCGGCCTATCCCATCTAACAGTGTAGCCTCTGATCGCCCTGTCCCTTCTGGCACCTCTCCATCCAGAGTTATCCCTTCGGGACCTGTTTGGCCAGGACATGCACACTCATCCCATGGTGGAATTCCATCTAGGAGCAATAATTGCCGACCAACTCGTTCCACCCTCCTAACCACTTTTTCGACTACTCAATCGACCCAGTCCACACATGTCGAAACAATTTCAACTTCGGTCTCCGAGCCGAATCCTGAAAAGGGAACAGATACCATTACTACCAGCGTACCAACATCTACTACCACCGGTAGTGTGGTCACAGTCACTCTTACATCGACTTACGTCGTACCCTGTTCAACCGGCTTAGAAAGATCAACTGTGATCGTCACGGCTACCTATTGCGGCTGTACTGAGACTCCCTTCCCGACTATTCCCATGGTCACATATACCACGACGGTTCCTGGAAACTGGGGATTCACTGCCCCAGTGGTGGTGGTTGTGCCTGCTTCAACGATAACTGGACTGGGTGCGCCTACTGCCTCTGGCTCTGGCTCTGGCTCGTCTGGCTCATCGTCTGGCTCTGGCTACTCTGGCTCGGGACCCTCCAGTTCTACTTCCTCTACCACGGGACAATCGGCCGTGACGGGCACGCCACAGGACGGCTCAACCACCCAGACACCGAGCTCTACAAGTTCATCCACGACTGGTACTACGTCAGCGCCAACGTCGGTGTTCACCGGTGCCGCATCCCAAATCTCTGAGTCCATCTTCATGTGCGGTGTTTTCTCTGTGTTGGGAAGCCTGTTGATGTTCTTTTAGCTATTTCACGACTGATGCTTTACTTTTTACATAGTTCTAATGGCCTTACACCCTTCAAACATAATGTATGTCATTTTCAGAGCTACATCTGTATTCCCGTAGGTAGAATTGCAGTACAGCTTACAAACTATTGTACTCACTTGATATCAATCCTGTTCTTCCGGGGTAAACTTGCCGGGCCCGACGAGGTACGCGCGGAAATGATGCTGAGCGCCGAGTCGATCGATCTCTGCCGATTCCTCGGGGGCCAACGTGAACTCGGTCGTCTGCAGGTACCCTTCCAGCCGGCTGGGCTTGGAGGAAGTGGTCACGAGGGCGATGCCCTTGTCCATCTGCCATCGCAGAAGGATATTGTCTTCAGTGACGCCGTATTTGGCGGCAAGGGTTGCGATGTACCCGTCGACGGGCCCACCTGTTGCCTTGCGCAGCGATGTCAGAGGCCCATAGGCGACGGTGGCGATCCCGTGCTTGTTCATCAGCTCGGTGAGCAACGGACGCTGTAGGTATGGATGCCGTTCGATCTGGTTGACGGCGGGGACGGTCTTGCATGTCTTCAGGATCACCTCGAGTTCTTTCGGCCGAAAGTTGGAGACGCCGATGGAGCGCGCCAGACCCTGGGACTGGAGCTGTTCCATCTGCACCCAGGCGGCGCTGATCTCGTCTGCCGACTTGAAGTTGAATGGTGTGTGGATCAGGTACAGGTCCACGTAGTCCAGTTGCAATGCTTTCAGGCTTGCCGCAAGAGCAGCGGGCAGGTCGTGTGTCCCTTTCATGCACTTGGTCGTTACGAAAAGGTCTGAGCGCGGGATGCCTTTCTCTGCTTCGACTTCCTTGATTGCCACGCCCAGCTCCTGCTCCGTGCCGTAGGCTGGAAATTTAGTCTGAGAAGTTACATTCGGGGCAGGAAAGAAACTTACCATCGGCGCAGTCTAGGTGGGTGAACCCGATACCGATGGCTGATTTGATGGTATCAACAAGGGCTCGGTTCAATGCTGGATCCCCGCGTTTAGACCAGGAAGTTCCCATGCCAAACGCCAGCTGGGGAACGCTTCTCCCGCCGATTGTGATCCTGGGCATCTTCAAGGCCATTTTGCTGGAAGTACAAGACTGATGGTAGGAATGTGAGAAGGTTGTAAAGATTCGACCTCACTGGACTTTCACAACACAGATAAACTAGTAGGAGATACCGCGCCATCGTGCGGGGTTATCACGATGCTGACTAATTTCAATTCCGACCAGGTTTCGAGGTTTATCTATCAAACGATGCCGGTATTGTCGACGAGGCATTATTTTGACTGTTCTAACTTTGCAATGCAACCATCGTTGCCCTCTGCGTTGGTGCAACAACAAGCGCTGCCCTGGCTATCACTCTGGTTAGCGATGGTCAGCCAACCTCCCACCTTGGCCTGTGTGGCGGAAAGAACCAAAATATCAGCGAGACATCAAGGCAGAGATCAATCCGCCAGAATTGCTGCCAGCTGCAGAACTGAAGAAAGAAGATGAGGTTATCCAGAAGACAGTCAGCAGGCCAGGCCATCCCGCTAGTCCCAATATGGATACACAACAGGTCTAACCATATTGGTTCTGCCACACTCCACCGCCTCCTACATTCATCGCCTTTTCTTTTGATAAGAAAAAGACTCTTTATCACTCTTTATCACTCTTTATCACTCTTTATCACTCTTTATCACTCTTTATCACTCCTTTATCACTTATCTATCACTTCCATGATGTGCTTGGCAGGCGTCGGAGGTGAGCGACTCGGTTGGGAGCTGGCGGCCTGGTATATCTAGGCGATGTTGCTGGGGTATGGCTATGGATTAGGCACACGCAGAAGATGATGGCTGCTCGAGACGAAAAAAATGACGGCGAGATGACTGCCATGGAGGAGAGGGAGGTTGTTGTGGACTGGGAGGAGGCCGAGGAGCGCAAGCTGGTACTCAAGTGAGTTTCTTTTAGTATTTTTCAGATGGATGGACAGAAGCTGATTCAATGGCCATTAGAGTCGACTTATACCTCCTGCCGCTGCTCCTCCTCGCCTTCTTCTTCCTCTGCCTGGACCGCACCAACATCAGCAACGCACTGACGGACAACTTCACCACTGATTTGGGCATTACCACCGCGCAGGCGACGCTGGGCAACCAGCTGCAGCAGGCGGGGATTGTCATCTTCGAACTGCCGGCGAACCTGGTCCTCGCCCGCGTGGGCGCCCACCGCTGGCTTGTCTTCCTCATGCTGGCCTGGGGCTGCGTCGCGACCTTCCAATGCTTCATCCAGAACCGCGCGCAGTACTATGCCACCCGGTTTCTGCTGGGCGCCTTTGAAGGCGGCTTCATCCCTGGCGCCATGTACCTGCTGGGCCAGTATCACCCACGGTCGGCGCAGTCCACCCGTTTTGCCGTCTTCTATTACGGAAACTAGATTGCCTCGGGCACCAGCGCGCTGATTGCCGCCGGGGTGCTGACCCTCGACGGGGTGCGTGGCTGGTCTGGCTGGCGCTGGCTCTTCTTGAGTTAGTTTCCTTGATCGATTTTCGCCTGACATTCATAAAAAAACTAATATCTGTCAGTCGACGGCTCCATGACGCTGGCTTTTGCCTTGATCTTACTCGCGCTGCTTCCCGGAGCCCCCCCTGACACCCGGCCTGTCCACGGTCTTTTCAGCCTGTTTGACGAGCGAGAACGTCACATCCTGCAGTCGCGGGTGCAGCTGGAAAACCCGCCACGGATGGAAAATCCCTCGGTCAGCGCCTGGCTCCAGGCCCTGGCCTCCCCGCGGCTGTAGATGCATTTTGCCATCAACTTCTTCGGGGTGATGCCCGCCGGTGGGTTGGTGCTCTTTGGTCCGACCATCGTTAAGGAGCTGGGCTTCAGCACTAGCAAAGCCAACGCCCTCGTTGCTGTCGGATACTACGCCGCCGTCCCATTGGCCCTGTCGCTGGGCTTCTTCGCCAGCCGCACCCGCCTCAACGGGATCGCCTCCCTGATCCCATTTGCCTGGTCGTGTTTCTTTGTTGGACTTTTCTACCATTTCGACATCACCCGCTCGTCATCAACTTCAGATTCCGGCACCCTCTACGCCCTCTTCACCCTCGTTCTGGCCGCCATGCTGATCGGTCAACCCGTGAATAATGCCTGGTGCAGTAAGAACGCCACCAACGATCTCGAACGCAGCGCAGGGCTCGCCCTGTGCGTCATCAGTAGCAACCTGGCCGGCCTCGTCGGCCAACGCATCTTTCCCGCCAGCGATGCGCCCGAGTATCGCCCGGGTCTGGTTGCTGCCATCTGTCTTTACGTAGCTGCCATCTTGGTTGTCCTGGCGCAGATGGTGCAATATGCTTGGTGCAACCGTCGGGCATCCAATGCCCTGGCTCAATGGCAGTTTGTTTTGTAAACTAGTAATGGTAGCAATAGCATATCTAGGTAACTAATAGTTCTAATCACACTGTCTTTATATATATTGTCTTTACCACATTACATATCATCAACAAACATAATGTATATCGTATATATTCAAGGCTCCCTAATATTAAATGAATTCATCATATTCATTATTTAATTATTCTTTAACATCACCAATTCATTTAGTTCTAAAAGAATTTGCTATGGGATTTCACGGGGCACTCGACTTACACTGCTGTACTTGACATCAACTCCCCACAGGTACTCCAGACTCACTACTCACTACCTACTGGATCTTACTATAGCCAATGGAGAGAAATATAAAGAAGCACATAATACTCCGTACAACAGGCCGATAGCGCGATAGATCCCTTGAATTCGCCATCGCTGTGTGGAGACGCTCACCCCCGACTCCTACGCCCACCTCCGACGAACTACGAAGCTGCGCCGGAGGGATCTAGTCCTGCATAGATTCAGCCATAATCCTCAGATCTCCCGCTTGAAGCTTGGAAAAAACTAGCTGCGAAGAAGAAGAAGAAAATGTCGACAGACCCCTCTCGGCCAAACATCGTGCTGATCCTGGCCGACAACCTCGGCTGGGGCGAGCTGGGCTGCTATGGCGGAGGAGCGCTGCGCGGGGCGGCGACGCCCAACATTGACCGGCTGGCGAGCCAAGGCCTTCTGCTGCACAACTTCAACGTGGAGAGTGACTGCGTGCCGACGCGCTCGGCGCTGATGACAGGGCGCCACCCTATCCGGACAGGGTGCCGGCAGTCGGTGCCCCCGGGGTTCCCGCAGGGGTTGACGCCGTGGGAGCGCACGCTGGCCGAGGAGCTGCGCGAGACGGCGGGGTACCAGACGGCTCACCATGGGAAATGGCACCTGGGCGATATCGAGGGCAGGTATCCGAGTGACCGCGGGTTCGACGAGTGGTACGGCATCCCGCGCACGACGGACGAGACGCAGTTCACCAGCTCGCCCGGGTTCTCGCCCGAGATCGCCGAGCTGCCGTATATCATGCAGGGGCGGACGGGCGAGCCCTCGACCAACGTGTGCGTGTACGATCTGGAGCAGCGGCGGCTGATTGACGAAACGCTGGTGCGCAAGTCCAAGGACTGGTTGGCCCGCGCGACGGCCACGGGCCGCCCCTTCTTCCTCTACCACCCGTTGGTGCATCTGCACTTCCCGACGCTGCCGCACGGGGATTTTGCCGGCACGACGGGCCACGGCGACTTTGCCGACTCGATGGCGGAGATGGACCACCGCGTCGGCGAGCTGCTGGCCTTCCTCGACGAGCAAAACGGAGACGAGGACGTGCGCAACAACACGGTGGTCATCTTCGCGTCGGATAACGGCCCAGAGTTCCGCGAGCCGTACCGCGGCACCGCAGGCCCGTGGACAGGCACGTACCACACCGCCATGGAGGGCAGCCTGCGCGTGCCGTTCATCATCCGCTGGCCGGGGCGGGTGCCCGCGGGGATCACCTCCAACGAGCTCGTGCACGTCACAGACATCTTCACCACCCTACTGCACGTCGCGGGCACGGTCCTGCCGACCGACCGCCCCATCGACGGCGTCAACCAGCTGCCCTTCTTCCTGAACCCAACGGGGGTGAAGTCGCCTCGCGACGGCTTCCTCTTCTACATCAAGAAGGAGCTCGTCGCCATCAAATGGCGCGACTGGAAGCTGCATTTCATCTGGTCGCCGGCAGTCAACGAGTCAAAGGGCAAGCTCGAAAGCCCCTACCTGTTCAACGTTGTGCGCGATCCTAAGGAGGAGTCGAACGTCATGGCCGTCAACACCTGGGTGCTGCAGCCTATCCTGCGCCTGCGCGCCGCCTTTCTGCGCAGTCTCGCCGGCGACCCGGCCCCGCGAGACGAGCTCAAGGAGGACTGGGATTTGTGAGAAAGAGGAATATAATCGCTGGTAGTTGATTCAGAACAATGTGTCCATGTGTGCCGCGGCGTATTCTGTAGACAGTAGTTCTTGCAAATCGTCTGGCCAAGCGGGAGACAGATCGGCTAGGAAGCTTTGAAACGGCTCAATGGGCGCCAGATGGCTGTTGCTGCCGCTGCCGCTGCCGCTGCCGTCAGTCATTCGATTTTCGAGGTGAATGATATTGCCTGGCGTCGTGACCCGATGGTTGATCTGGTCAAACACGTCGCGGCAGTTCTTCCCAGGGGGATACCGCTCCACCATGCCCCAGAGCACGGCGGAACAGGAGGCGGTGGCGGCGGCGAGGTTGCCTGCGGGAAATGTGTCGACAAGTCTGGGGATCTTGTACATGCAGTAGAGAATGGCTGTGCCTGCAAAGAAAAAGCTTGTGGATAGTCCGCCAGTAGAATCGCAGGGTGCCCTCCTGGAAGGCCTCACGGTAGCAGAACACACTGTTGATGGCACTCTGGGTGAGTAACGCCGCCTCCTCCAGCGAGAGCGTAGGCTGGAACCGGTTCGGTGAGTGCAGGAGAACGTTGATGTTGGTGTAGAAGCCGGCGAAGATGTGCCGGTGCCCGGTGCGGGGAGAGTCTGGTCGCTCACAGTGCCACTGCCGCACACGCTCCAGCATATCTGCCTTCCACGCGGCAAAGTCGAACAAGTATCCTCGGGGCACGGCCTGGAAGAGCCTGGCATGGATCTCTGCTTCGAGCCGACGCCCGCGGATAATCCAGACGGCCACGCGGGTCGCCAGAGTCTGCTCCTCTGTCACCGCGGGTCCCTCGTCGATGCTCATGTAGTCGGTCGAGATGGCTTCGTCCGGGATGGAGCACGGCCGCCCGAGCACGGCACAGATGTTGAGCTCGAGCGAGTACGCAGCCCAGAACAGGCGTCGACGCCGGTCCAGCTCTGCGCTGTCCATGCCAGGCAACTGGCAGGGGGTTTCATGCAGACCGAGATCAACAGCAAGGCGCGTGGCCAGCCCGACAACATGCGACGCCCCGCTAGACTTTGGATGTAGCGAGACGTATTGCGCCAGCAGCAGCAGGGCTTCCATGTGGTACAGGTCGCCCGTGAAGATGGCCATAGGTCGGTGATCGATAATTCTGATTGCCGAGACCAGCAGCTGGTCGGACATCAGATACGGGGTTGACGTGTCCCGTTTCACGAGCAGCAGCACACCGATCGCCAGTACCATGTAGTATCGCAGGAAGCGGTGTTCAGCGCCCTCGGGCACAGCGTTGTGGTAGTCTTTGAGCATCGGCTGGCAATACACCTCGTCCAGATCCACCTGGAAGCTCGCCCGCTGCAGAATAGGGAGGAACCAGTCGCTGTGGTCGAAGAAGGTGTTTACTAGCCGCTCGGCGCTGGATCGCGGCGGCAGCTGGTTGACAGCCGTGGGGAACAGCAGCATTGTGTCGATTGGTTCGTACCACTCGGCATTGTGTGTAGCAGCGACGCCATTCTGCAGAGCTTCGATCTCGGTGCCAATTTCCAGTAGCAGTAGCCGGGTCAGGCCCAGACCGCATCCAGCACCCAGATAGCGAGGAAACGAGGTCGCCGAGAGTGAGGCAAACGCCGCTTGCTGGAGCACTTTGTCTGCCTTGTCTGCTGCCTTGTCTGCTGCCTTATCCGCTGCCCTGTCTGTTGCCCTGTCTGTTGCCTCCGGGGTGACAGACTGTCCCTGAGTGGGAGTATCAGCACTGATCCCGTTGTCTTCAAGCACCTTCTCGAGCAAGGCAACCCGGTCTTCTAGACTCTGGAGATAGCTAGCGATGGCAGTCGGTCAGTCCATCGTCAACAGTTCTGCTGGTTCCTACTCCTCCCAGGAATCCAACCTACCTCCGCGGGGCGATCCGTCCTGTCACTGTATCGAAACCAACACAGTCAACGCCTGCTCGTTTGCAATTTGAACACGCTCTAGATAGTTAGCCAGACGAACGGATTATCAGCATCACCTCAATACGGCTTGAGCCGAGTTAGAAACAAGAGAAAGACTCACGGGAGTTGCTGGTCGCACCGCTGCTTGCGACTCTTGCAGCGCGTGCAGGCAGTGACGTTGCCACGACGCACATCGACCCGGGGCATTGGATCGCCGCTTCTGCCCGGTCGGCCGATGATACAGCGTCAACTTCAATTGACGATGGTTGAGGAGAAAAGAATCCGTTGCACCGGCTGGACTGATCCTTTGGCACGTGATGACACCCGTGTTGCGGCCTCAGGCTGCAATGGGACTGCCATACCGTATCACATGACACGGATCGACGCCCGTCATGTGATCTGCTCCTTCCGAATCGGTCAGCCCTACTGGGCGCCTGACAGGACGGAAGTCTTGGCATCAGCTGCCCATCCAAGAATAGAAACCGCAGCTGGTGATTGGCCACCCGCCGGTTCTAAGGCATCCACATTTTCCTCCCTTCCCAAGGGAAGAAAGATGCCAACTCAACCTCCTCCTTTCCTTCCATTCACTGTCCGGCCACCGCACCAGCTATGGTTGTGGAAGACAGGGATCGGGCTCAGGTCACCTTAGTGAGACGCTGCAGGCGTCTGCGTCTCGCTAGCCCACAGCAGTTCCGCAACAGCCTCCTCGCCGGGGTCGGGTATCTTGAACTGGCCAATGCTGGTGACTTTGCGGCGAATGTCTGGAATACGACCCCTTTGCCTCGTTTCGCAGTTGCGTTGATGGCTATTGGTGGGTCGGCGGCTTTACTCATGTCGTTCGTCGCGGTCCGTGATCTTTGGCTGAGCTGGCGGAACGTGCAGCTCTTGCGTGCCGAGCGCAGCCATCTGCAGCAGCTTCTCCAGCAACAAACACGGCAGCGGAAGCGGCAACCGTCGCTGCAGGTAGTCGCAGAGCTTGAGACTCGAATCGGGGTGAACACGCGCGAGCTCGGGAGCGAGATCATCGATCGGATCGCCATGGATATTCTGATGGGCTCTGGCTCGATCCTCGTGGGTGTGGGCACTATCATGGCCATCTGGGGTGCTGACCGACGGATCTTCCTCACCAGCAACCTGCTGTCCGGGTATATTGGCAACGGTCTGCCTGCGCTGTTTGGCGTCGTAAACGCCGGCTGGTCGGCGTACCTGTGGCGGCGCTTTAGCCAGCATGACCACGCATGCTCGAAAGACCCCAGCGTAGCAGACTTCAGACCACGGTTACACTTGCGCTTTTGCCGCTTCAAATGGCATGCCTGTATCAACGGGGTTAACGGAGTCGTCGCTGGTGCCGCCTCGCTTGTCACTGCGACTCACTGGCAGGGGTATGTGGTGCTGGTCTTGTGCATCGTAACCAGCATTTTATGCAATTATTTCTGGCGGTATCGACTGGGCTACGACCGGCCGCTGATCATGACTGCCTCTCCTCTTGCAGTTTCTGCTGACGAGAACCAATTACTCACCGAGCTCCAAGCCGTCACACAGATTCATCAAATGCTTGTCCAGCAGCGGACGGTGTCACTGCCACTCAACACTACCGCCGAGCCGTGCATGTCCTCAATTCTACGATTTCTAGTCGAGAACGACCTGTTCCCAGGTTTTTGCGAATGGCTCGCAAAAAATCCCCGATTCCCCCAGGAGGCCAAGGCGAAATTCTTCCCTCCAGGCGAGGACTTCATCACCATCGCCACTGAAGACTTTCTCAAGATCTCCGAGGCAACAGAGCAGCTTCTTCTAGAAAGTTGCCGACAGTTTCTGAGCGATGCAGGCATCGAAATATTCACAGGGCGAGAACGATATTTATTAGAGTTGGTTGGATATTCTATCTGGCGGGATACACGGTCTAAGACATAGATGCCTTCCTTTCCTTCTTTCTTTCAAGTTAGGGCTGGCCTCAGGAACGGTTCATTTTCATAACTGCCCAAAAGCACTAGTTGCTAATACGCCACGACGATACATGCAAGTCGCGTTGAGATGTTGACACTAATCAGATATATACCACGTTTAATAAAATAAGAATTGTCCTCAGTCGTGCACATATATTCATATCGCTTTTGCTACCCCCGATTCGACGATATTTACATCGATTTATATTGTTTTGTCGGTGTTTCATCCGTAGTACTCAATGCCCGGATCAGCTTGACGCCAGCCTCTGCCGTGGAGACAGAATTCAAGGTCCAAAATTGAGACTGTCGCTCAGACTCGGCAGTTAGCGAGACAGTGGTTGCAGCGTCTTTGCCTTCGAGATGGTACACGTCTACCTTGTCGTGAAATCGGACTCGAGGCCGCGCGGAGGGAGAGGAAGCAGGCTTAGGTCCTCCCAGCAGAGAGGCCAGATAGCGCTTCCGTACCGCGTACTGCCTGGCGACCTCTTCGCGCTCGGCCTGAGACCCGAGTTTCTGCAGCGCATACCGCACCCCGAACGTCACAGCCAAATAGGCTTGTTCTGCGGCAAAGATGGTCATCACCACGGATGAGAGATGGACCTCGCCAGTGCCACCGGAGCGGTAGATGTGTAGGATCGCTGCTGTAGACAGGGTCCCGAGCCAGGTCAGGAACTCGAGCCCCTGGAGCGAGGGACCGATGGATTCGGCGCGGATGGGCGGGGGGCGCTGGCACTCGAGGCTCAGCTTGAAGAAGTCGCCGCGCAACTCGAGCCAGTTGTTGAGCAGGAAGCCGAGCGGGACGAGCGGCCACACCACGCCGAACAGTGCCAGGTAGCCGAACTGCACGCACATCTCGAGGATATCGTCGTGGACGTTGTACTCGTCCGATGCGGCTTGCGTGCGCACACGTCTCAAGAAGGAAGATTCCTCGAGCGGGTCGAGAAGGAGGAGGTCCGTCGCGCGCGAGTGGGCGCGCCCTCGGGCAGAAGCAGCCCGTCTGTGCCGGTAGGCCCGGTACTTCTGCCACAAGGTCCGTTTGAGGTAGGGCACCAGCAGCTCTTCGGCGCAGTTGAGCACTTGCGCTGTCACTGACAGGTAAACTACTTCTTGCTGCAGCCGAGTCGCGTCGACACGGACGTCCCAGGAAGGGCATAGGATGGAGACGATCTTTTCGCCGAAAGGAACGTACACAAAAGCGGTCAACAAAGTTGGCAGGAAAGAGGTGATGAAATTCATAACGAATGTCTTCTGGGTTTGCGCCAGGTCATACTGGTCTTGCGTGCGATAGTTCTCGTAGTCTGTGAGCCGGGTAGCCATAGACGTGAGAGTGGAAGAAATGGTCGGCAGGGACAGGGAAAACAGCACGGTAGGGAGGAATTCCTAGGACAGAATGGTCAGAACATTTGAATTAGGGGCTGCGCTGAACGTGCGCATGGGAGTCAAATACCAGATATCCTTTCAACGGACCATTGTACACCTCCGAGATGAAAACTTCTAGAGCAAAAGTGCCCACAATCAACGTCCCCAGCGCCAGGCTGGCGACGAATACAAACGGAATAAGCAGTAGTTGTCGCAGCAACTGTTTCTTCGTCGAGAAGACCTTGTGGATTTCCCCGGTAATGGAGTCGATGACTTCCTTCTCCCAGGTGTATTGAATTCGGTTCACCTTCAGCACCCCAGAGCCCTTGACCTTCCACCGCAGACTCAACTCTGTCTCTCGGATCTTCCAGTACTCCACAAACACGATGCACCAGATTCCGTTCAAAATGCCAAAAAGTATAGAGTATGGACCGCCGTACAGCCAGCACACGACGCCGCAAACTGTGGGAAATAGCAGGAAAAGAGAATAACAATGAATGAAGGCGAAGTAGAAAGCGACCTACGAAGCCAAAGTCCACAGTCAGCGCCTGGGAAGTTGCATCAAGGACAGGACAAGGCGTACCTTTTCCCCAAACAATGCCCGGATGGCATCCAGATCTTCGGAGGATAACGTAGTCGTTCGGCTCCAGCGCCGTAACAGCTCGGCGTTGGCGAGCGGATCATGCAAGGGGAACGCGGCGGTGACATGTTTCCATTTCCCTACTCCGGGTGTAATCCCTGCTCCACCTAGTTGTTTCTGCCAGGTCACCGCGTGGTAGATCGACCGCAACTCTTCAGAAGGGGTCTCGGCCGTAACGTCAATAGGCTCGCGGTCTGCAATTGGGAGTGAGTGAGTGATGCCATGTAGCCAATCTTTTACTCTTTCCAGGGTGTTGGCGTTAGCTCAGATGGTTTTTCGACAGTCCCCACGGAGGTACGAGAACAACAGCGTACCTCGATTCATGAATCATTACCCCAAGTCGGTCTCGAGGAATCCGGATGAATACCAGGAGCGAGGTATCATTACCAGGCCGGACCTGGGTGTGTAAATGGGCATCTTCCAGTTGTTGGATCAGAGCGCGAAATTCATCAACGGCCAGCGTGGAATCTGTGGGGGAAACCCATTAATATAGAAATTCAGACGGCATCAGAGAGGCATCCAATTAGTACCGATATCTTCAAATTCATAATGGAGCACCCAGTCGACACCAAAATTGTCGTGTTCATGTTCAGCGGAGTGGAGGAAATTCATGGCAGTCGGGAAAATGAGGGGCAACCTGCGGTGAGATATTAAAAAGCAATTGAGTCGAATGGAAGCGAACAGTGATAGATCACATTTATCTAATTCAAAGGCAACGAAGATGAAAGAAAGGGAGAAATGATCCAAGACATGGGTCTGAGGATTCGCACCACGAGATGCAAGGAAAAGGAAGTGGAGGAGCAGGAAGGGAAAGAAATCGCCGAAAATAAGATCAGGCCGACTATCCGCAATTATAGCTCTCTGTAGGATCAATCAATGACAAAACCGCATGCAATAGAGGCAGGCCGTGTAACGCCGGGGCAGGGCGCGAGCGACACAAGCGCTGCCTCGAACCAATGGCCGGCTATCCGGAAATCCTCCATCTTCTCAATCCAACCTCCTCCCCCCATCGATTTCAGCCAAGAATCAGCCCTATAGAGCTGGCTCTCACTAACATTGTTCCCCGACCCATCGCAATGATCATGATCTGTCGTTTGGAATCCTCCCTTGAGCCAGTTATCCACATTCCCTCCACTGCACTAGAGATCCACTGCCCCAAAATAGCTGTAGGTACTAGGCAGCAAAATTAAAAGAGGAGGCCATTGCGTAAAGATGACATTTCCCGAACGCGCTTGTCATAATTGTGGATGATTCCCAGTCATATCTTTGATAATAGTATGTCGATCGACGATGGAGGAGTAGTTGAGGAGAGACTGCGTCCTTGAAAGTGCCGTCGACGTTCTGATGGGAGCTTGGGTGGGAGGAAGGTGAGCCCTATATTTTTGCCCTAAGTTCCTGATATGGACGTCACATGAGCTCTCCTCGATCGAACCAATCAGAGTTGAATTGATGCTGACTCATGAGCAGCAGGTGGACTGGCCAATGACATCTCGCCATAGAAAAAGGTATCCGATTTATGCCTGAGGCAGGATACCTAACCTGATCCCATGCCTGCTCCTGATAAACAATGGACGACCTTCTTTCATCCCGTGGGGCGCATCACCTCGGATTGTCCCGGTCCAGCCAAATAACGATGATAGCTATGTCCAATCAGCCTTGATATATACCGCGGCTGAATCGTATTCGCCCTAGGTATGCAGAAAGCGGGGTGTATCAGCGACCCTGGCCCCAGACAGCCTGTGATATCAAAGATGCTTATCTGGGAACGCGACCAGGCGTTGTCTTCTGTCTGATGCCAAGGTCCGATCGCCACGAGGGCCGTTGATGCCCCTGCAGTTATTTAGTAGTGGTCGTGCTGCTTTGTCGCTCTCAGGGAGTTGCAGAGAGAAAGAGAGCAGCATCGGTTGAGGATTTCTCTCAGGATTCAATTACCACTCACCCGTCTGTTCGCGAATCACCATGGCGGAAATGATGGAGAAGAAGACGGCAGTGGACATACAGGATGAGAGTCGGTTGGCACAGCTGGGATACAAGCAGGAGCTGAAGCGTGACTGGACTCTGATGCACAATTTCGGTGTCTCATTCTCGATTATCGTAAGCGTGTATACCAGGTATTCATCTGACCTTCGAGTACGGCTAACACTCTTCAGAGCGTTATTACTGGTATCACGACACTGTTTAGGTATGGATTGGTATTCGGAAGTTGCTGACATGAGCTAATACCGCTGTTAGCTATGGATTGACAACTGGAGGACCTGGTTAGTATACTGCGCACAATCTACTGTTCGTCCACGTCTACTGACCTAGCGACAGCTGTGATGGTATTTGGATGGATTGTTGTCTCAGTTATGACCTTGTCTGTCGGGCTGAGCATGGCAGAGATCGTTTCTGCTATTCCGACGAGTGGAGGGCCGTACTTCTGGGCAGCCATGCTGGCGCAACCAAAGCACGCCGCGTTCTTTTCCTGGTTAACGGGCTGGTTTAACTTTGTCGGACAGGTAAAGACCATCTCTTTTCTTTCTTTCTTTCTTTTTTTTTCTTTGTTTCATTTTTACTTTCATATTATTCGATTGAATTTCTTCAGAGCTAATATCTCGATACAGTTTGCAGTCACCACGGGCATCAGCTTCGGCTGCGCAGGACTGATCGCAACGGCGGCAGAAATCAAGACCGGATACACAGCCACTGCAGGCCAGACAGTAGGCATCTACGCAGCAATCCTCATCAGCCACGGTATGGTAAATACCTTTGGCGTGCATGTCCTGCGCTACCTCAACACCACCTCCATCATCCTGCATAGTCTCGGCGTGGGTAGTTTGGCCATCGCGGTAGTTGCAAAGGCTCCGAAACACCAAACAGCGGCCGAAGTCTTTGAACATTTCTATGATGTGAGCAACGATCCCATTTGTCTTTTTGTTCTTAACTAATTGTTTGAATAGGGCACCGGGGACCCTGGATGGTCTGTTAGAGCCTCACCTGCGTATGTTGCCATCTGTGGGATTCTCTTGAGTCAATATACTATCACTGGTACGTACAAATTTCCTCGGTATTTATTCTGCTTCGGGGGTTTTCTTTATCTACGTGCGGATTTCTGACATCATGCAGGTTTCGATGCTTCTGCCCATCTATCCGAAGAAACCCACCGAGCGGACTGGAGCGCCCCGATTGGTGTGATTATGTCCATTGGCGTGTCGGCGGTCTTCGGCCTCTTCCTAATGCTCTGTCTGCTCTTCTCCATCCAGGACTTTGCCGCGACGGTTGATTCCTCAACCAACTACGGCGAACCCGTGTTCAAAATCCTCGTCGACGTGTTTGGCGAAGATGGCGCTCTGGTACTCATCGCTCTCATCATCATCTGCGTCTGGCACTGCGGTCTGTTTAGTATGACGAGCAACAGCCGCATGATGTTCGCATTCTCGCGCGATGGCGCCTTACCCCGTTTCTTCGACCACGTCGATAAGCGTTTCAAGAGCCCCGTGCGTACCGTCTGGCTCGCGGCCTTCTTGGCCTTTTGTCTCTCGCTGCCATCACTGGGCAGCTCTGTTGCATTCTCCGCGGCTACCAGCATTGCCACAATCGGCTTGTACATCAGCTATGCGCTGCCTATCGCCATCTCAGTGATCTGGCCGAGCAAGACCGTTGTCAAGGGCCCGTTTGATCTCCGCAGATTCTCGAGACCTGTTGGCATTGTTTCCTGTTTATGGGTAAGACCTTTTCTTTTTTCTCTTTTGGCCCTTTTTTTCTGGCGAAATTCTATGTTCTCGTCTCTTTGCTAAACCCCTCGTTTTCTCTCAGGTCGCCTTCATCACCATTGTGTTCTGCCTCCCCACAGAAAACCCCGTCACCGAGGAGACCATCAACTATACACCTGTGGCCGTCGGCATTGTGCTAGTAGGGACGTTAGCATCGTGGTTTCTGTGGGCGCACCGCTGGTTCACAGGACCTCTGCGTCAAATCGATTTCGAGACTGGAGTGGCGGTTGAGCAGGAACAGCAGGAGAAGTCGGAGCAAATCGTCGACAGCAAGAGCGGTTAGGTCGATTAGATGCTTTCTTTCTCTGTATCCATTTGAGACGGTGTGACAGGTTATATAAAGCTCTCCATTGATCCATGTGCTTCTACATCTATACTAGAAATACAAGACTTCTTAGAAATTGAAAATACAATCTTATGCTCCCTCGGTTCCATATAAGTGATCCAAGGTATCTCTACCTGGTTACTTACAGGCCACCATATCCAGTCCATGGGTAAAGAAATCAGGCAGCCACGTGACCCTACCCATACCTAAATAGCATGAGGGTTTCCCCTCCTCCTCCTCCTCCTCCTCCTCCTCCTCCTCCTCTTTCTTCCTCTTTCTTCCTCTCCTCTTCCTTCATACCACCAACCCACTCCAATCTTACAGTTTCCCTTCTAGCTGAAGTTCACGGGTCCCCTCATCATATTTGACTCTCCGTAACCTTTGTGTCCTCGTTCTTCTTCTTCGTCTTCTTCGTCTTCTTCGTCTTCTTCGTCTTCTTCGTCTTCTTCGTCTTCTTCGTCTTCTTCGTCTTCTTCGTCTTCTTCGTCTTC